GTGTGTGTGTATGTGTATATAATGTGTGCCTTTGGTGTGTGTGTGTGTGTGTGTGTGTGTATGTGTATATAATGTGTGTGTGTGTGCGTGTATATAATGTGTGTGTGTGCGTGTGTATATAATGTGTGCGTTCTCAGGTGCTGCTGAAAATGGCAGCTGACACCGTGAAAAAAGCGTCCATGGAACTGGGAGGCCACGCCCCCTTCATTGTGTTCGACAGCGCCGACGTGGACCAGGCGGTGTCCGGAGCCATGGCCTCCAAGTTCAGAAACTGTGGACAGGTAAGGTCGTGGTTGTGGACGCGGCCCCGTGGAGCCGTTAAACAGCCGTCCTCTGGTCCCCGTAGACGTGCGTGTGCTCCAACCGGTTTCTGGTGCAGAGTGGAATCCACGATGGCTTCATGGACAAATTGGGCAGAGCGATGGACGCCGAGCTCCGGCTGGGTCACGGGTCAGAGCCCGGGACGACCCAGGGGGCCGCTCATCAACACTAGAGCTGCAGAGAAGGTAAGTGAGACCCGGCGCTCATTCATTCACAGGTTCTTCTCTCTGGGTCCAGGTGCTCGCTGCCAACAGATGAACTAATGACATTCATTCATCTCGCTTAATGTTGGTACAACCTTGTTTATAATGAACGTCTTTTGTTTCTAACGACTAGAACTTAAAAGTAATGCGGAATCACTGAAGTGTATTTTAGACCCTGTTTAATAGTTAGTTATTTTAAACACAAACCTGCAGGTTGTGGTGGAACATGTTGAACTACGACCTGTCGTCCTCGTGCACTTTGCTCTCAGCTCTTCATCATTAACCAGAATGTCTTCAAACGGACACAGTGGTCCTCTGCAGACTGCACAGGGTAACGTTACATAGTAGCATAGCAGCTAGCTTAGCCTAGCGGTGCATTTAGTGTTCAGTTTGTCATGTGGAGTTTGTTTTACTTCCAATGCAAAAGGTTCTCTCCATCTTGATGTAACTGACTGCAGCTGGTGGGCATTTTGTTTCCACGGTCAACTTCATAAACGTACGTTAACTACATCAAAATGTTTAGTTAATTCATCCTTGTGGTTCTCGTGTCTATTAATGGTGCACAATTGGCTGCTCTGGGCTTACTGAGCGGCCGATACGCACGTCCCTCTGTTGTTTTAGAATATGTCGCCATGTTCCCATCATCCGAATATGCCTCTCATATTATAGGAAGGTGCCTACAGATCATGTGACCTGCCGTTCGTATGATGGGAACATGGCGATATTTAGAGGAGGCATAGCAACGCTAAAACAATAGAGGGACATGCTACATAACTTAAACGGATAAGACAAGAAGCCATTTTACATTACATCACATTACAGGTCATTTAGCAGACGCTTTTATCCAAAGCGACTTACATCACACTTTAAACTCATGGCTTTTTCACATTTTTGCCCGGGGAGCAATTAGGGGTTTGGTGTCTTGCTCAGGGACACTTCGACATGGAACATGGGGCAGCCTGGACTCTAACCACCAGCCCCCATTTTCCAGTGACGGCTGGTGGTCGGGCGAGCGGTTTGGCCGGATGGGGGGACGTGCAGGGTAGTGGTCAGTCGCTTATCAGAACATTGGTCAAATGATCCGTTTCAGGCTTTATGAGCAAATACAGAATCCCTTTGTTTCCATTTCTAAAGCCGCATTAAGACACACATCACTTTATTTAAGACGCTGCTTGCAAGTCGCTGTCTTGTGCCACATTCTCAATAAAGTTAGAAAAAAAACCCACGGTCATGAAGATCCTCATCTAACGTTACATGGAATCTGCGTGAGGAAGAGGAGGAGGAAGAGGGGGAGGCTCCATGTCGCTAAATACCAACTGAGAGGATTGTGCCGTTCTGAAAAAGGAGCCGCCCACTTTTCTCACTGGGCGCTGCTGTAAACCGGTCGACTAACGCCTGAACTCTGGTGTGTTGCAGGTGGTCAAGCAGATCGCGGATGCCGTGTCCCGGGGAGCCACGGTGCTGAAGGGGGGGAAGCGTCTGGAAGGGTCCTTCATGGAACCCACTCTGCTGTCCGACGTCACCACGGAGATGATCTGCACCAAGGAGGAGACCTTTGGCCCGCTGCTGCCAGTCATCAGGTCTGTACCCTCAGACCTTTAAAACCTTTTTAGATTTTACATTTTTAACAACATACTATTTTATTTTTGGGGTGTTTGAGATTTCTTGGTATGACATACTTGTGACTTTAACAATCTATATCTTGATTGATTTCTAGGTTTAATACAGAGGAGGAAGCTCTGGCTATCGCTAACGCGTCTAATGTCGGGCTGGCAGGTGAGACAAGTACAAATAAACTGTTAAAAGACTAATTATTTCTGAAATGTAGACGTTGATAAGTGGCGTTAATGAGAGCTGAGATCTGTGAACTCTTTGAGGACATGAAGGTAACAGAAGGAGAGTCCTCATTAACCCTGACATGTCGTCTTATTGGCTCTTAAACTGCGAAGGAGGTGAACTTGCTGACGTCTCCGTCTCTGTCCTCAGGTTACTTCTTCTCTCAGGACGTCAGTCAGATCTGGCGGGTGATGGAGGCGTTGGAGGTGGGGATGGTTGGGGTCAACGAGGGCCTCCTCTCCACCCCAGAGGCAGCGTTTGGAGGAGTCAAACAGTCCGGGTTGGGTGTTGAAGGTTCCAAGTACGGCATTGACGAGTATCTGGAGGTCAAGTACATGTGCTTCGGAGGCCTGAAACCATGAGTGTGGACCAGATGACCGCGGCCATAAGATCTCCGCTTCATAGAAGCTATAAATCAGTCCTGAAGAAGACCTCAGTAGTGCGTCACCCTCTTTGTAAAGATGATCAATTATTAACATGCAGATCCATCATGACTACTCTGACGTTAGGAGCAGCAGTGGCGTTGGAGCTTAGCGGTAGCTTAGCATTCTAAGAAGATGTAATAGGTAACATTACACCCTTCAGATGGTTTCCATAGTAAAGTTTAAGCAGTCACTTGGACCAAGTTAGATCTACACTTTTATTGTTTTACTTTTACAACATGAGTAAACTAAATTTAAAGAATTAATCTTTCAAATGTCAACGTAAACTCTTAAGTTGCATTGTAAATAATAACAAAGCAGTTAAATGAAAAGCTACTTATGAGCCATGTGCGTAGTTACGGTTGCTACCCGGTGTTGATGTTTAAATGTTAGTGATAATGAAGCTGTACCCAATTAGAAGTATTTAAGTATAGTTATACTCCTGTGGCTTTAAATGATTCCTCTATTATATTTACTACTTAATACATTTAATGTCCATTTATAAGTAAGAATCTATGACGTCATCGCAGCACAATTATTTCTACAGAGGCTCATGAGTTCAGTTTAAATGAAAAAAATAATAGATCAAAACTTTTGTAAAATAATTGTTAAACATTCTTAAGCCAGCAGGTTCATATATATGTACATCTGTATATATACATGTATTCCTAATGAAGCAACTACTTTTATACTAACAAGCTTTCAAATTTGGTGAATTTAATGAGCCCTTTATTAATTTAAAGCATGTTCTATTTGACAGACAGACAGGCTGACAGACAGACAGGCTGAGATTAATCCTGGAGTCTCATGTGTTTAACAGTTGAGGGCGATGTATAAAGTCCCATCACCTGTTCCTTCGTGATGTTGGATGAAGAAGCACTGATACGGAGACGTGAGAGGATGTTTGAGGGCAGACCAGCGTGAAGCTTCTCACCATCACACACACGTCTGTATGGCACTGAGCTTTGCTGCAAGCGGCATCTTTTTATATGTCAAACTGTAAATAAAGGCACTATTTGCTGTCAGAAGTGTGTTTGGCACTGAAGTCCTTGGCTCACATTTCTATTACCTTTCCTGAAGAATGTACATGAATTCTAGATTACTAAAAAGTTAGATCAAATAGGCAGGCATCTAATAGTGATTTATTTTCACTTTTAAGGCAAAGTAGGCTGATAATACATTTTATTTATATAGTGCTTTACATGGTAGGCTACTCAAAGACACTTTACAGTAAAACCAGCACATTTAGCACATAAACAGATACAGCAATAAAACGGACACATAAAACGGTGTACAGCTTCCCTAGTAACTAAATCTTTTTAAATCCTTCTACATTCAGTCGGTCCTCAACTGTCTCTGTTTAATTACAGCTGCAATATTTCATTTTTTACATATTAGATGCTTCATCTCATAAGTTTCCATAATTAGTTGCTGCTCAGTGGATGAAAAATACGCCGCGCGCGTCTTCTCCATCTGTGCATCAGTAGATCTGTGATGGACACCGTGGTCTTCTTAAGAAAGCCGTCAACGTGCACTGATCCAGCTGTGTGCACCTGGATTGACTGAGCTTCTCCTTTCGGGTCGGCAAATGTGAAACCGATTAAGATCAAACTAAGTCAAGCTGCACTTTTTCACTTATCCTGGATTTCTTTATTCTACTTTTGTGCCCCCTGATGTTGAAAAGTGCGTCTATGTGAAATTGATCCGACGCATCTCTCATAAATAGTAATGTACAGCGATGCTGAGACCTTCTGTCCAGAATCCAACCAAGCAGAAACGTCAGCTTAGTAAATTCCCTCCCTAGTAAACTTCCACATTTTCTGCTATTTCTATAAGGTTTTCAAGAATAACTTGAACTTGTGGAGAAAGGAGATGGGTTAAAGATCAAGAGATGGATCAGGAGCTCAACGGGGTGTCCTGGTCGCTGTCCAGCTCAGACTCTGACTTCATCAGACTGGTGTTTGATACCTGCAGAAAGTGAGGGGTTTGATTCCTAATGTAAAACAAGAAAATCTCATCAAAAAAACTAAACACTGTTGTGGTCCTTTTATAAATGCTGCTCTTTCCAAATAAAATGAGTGAACACTGCCCTCTGTATCTCAACCTCTGAAAATAAAATATAATATAAGGCTATGGGTTAGGCGGATATAGAATAAACAATTGAAAAATAAAGGAATAAAAGTTAAAAGTGTAAAGAAAGTGACCGGTGGAAAAAGGGATGCCAGAGTCAGTCAGTGGGGGATCCAAGCTCTGTTGAGGGTTTTTTTAGGATCAATGACGCTATATGTTACAGACTCACTGAATTTGGGTCTGAGCTCCACCCTCTCCTGCAAGTCCATGTTATCAAGCATGGTGTATTTGGTTTTCCTCCTCACTCTGGTCTGTCTCCTCCTGAATACAAACAGGCCGTTAGACCAACAGAGGACATGAGGTGAAACCATGAGTTCTGTAGACGTGTTCACCTCCTGCAGCAGCAGATGAAGATCCAGCTGAGGCACAGGATGGAGACCATGAGCAGGAAGCTGGTCAAGATGACGTACAGCACCCTCCACTCTGACGGGAAGAACAGGGTGAGCACAGAACCACATGGCCCCTCCTGGTTTAGACTGATAACTAAAGCATGTTTATACCACAGTTGCTCTCTCCATCACCAAGGTATAGGCGAACCAGGTTCTCCGTCCAGAAGGGGTCACATGCACACTCCTTTGTGATTGGATCACACTGACCTCGCCCCGAGCAGCGAAGCAGGCACACTGAAAAAGGACATGGGGTGTAGATTCGTGTTAAAGTCAGTTACATGTTGTTAAAGGCCTTCAAGTTAAACCAGGCCTTTCTTTAAAGGCCTTTAAAGAAATCGGCTAAACAAGGAAACAACAGGATCATGTGAAATGGGTATTCAGGGGACTTGCAGGCTCTCTGCAAGAAAAAGGGTCCTGGTCTCTGTTATGAGCAGGTTCTCGGTCTCTAAAGTGAACCGGTACTGATCCCTGTAGTGAACCTGGTCTGGTCTCTATAGTGAACCGGACCTTGTTTAAACTCACAAACAGTGTCGACTCTCAGGACCCTGAACAGCAGGTAGTCGCTCTTCTCGCTGAGCAACTGGTTTCTCAGCAGAACCACCAGCCGGGAGCCAGAGATCGGTTCTGAGGGGCCGAGGACAGAGAACCGCAACACCGTGCTGCACCAACACAGACACATTAAACCAGTCAGCAAGACAGTCAGTAAACAAGTCAGTAAACCGGTCAGTGAACCAGTCAATGAACCAGTCAATGAAATGGTCATTAAACAAGTTAGCAAACCAGTCAACGAACCAGTCAGCAAAACAGTCAGTGTACTAGTGAGTGAACCAGTCAGTAAACTCAGTACCTGCGGTGGGAGTGGCCTTGCAGAGCTCGAACCTGGACCTCGCTGTCCAGGACATGGATAAGTGCGGCGAGTTGTCGGACCACCGTGTCCCTCTGAGCCACGCTCACCTGAGACACCGACACCAGCATCTCCAGCTCCACCTCCTCAATCCCCCCCGGCTCTACGGAGACACAACCAACCCTCTTTAGCCACCTGGCGATCAATCAATCAATCAATCAATAACCATAAATCGATCGGGACCTACCAGGTCGGACCTCAACGGTGGCCGTGGATGTGCTTGAACGCCCCTGAGCGTCAGTCACCCTCAGCTGGAAAAGGTAGGTTCCTTCCACTAGGTTGGACAGGTAGAGGGAGGCCTGAGTCTCAGAGCTGTACAGGACGTCCTGCCGACAGACATCAATCACAGATATCAATATCAGTTCATCACTGAATCCAGGTACTCCTGCTTTATGATTGGACGGTATTGATCAGCTGACCTTCATGGAGGTCATTAAATTCCTGTAATTCAAATGTAGTTCTATATCAAATAATTCAAAGTCACTCTAATGTGATTACACTTAAAATATAATATGGGATAAATCTATGTTAATCTACCATACAATCTATGTATTTTAATTGGGGCTGTCAAAATGAATGGATTAATCAATTAGATTAAAAGAGCAGGTGCTTGAGCACCACTACGGGTGGTGCACTGCCTGGTTGCTGTTCACATTGACCCGAGCATTCCATATCACTGCACACTCAAAGTAACAGGTTAGAGATTTTGCGCATTTTAGCTTTTAGCTCGGTGGCGATCGCTGAAATAAGAAAAAATTGAGTATTGCAGGATGCTTTAGCTCCTCAGGTAAAGCTGCACCCACTTTTATCAAGTCATCTTTCAACACAGGATCCAATCTGTAGATATTACTGATTTGCCATACACCAGATGCTCCACATTCCAATGAAGAGATTCCTTCCTTGAATGATGCTTGCTGACAGAAGCGAATAATGGAAGATTTTGCTCTGGTGATGTCCCTGTTGTTTGGCATTGTGATGTCATCCACTGTGACAGGTAAGTGCATGCAGTAATGACATTCCTGCTTCTCCTCCAGTAACTTTTCATTGAAATCCTGATTGTACTGGGAGACCAACAGCTCTTCCTGTCTGACAATGGCTATCCTATTGGCATATATTGTTGAGCAGGTTCTCTGACAACAACCACTATTGCCCTTCAAAGGGCCGCTGACAACCCACCCCTATAGTGTCCTCACGGCATAAGGTCCATCACCTTGGCTGTTGATGATTTCCTAGGGCTCCGTTAGTTTTGGTGCATTAGTCCCGATCAAGATTTCCACATCAGCGTTAAATTCTGGGATACAGATTTCTTCAGGATCAGGAAGGATCAGGATCAGGAATCAGGAAACATTTATTAGCCAAAATATGTCAAACATACAAGGAATTTGTCTTGGCGGCTAGTGCGCGACAGTAGACAGACAAGACAACAGTGCACAAGTAATGAAATAAAGTGGAATGAAATGCTAATGCAATGGGTTAGTAGAATAAGGCTATGGGTTAGTATAAAACAAGGGAATAAAGTTAAAAAAATTTAAATATTAAAACGTTTTTTAACTTTCAGATATTACCACCTTTCTTTCAATTGTCTTGCTGAGTAGGAATGTTGACCTTTAAGACTGGGATTGTTTCTGCTGTAAATGTTTCTGGGAGCTCAAAGAATGTATAATTGTACCCTCACTGACCCCTTGCCTGATCTATGTAACTCATTTCTTCAGTTCTTCAGCGACAAAATCACCACGATCAATAATTCACTGCTCCCTGTGTCTGACCCAGCAGCAACCACACCAAGCCCCTTCTTCTCCATCCTGCTGGACCCCTTGTCCCCTCCTCCCCTACACCGCCTCTCCCGGTTCGCCCCTGTTGACTCGGCAACCATTGCCAAACTCATCAGCACATCCAGCCCACCACCTGCTCCCTGGACCCCCCCCACCACCCTGCTGAGACCTGCCTCCCTGTGCTATGCCCTACCTTACGACCTCTTTAACTCCTCACTGTCCCATGGACTTGTCCCCTCAGCCTTCAAAAAGCTGCTGGTCACCCCCATACTCAAGAAACCTCCTCACCTCTGCCGACACCGCAGCCCTCAACATCCTCATCCTCCTGGACCTAAGTGCAGCCTTCGACACCGTGAGTTACACTATCCTGTTCACCAGACTCCAAGCCATCGGTATCGAAGGTACTGCACTCAGCTGGCTCCAGTCATACCTCACGAACAGATCTCACTTCATCTCCCTTCACAAAAACTCCTCTGCCACATCCACAGTTACACAAGGTGTCCCCCAAGGCTCTGTACTAGGTCCACTCCTGTTCATAATCTACTTATCCCCCCTCGGTCAGATCCTTCGTCACTTCAACCTGGACTTCCACTGCTATGCTGACGACACTCAGATCTACCTCAGCACCAACACCCCTCACAACCCACCGCTCTCCCACATCAACGCCTGCCTCTCTGCAATTAAAGCCTGGATGCAACAGAACTCTCTCAAACTCAACAGCGACAAAACACAACTCACCCTCACCAAAACCAACAACCTCACACTCAACATCGATGCCATCTCTGTTTCCCCCTCCCCCCAGGCACGCAACCTTGGCGTAATATTCGACTCCACCCTCTCCCTTGAGCCACACATCCGTCAACTGGTCAAAATATCCTTTTTCCACCTACGCAACATCGCAAAAATCCGTTCGTCTCTCACACCCCCTACAGCAGAGAAACTCATCCACGCTTTCATTTCCTCCCGTCTTGACTATTGCAACTCACTTCTCTACGGCATCAGCAACACCTCCATGAATAAATTACAACTGGTCCAGAATGCAGCTGCACGACTACTCACCCACACCAAATCATGGCACCATATCACCCCATTCCTGAAAGACCTCCACTGGCTCCCCGTCTCCCACCGGACCCTCACCTACAAAGCCCTCCACCAACTTGCTCCTCCCTATCTCTCTGAACTCCTTTCCCCTACCAACCTCATCGGTCCCTCAGATCCACCTCGGCCAGACTACTTCTCACCCCCACATCCAAACTCAGCTTTGGGGACAGAGCGTTCTCCAGGGCAGCTCCCAAGCTCTGGAACTCACTCCCCATTCTCACCAGAGACTCCGACTCCATCACCACATTCCAGTCCCGCCATAAAACACATATTTTCTCATCTGCTTACCCGTAGCCCCCTCCCTTCCCCTACCCTTCAGTCTATGTAGTTGTATGCGATCGGCCCGTATATGTCGCCCCTCGTGTCTTGTCTCCTGCCTGTCTGCCTCACACCGTCCCCCCTTCGACTATGTTAAAGCGTCTTTGAGACATTTAGAAAAGCGCTATATAAAACCAATTATTATTATTATTATTATTATTAATACTTTCCGTACCCACTGTATGATTCCTTTGGCCGATGTCATCAGAAAGTACTGCATAAAATGATCCATTGTTATGCAGACAATACTCATCTGTCGATAAAGCAGGAACAGACCGACCAACATGTTAGACTTCAAGAATGTCTTGGAGACATCAATACCTGCAACTTCTTGATGCTAAACTCAGACAAAACAGTTATAAGTTAAATTATCTAAAGGCCCAGAGTGCCTTCGAAAGTTAGCTGTCACATGACACAGTTTCTATGGATGGAATTGCTCTGGTATCCAGCAGCACCATCAAGAATCTTGGAGTTCTCTTCGACCAGGATATGTCCTTCAACTCTCATATAAAGAAGACTTCAAGGACTGCCTTTTTTCATCTACGGCAGGGCTCTTCAATGTTTTTCAGGCCAAGGACCCCCAAACTGATGGTGAGATGGAGCAGGGACCCCCTATTCTACGGAGTTTGGTCAACCATCTTTTATTTTTGAGCATAAACGCGATCTGATTGGCTGGTGCCTGTACTGTCGTATTTGCATGAAAGTAGCTATGAATGAACCGGTGCCCAGCAGAGCTCCTGTGGGTAGCTGAATGTGTGTTGCGGACTGAAAGATAACGTCTTCTCCATTAATTTATCGTTTGCTACAATATGTTGGACTCATGTTAATGTGTATTTAAAGATAATAAATACAATTCTGATTCTGAAGACATTTAAAATTTGTGGAAAAAGACCGCCCAAAACTGCCAAAAAATTGCAACGGCCACTTGCAGTACCTCCGCGGATTCCTGTTGAATCTACCTGATCTACGGAATATATCGAAAATCAGGAACTTCCTGTCTCAAAGTGATGCAGAGAAAATGAGTTCATGCGTTTGTTACTTCTCGACTGGATTACTGTAATTCTTTGTTAAAAGGCTGCTCTTGTAAACCTCTCCACTTGATTCAGAATGGTGCAGCATGTGTATTAAGAACTAAGAAAAGGGATCATATTACTACTGTATTAGCTTCTCTGCACTTACTCCCTGTTAAATCAAAAATAGAATTTACGGTACTCCTCACCTTCAAGGCACTTGCTGGTGAGGCACCGTCTTATCTCATAGATTAGATTAGATTCAACTTTATTGTCATTGCACAGAGTACAAGTACTGAGGCAACGAAATGCAGTTTAGCATCCAACCAGAAGTGCAAAATAGCAAAAGGTGCAGAGTATGTGCATATGTAAAGTGTAATAAGTGAATAAATAGATATGTACAGTAAGAAATAGATATGCAATATGAACAGTAAGAAATGGATATGCAATATGAACAGTAATTGGGACAAGAATAGCAGCAATTGAGGTAAGAAGTCTAGGTGATATGATATAAGTATTAGTGGTGGTAATAAGTGAGATGATGTGAAAGACGTATTAGTAATATTATATTTGAGAGGTATTGTAGGTATAAGTGGCTGGAGGATGGTGTGTGGCAGTCAAGCCAGGGTGGAGGGGGAAGTACAGTCACTGAGGGAGATGTGTGTGTGGGGGTGGGGGGCAGAGTTCAGAGCTCAGGGGGGGCAGAGTTCAGTAGAGTGACAGCCGCAGGGATGAAGCTGTTCCTGAACCTGCTGGTCCGGTAACGGAGCACCCTGTAGCGCCTCCCAGAGGGGAGGAGGGCAAACAGTCTGTGGCTGGGGTGAGAGCTGCGTGCCCTCCGCAGACATCTCTTGCTCTGGACAGCCTCAATGGTGGGGAGTGAGGGACCGGTGATGCGTTGGGCAGTTTTCACCACCCTCTGCAGTGATTTACGGTCCGCGACAGTCCCGTACCATACTGAGATGCAGTTTGTAAGGATGCTCTCTATGGTACAGCGGTAGAAATTCTCTAGGATCTGAGGAGACAGATGGGCCTTCTTCAGTCTCCTCAGGAAGAAGAGACGCTGGTGTGCTTTCTTTACCAGGGATGAGGTGTTGAGGGTCCAAGAGAGGTCCTCAGAGATGTGGACACCCAGGAACTTGAAGCTGGCGATACGCTCAACCTCCGTCCCGTTGATATGGATGGGGATGTGTGTGCCAGCTTGCTTCCTGAAGTCCACAATTAGCTCTTTGGTCTTCTTGATGTTGAGAGCCAGGTTGTTGTCGGCGCACCACACCGCCAGGTGCTGGACCTCCTCTCTGTAGGCCGACTCATCGTTGTCACTGATGAGGCCAATCACCGTTGTGTCGTCTGCAAACTTGACAATGGTATTAGAACCGTGTACATGTGTGCAGTCATAGGTGCAGAGGGAGTAGAGGTGAGGACTTAGCACACAGCCCTGTGGCACGCCGGTGTTCAGGATGAGGGTTGAGGAGGTGTGGTTCTCTACCCTAACAGACTGGGGTCTGTTGGATAGGAAGTCCAGTATCCAGTTACAGAGGGAAGTGTTGATACCCAGGTGACTGAGTATCGTGATTAGTTTGGAGGGGATGACAGTGTTGAAAGCTGAACTGAAATCTATGAATAGCATCCTCACATAGCTGTTGTTATTGTCCAGGTGAGAAAGGGCGGAGTGTAATGCCGTGGAGATGGCATCCTCCGTACTCCTGTTCTTGCGGTAAGCGAATTGGAAGGGGTCCAGTGTGGGTGGTAAGCAGGTTTTGAGGTGGGCCAGGACCAGCCTCTCGAAGCACTCCATGATGGTTGGAGTGAGTGCAACTGGGCGGAAGTCATTTAGGCTCACTGTGGTGGAGTGCTTTGGCACTGGCACGATGGAGGTGGTTTTAAAGCACGTGGGGACAGTAGCTTAGGCTCGTGACAGGTTGAATATGTCAGTCAGGACCTCAGCTAGCTGCCCAGCACAGGCCGTGAGCACGCGTCCGGGGACGCCATCAGGGCCAGCAGCCTTACGTGCATTAATCCTGCTCAGTGCCGCACACACGTCGGTGGAGGAGAGTGCGAGGGGCTGGTGGTCGATAGCCTTTAGTTATCAAGGCCCGCTTTTGTGGAACCAGCTTCCACTTTCAGTCCGGGGGGCAGATTCGGTCAGCTAATTTAAGATAAAGCTTAAAACGTTCCTCTTTGATATTGCTTATAGTTAGGGCTGGCTCAGGTTAGCCCCTTAGTTAAGCTGCTATAGGCTTAGACTGCCGGGGGACGGGGGACACACAGAGCTCCTCTCTCACTCTCTCCTTCTGCTCTAATAATCCATGTTTTTATTAATGCACGTTTGATTAATGCCCAAATGCACCGTCTGGACTGGTCCTGACTCCTGCCTGGCCCGCAGACACCTACCGCTTCTAACATCATTGATATTCCCATTTCTATTGCTTTAAACATTAACTATTACTAACTTTGTTTCTTCCACGGAGTTTTTGTGCTTTCTCGCCTCACAGGTTTCCATGGATCATGGTTCTATCTGGACCCTGTTCCTGCCTCCTGCCGTGGCCCTGCTGACACATCATCATTATTATTAATTACATAATAATCATATTACTATTACTGCCATCATAAACCAACATTACCCTTTCCTACCCTTTCGAATTTACAATTAGCTATAGATAAAATGTACTTATAATGGCACTTAAGTGCTACAATTTACATTGTTAGTCTTTTAGTCAAGTTAGAGTCTGAAGAGGTGTGTCTTTAGTCTGAAGATGTGAAGGCTCTCTGTGGTCCTGATGTCTTCAGAGACCTCCTTCCACCATTTAGGAGCAGGACAGCAAAGAGTGGAGATCTAGTCGAGTGTTTTGCTCTCAGTGAGGAGGAACAAGCAGTTTATCACATGCAGATTTTCCATTACCAATGATTGGTTGCCACGGCCAAAGCATTTCAACTCACAATAATCATGATTAAGCATCATCAATGTCTGAAGGCAAGGGCGTAGGTCTGCACATGGCCATTAGGGACTAGTCACAACCAAAGTTTGGGAAAGACGATTGTCCCCACCAATATCTTTTTAATTTTAATTGCCTGCTAGAAAAAGTTAAAAAAAGCACAATACAGTCAATTTGTAATCTCATTCGTCTATACTATGTTCGTCACCCAGCAGAGTAAAAAATAGATTTTTTCCAGTTTTCCAATGCACCCTCAAGCCTGCGAGACAAGATGCTGTCACTTAATTGACATCTTGAAGTGGTGTCAAAAACACTGAAACAAAGGCCAGGAAATAATAAAGCCTCAAATTAGTATTTCATTTGTTCTCAGCATTGATATTGTTGACCCTTTTGTGCTTGTAGATAAGAAAATGTCACCAAAAGAGAAAAGTTTTATATATATATATATGTATGAAATATATCAGTAGTGTAGTCTACGTGACACGCAGGTATACGCTGTATACCGTATATGAAAAGTCAAGGATTTCCTTATACCCACTAACAAAGGTGCGATGATACGTAACAACATCGTTATGACGTTCAGTCGATTGCGTGCCATCGATAAAAAAGATGACACCACCCACCAGTTTTTTGACCAACCAGAGAGTAACATTAGCTATTAATAAGCAGAAGTCGTTGTTGGCTAACATTTAGTAGTAGGTTAACGACCCACACAGTGCAAACCTGCTAGCCTTACCATGCCGCCCTCTACAATGGAAGTTGGTAGTGTTATCGTACCTTATGGATCGTGCCAAATTCTCCTGTCCGAGCCTGACGGAGGTAATGTCTCAACTGTTGAGCCCCTTGGTTGATTGTTGTTCAGCAAAAACAAAAATATGAAGTCGATAAAAATAAAAAAAACGCAGTCAGAAAACTACGGAAAAACGCCAAAAAGCTGAATTTGGCCGACTTGTCCCCCCATATTTAAATTACTATTATTACATCATATATTATAAATACATTATATTAATAATAATAAAAATAATGCGTATTTAAATTAGAATCTACTGTTGTCTTGTGTAATCCAATCTATGGAGCTAATCTACTCTAAAAAAGCTTTAATAATAATAATACAGTATGTTGATGATGATGATACAATATTAATAATATGATAATAATAATTAAAGTATAATTTCCTGTAATCCAGAACTACTGACCCCAGCAGCAGGACTTTGGCTGTCTCTGATCCAAAGGTAGTGGACATCCGTCTGGTCTCCGTCGGTTACGGAGCCCCTAAGAACCAGAGAGCTGTTGGGAAGAGAAACGGTGTGGCTGCCGCTGGCGTGGGCCACAGGGGGGGGACTGGGGGCTGCAGGGGGGAGAAGGACAAGAAACAACATGGAGGTCTGGTACAGCTGCCCCCCCCCCCACACCATTATGAAGTGAACCCTCTGACCTTCATGCACTCTGACACTCAGCGACGCTGACCCCTGCTGGTCGGGCACGGTCAGCCTGAACGTGTCTGCCTGGATGCCCGTTGCTGTGTTGACTGCCTGATCCGCCCCATCCAGTCTTACCCCAAGCGGCCCACTGCAGAAAGCACAGCTGAGTGGGTACAGAGGCCTAAGGAATGTTACGGATCTCCTGATCAGGCCTCATACCTGACGGCGTCCAAGCGGTAGCTCTCAATGCCAACGTCGTCACTGATGTCGCCGCCGCCATCGAGCAACAAGCTGCTGACCGGGAGGAGCAACTTCCTGTTCCGACCCACCACCGGGCCACGGTTTGACACCCCAACCTCTGATACTGATCAGACAAAGACGACATGAACTAAAATGTACTGGTGTACACTCACTGTTCCTTCTTCTTTGTGGCGACCGTGGAGTACAGAGAGCTCGCCGGTAACCGTAGCTTTGGTGGTTTAAACCCTGGCTGCTCCATCTCCCACGTCGAAGTGTCCCTGAGCAAGACACCTAAACTCCCACTCCGTGGAGTAGAGAATAACTTGGCCACAGGGCTGATAAAGGATACGGTCTTTTTCTTACTGGAGGAAGTTTGTGGATTGAGTTAGAAACAATTAGAAACTAGTGTTTCTAATTGTTCTTGTGTTGCTCCCCTGTAGTCTGACCTGACATTAACTCAGCTTAATGTCTAATGGCACTGCCTACCCTGTCAAAATTCAAACATAAAAATGTTTATTAAATAATGGTATTAAATAAACTTGTATTTTTACAGTTTATTCTTGTGGTGTATATTTGCAATATGTGCGTTGTTTAGGTCTAATTCTTTAGACCAAGGGTGGGCAAACTACGGCCTGCGGGCCCGTTGGGCGTTTTGACTCCGCCTGCCGAGTATTATGAATTATAAATTATAGAAAAGACCGCTGTAACACTTCTTTGTTTCGACTTGAATTTCCCGAAGCACGATGACGGCAAAGACCAGCAGCGATGTTTCTTAACTCAAGTCGGGAACATAGTGAAGCCAGTCGTAAAACTTGTTAACTGTATACGAGCGAGGGGACTTCAGCATCGGCAAATTATTCAGTTCCTTGAGGAAAGTGATGCTGATCACCAGCACTTGCTGTATCACTCTCGTGTCCACTGGCTAAGTTTGGGGAAAGTATGTCGACGAGTGTGGGAGCTCAAAGGGGAGATTAGCGCATTTTTGGAGTTAATCGGGAAAGCTGATGATTTTCTAGAGCTGAGCGACGCAGATTGGCTTTGTGATTTTGCTTTTGCTGTGGACACATGAATGAGCTGAACATGAAGCTACAAGGGAAAGATCCGTTTGTGCATGAAATGTACACAAATGGGAGGGCCTTCAAAGCCAAGTTGACTTTATTCTCAAGACAAATTTCAAACAAATTTCCCCACACTAGCGACACTGAAAAAGAGGCCCCTCAACATGTGAAGAAATACAGCAAATCACTGGACAACCTGCACAGAGAATTCTGCCGTGTCCCCTGTCACAAGACTATGAAACGGTGCAACAGGAGTTGCAATTGGAACTCATTGATCTTCAATCTGACGCCATCTTAAAGGAGAAGTTCAACTCCCTTAACCTGGCTGCATTCTATACTTCACTAAGCGAAGCCAAGTTTCCAAACATGAGGAGGACGCCACAGAGGCTGCTGGTGTTGTTTGGCTCTACTTACATGTGTGAGCAGATGTTCAGTGTGATGAAAAAAAAGAAATAGTAGAATGAGCAGTGCTTTTACTGTCCATTCATTGCGGACGACAAGCATTACATTACATTACATTTCATTTAGCTGACGCTTTTATCCCAAGCGACTTACAATAAGTGCATTCAACCATAGGGTACAAAGAAGAAGAAAGTGCAATTTGCTCAAATAAGCCAATTTACAATTGCTATAGATAAGTGACGTTACAAGTACAATTTAAGTGCTACAGGTAGTTAGTGTGTTAGTGGAGGTAGAGTCTGAAGAGGTGTGTCTTTAGTCTGAAGATGTGAAGGCTCTCTGTGGTCCTGATGTCTTCAGAGACCTCCTTCCACCATTTAGGAGCAGGACAGCAAAGAGTGGTGATCTAGTCGAGTGTTTTGCTCTCAGTGAGGAGGAACAAGCAGTTTATCACATGCAGAGCGGAGAGTGCGGGTCGGGATGTCGGGTTGGACCAGGTCCTGGATGTAAGCTGGACCCCATCCATTCACAGCCTGGTACGTGAGCACCAGTGTTTAGAACTGGATGAGCCACCGGTACCAGTGAAGAGAGCGGAGGAGTGGAGGAGTGAGGGAGAACTTAGGAAGGTTAAAGACCAGTGGAGCTGCTGCATTCTGGATGAGCTGCAGAGGTGGAATGGTGGTAGGAGACCTGCAGGAGAGAGTTACAGTAGTCCAGGAGGGAGATGACAAGAGCCTGAATCAGTACCTTCTGAGTGAGAAGAGGACGTGTTCTCCTGATGTTGTAGAGCGAGTATCTACAGGATGGTGTTGTCAGTGATGTTGCAGTCAGGGAGAGTCGGCTGTCGACGTCACGCCGAGGTTCCTGCAGTCAAAGTGGGCGTTAACATGGAGTTGCCAAAGTTGACCGTCAAGTCCTGGGTCGGAGAATCTTTTCCCGGAAATAGAAGTAGTTCAGTCTTGTCGGGGTTGATTTTAAGATGGTGAGCGGACATCCACTACATTACATGTCATTTAGCTGACGCTTATATCCAAAGCGACTTACAATAAGTACATTCAACCATAGGGATACAAGACATCCACTGAGAGATGTCATTCAGACAGGCAGAGATCCGTGCCACCACCTGAGCGTCCAGGGGTGAGAGGGGTCGGCTACGATGTATTTAGCTCGCTTCAGGGCTAAAAAGATGGTAGCCGACCCCTCTCACCCCGGACAAAAACAGTTTGTGCCCCTTCAATCTGGCATGAGGCTGATGTCCATCAGGATTCAGACCTCCCGCCACACAAACAGTTTCTTCCCCCTGGCAGTCGGGCTCATCAACAGAGCCGGTCCCCCACTGACTGACTCTGACATCCCACTGGTCACTTTCTTTCTCACTGCACACGTCACTTTCACTTGTCACTTTCTGACAGGCAGAGATCCGTGCCGCCACCTGGGTGTCCGAGTGAGGGAAGGAGATAATTAGAGAGAGAGTTGGTGTAGAGCGAGAAGAGGAGGGGACCCAGGACGGAACCCTGAGGAACTCCAGTAGTAAGAGGACAAGGTTCCGACACAGATCCTCGCCAGGTTACCCGGTAGGTGCGGCCGTCGAGGTAGGACGAGAGAAGGGAGAGATCAGAGCCTGAGACACCAAGTTCCTGAAGGGAGGAGATAAGGATCTGCTAGTTGACTGTGTCAAATGCAGCAGAGACGTCCAGAAGGACGAGGACAGAGGACAGAGAGGAGCTCTAGCAGTGTGGAGTTGCTCTGGGACAGCAAGGAGAGCAGTCTCTGTGGAACGGCCTTGAAGCCTGACTGGTGGGGGTCAAGGAGGTTGTTACGGTGGAGATAGGAGGAGAGTTGGTTAAAGATCACACGTTCAAGAGTTCTGGACAAAAAGGGAAGAAGAGAGACCGGTCTGTAGTTGTTTTCTTCAGAAGGGTTGAGGGTGGGTTTCTTCAGGAGAGGGTTAACTCTTGCTTCCTTCAGAGAATTGGGAAAACAGCCAGATAACAGAGCATTGTTGATGAGACAGGTGAGGAAAGTAGTTGACAAAGTCTCCTGGAAGAAGGGGGAGGGGGGAGGAGGACTAGGGGGTTCGAGGAGGTTGGAGAAGATCGAAAAGAGTCTTAGTTGACACAATAAGCTACCTCAATATTGGTGGGGAAAATTGTACAATGGAGCGGTGGCTAGTAGGTGGGAAAAGGAAAGCTGATGAATCAAACGCAACAAGCAAGTCCTCAGATAATGAATTCCTGAAAACTAAAAAAAGGAGTACCTATCACTGGGATTTACCAGTTTAGGACCAGAAGACGATCCCTTGCCCATCTGTGTGCTATGCTCGGAGGTGCTAGCAAACGAGTCACTGAAACCATGCAAGCTGCGCCGCCATCTAGAAACCAAACATGGCCAATACTCATCGAAGCCTCGAGAATTTTTCGAAAACAAGCTAAAAGAGTATATGAGCCGTAAGAAAACCATTGAATCCACGTGTGTCACTGGGAGTGAAAACGCCAATGCAGTTGAGGTGTCCTACCAAGTAGCAAAGCTGATAGCAAAAACCGGGAAGCCACACGCCATTAGGGAGGATTTGATTTTACCTGCTGCCAAAGAGATGGCACTTTCTGTGAATTGATCCAAACATTGTGTAATTATTGTGTAATGTTTACATGGAAAATGGCACTTGATTCAAATAAAAGGTTTATACATTTGCCATTAATTGTTGATTGCTTGTTTATAATATCCACAATTAATTTAAACCTGATTTCCTTACAAGAAACAACAGGGATCTCGGAAACTTTGCCTGCACTGTCCAGTAAAGTTACTGAATCGATTTCAAGTCACTGAATCGAATCGAATCGTTCTAAATGAACCCAGATCGTCCATGAATCGATCGGCAACCATGAATCGCGATTCGAATCGAATCGAATCGTTGTTGAAATTAATCGTTACACCCCTAATAATTAACCCTTTAGGGACCATGACTGCCCCACGGCCACCTACACAGCAAAACTCTTAAGAGTTAATTTTCCGGTCCGATGTACCTGTACTTGCTGTACATGATGATGATTTCAAACTAATCCTTGTTGGGGCTGTAATAGAGGTTATTTCAACATTATGATTCATGATTGTTATCATAAATACTTTTTTCTGGAGGGGTTTGTAACCATGACGTCATACTATAACCTATACCTGGCTGCAGGGACGTGCTGATAGGCCGATGGGGCTGAGCTGGAGCGGGAGTCCTTATATGGTTGCGATGGGAGTAGACAGTCGTTCGATCTACGCTGCTTCGTGTATTGTTCTGTGAAGAAAATAAACATCTTAATAAACTAATATAACTCTGTCCAGGTTAGCAGTTCTCAATGCTTCTAGTCTTTATGCTAAGCTAGGCTATCAGCGTAACATCACACCTTAAATCCATCGGAACTTATATGTAATATGATGGAGTGAACCCCTCACCGTCGTATCTGCAGCACCAGTCGGGCTCCAGATGTTTCCGTCTCCCTTCCACCCCGACGAGTCTCTGCTTTGCGTCCACCCTCCCTCCAAACCCTCCTCTGCCTCTGATTGGTTTAACTGGTCTCTTCTCTCCAGAGACTCCCCCCTCTCTTCCTGACTTACCTCTGGATACGCTGCCTCCAGAGTGCCGGCAGAGAGTTCCATTTGGGGTCCGTCCAGCAGGTCCAGGTCCTCTAAGGCCTCCAGGTACCCGGGACCTCTCAGGTCCTCCAGGTCCCCGGGGGCCTTTGAGGACTCTGAGAGGGCCCTCAGGCGGCCTGTGTATGCCCCCCCCCTCACCAGCGACTGCAGCCCCAGGGTATGGGGCGACGTTCTCCGCAGAAAGGCGAGGAAGGAATCGGCCCCGGGTCTGTGCTGGGGCCGACACTCATCGCCCTGACAGTTCACGACGTAGCAGCGTCCCTCGAACATCCAGGCCAGGTTGTAGCCTGGTAGGTCGCAGCATGCCGCCACGCACTGCTGCAAAGACACCATGCCGGGGACGCGCAGCACGCCACCAGACGTTACCGGCGGGCACACCACCGCTTTCGAGAACGTGGCCCCCTGCAGGCACTGGGACGTCACTGCAGCTGCAACACGACACATCTCTCATGTTGGGAAGCTCCATGTGAGGAGCTTAATAACTTCAATAATCTCAGTCTTTCTGCTTTCTGTGGATGTTGGTTTTACCATCATTATTATCAGTGGTGACTGGCCCATAGAGGGCCATGGAGCGTGGCCCCACCTTCAGCCATAAAAAAAAAAAGATTATTTGTGGCTTGTGTCATTTGTGTGTGTTTTGGAAACATGGAATACACCCAATAGCAGAGGTTTCAAAAGTATTCACATTCAAGTAAAAGTATAAAAGTACTGGTTTCCAAACTACTGAAAGAATAAAAGTAAAAGTAATGTAAGGGTTAAAAAATCCATTAAGGACAAACTCTTAATGTGTAACCTCGCTCACAGAACACGTCAGTCCGTTACAATATTATCGGCAGATAATAGTGCCTTCAGATCATGCAACCTCAGATGATGCAAACATGGCGATATTCAGAGAGGCAAGGCTGAAACAACAGAGGAATAAATGTATTGACGTGCATGCTATATATATCTGTTATAATGATGGGGAAACTGGCAGCGGCCAAATGACCCGTCTCAGGCTTTATGAGCAAATACAGAATGTATATATATATATATATATATATATATATATATATATATATACACATACAATGTTATTTTAAAGACAAAACTACACACATTTGATCATCTTGGAGGCAGAATTCCACCGGGTGGAATTAAATTAAAGTTAACTAGCGACTCTTCCTGCTGTCCTATTCCTATTACAAAAAGTATGCATATATCTCATGTTGCCATTCTGTATGCTGAGCTTTAGTAGCCTACATATTGATTTAACATAAATAACATGAATACATTGTGCATGTGTTTATTTATTGAATGTATTATCTGTTCTATTTAATGTTATTTTCATGTGAAAATCCATGGTTATAATTATAATAATTTATAAGTATGCAGTGTCATAAATGCCTCTCTGTACAGGTTGGGGATTTCAACATGCAGCATTTCTTGATGTATATTTGTAAAGGAAAAATCTATTTTAGAACATTATTATATTTCTTAGAACATAACAATTATTATTAATAAATAAGTATGCAGTTTCATAACTACATCTCTGACGTTTATAACAAACCAAACCGTTTAAAGATTGGTTGAAAATGAAGCAAGTTAACGCAGTTATCCGTGAGCGAGCTGCCTATAGCAAGATGGCCGCCACGTGCGGATGTTCGACTCAATGCGGACGACAACTAGAACTTTACATATATACCTATGATGTCGCGCCTCTGTTGATGTTGACAACCCTAGTGTATATATATATATATATATATATATATATATATATATATATATATATATATTGTACAGTCTATATACATGTTTGTGGTTCTTCAACTTTACTTCACTTACTTGAATCCAGATGTTGTTTGTTTATTTGTATTTTCTAAATTTTTAGGTGTTTTACCTTCGACACTGTGAAGCAGCAGCAGAAAGATTTTCTCCCACATTGTCGGCCTGAAACAAACACATCACAAACGTTACAGTCTTTAGTCATTATTATTCATATTAACGGTACCCAGGTCTTCAGTACACATCTGTCTGTAACTCATACTCACAAAATATGCTTACAAGCTGCAGTAGTGTGTAATGACTCCTGGAACGTTTAAGAACCACGCTGCCGGACAGCGCCAGCCGAAGCCCCGCCCGGCAGCACACGACACGCTGCTCAGGGCCTCAAAACAAGCGCATCGTCATGCCTGTGACAAGCAAAACAGCTGTACTAACGTCGTTGTTGTTTTTTACAATATACCATATCAGTGCGTTCCACTTGATGTATTCAAAGTTGTGAAAGACAAATAAAGAAATGTTTCGCAGTCTGCTCTTCTTGAAAGGTGTTTACTCCAGACTTCTTTCAAAATGTTTACCAGTTAGTTTCCATCCTTATCAATACAGAATTATGATTAATGACATATAAAGCAGATCAGCTTCAGTGTTTGCATTGATCACTTTCACATTCGGCATACATTGATTTCACTACGCAACACCTCCAACTTCTTAAGTGTGTCTGCTCAGGATGCAGATTGAACTTCACTCCATAACCATTAACTAGCAGGTTTAACCCCTTTTAGACTTGGAATTGTGTTAAAATCAACCAGTAGAGTGAGACATATTTCAATTTTCTCTAGCACGTGACCACTAATGACGTTAACCTTCTCATTAAATCATTTATTTCTACCACATTTTCGACAGTATGAGCCGGAGGCTAGAAGGCCAGTAAGCTAGTCACGTACACACGTAAGAGAATCTAAACTAACGCTATTTAACACACACCGCAAACAAACAAAGATTCAGCGTCGTGCTATTTAACCGTTCAAACATTGGAACGTCCACGTTTAAAAGCTGACCATGAACGCACCTGTGCGTAGCTCCTCGCTGGTTCCTCACTGGTTCCTCTCTGGGTTCTCACTGGTGGATCCGGTGGATCCGGTCTAAGCGGTAATGGAGCACTCCGCCACACCGACTACCAGCATCTAGCAGACAGCTAAGCAGTGATGAGGGTTCCAGACATCCCCACTTCAGCTGCATCATCATCATCATCATCATCATCATCATCATTCCCTGGCGACGGAGAACCCGGACCGGACCGTCTAACAGAACCAGAAGGAGCAGTACGATGACAGGTGACAGCATGTAGTGATAAGCCAGACCCACCAGAGGGCGCACTGGGTCCAGCTGAAGTCCAATGAGACTTACATGATGAACAATTCTAGGTTCTAAAGGAAACAATATTGATAGAAATGCATTGTGTGTTTGAGGTCAAACTGTACCTTTCCCAGTATAATCCAGATTGTGATATACGTAGGGGGGTATTTACAATGTTAGCGTCAAAGGGAAACCACATTGAACGCGTGAAGAAGTGATTCGGGGGAGATCACATGACCTCATCTGGTCCGCTATTTATGAACATAAGCACAGTGTGGGATTGAAGCCCAGTCCGGCTCTCCAGACCTAAACACAACCATTTGTGTCCGGTCCGTTCAACACGTGACTTACCAGAAAGAATTCCGATTCAATCGACTCTTCGCTACACGAGCAGCGTAGAGACATGGACATACACTCCATCCGGGCATAGTTGTCAAAATAAAAGAAGCACATCGCCATTCTTGTATTTTAGAATGTGTTTTTTAATTGACTATATTTTTAAATGAGGGTATATGCAAACACATTTTTTTTGTAGAAATAACTTTAATGAGCAATTAATTATTTTATTTATTAAGTTTAAAATGTAAAATAGTTATTTACCGAACGTTTTCTAAGCTTCCTGTAAAAATGATTGATGCATTTGTCCTTCACGACTGTAAATAAAGTTGAACATACTAATTACAGCCGTTTTGCTTCCTCACAGGAATGAAGGTGCTAACGGTGGCACTGTCCGGCAGCGTGGTTCTGAAGAGGTCAATGTGCCAAAACAATAAAATATATATATTTTAATAACTATGTTGTAAGAACTTAAATGTTTCCCCTTAGACAGCAGAAGCAGTTGGTGCTCATCATCTGATAATCAAGATGTTTGTGCTTTGATGTTTATAATCTTGTGGTGTCCAAGATGATCGTCTACCTGCAACTATATTCCCGCACTGAAGATCAAGACCTTGGGAGTACCCTTGACGCATGACTTGTATGTGTCAGTTCTGTCTCCTGCTTGCAAGTATTATTTAATGTTCTGTTTAATAATTTTGCAGCGCTGTCAAGTAAGACGTTTTCAAACAAATGCATTTTTTAACTTAACTTTTATTCCTTTATTTTTAAAATAACCCATAGCCTTATATTACTAAACCATATCATTATATTTTATTTCTTTGGCACTGTTGCCTTGTCGTAGTCTGATGTTACGCACCAACCGCCAAGTCAAATTCCTTGTATGTCTGACATATCATGGCAATACATTTTTTCCTGATTCCGGAAATAGTTAATATGCTGTTATTTTCAAGGTTTGCACGTCTTAAATCCGGTATATTTTACAGAAACTAGAACAATAAAGGTTAAAAAAATGACATTTGAGCTCATCTGTCTTTTATTTTTGTGTTTTCTTAAAAAAAAAACATTTACAAATGAAACGACAGCCTTTTATAAATTACAACAGCAAACACTAAAATCTATTTTAAATAGTTTATGCGGACTGTTATAATAAAACAAGGTGCAGTTAAAATAAGCCATGTGGTGCTTTGAGGGCAAAACATAAAATGACTTTCACTCATAAAACAAACTTCACATTCAAATGTTTTCATGCTGCACATACCGATTCAAAATAGCTTTGCTCCAGAGCTTATTTAGTCACAGTTATAAAACCACTAATGGTCTTTTCCCTTTTTAACCTGAACGGAGAAGATTTAGATGTGATCAGATTAACATGAAGTTGGATGTTAAACTAAAGAGTTCTGAAAAGTACCAGATTAATTTAACACCAGCATTAACTGACTTGTTACATTTTAACATTGTTACAGATTAACCAAATCATTCCCAACAGGGTCCAACCTCCACTCCAATACCCACTAATACCCGTTAATACCTGCTGGTACCCACTGGTACTCATTGATACCCATAGATACCCGATGCGTGGCTCAGTGAGGATTGGCTGATCTACTAAACGTCTCACACAACGAGACACATGCCTGATGCATCCGATTTAAAGATTATAAACTTCAAGTTTATAATTTCTTCTTTAGCGATTATAAACATTTATATGTAACAACACAATGTGTTCATGAGGTCCGGAACAGAACAGACATTGCTATCAGATAAATACTCAGACTGGTTAGAACCTGCTTTCAGGCCTCTGGAGGATTTTGTAGCAACTATGAGAATTAGGGATTTATGTCACATGACATAAGATTTAAAGTTTTGAGGTTTAAATAAGTGAGTTAATTAAGAGCTGACTCTGTTGGTCACGATTCTGTCCGTCTTTAGGGTTCTGACCAACGGAGATAATTAGCCCTTAGGGTTCTTTCGGGTTCGGACTACCAGAGAAGCTGATCTCCTACAGGCTTTGAGACTCTAGTGGTTCTCTTGGAGCTCTGAAGGGAAACCCTCAAGCTTCTGGTTTGTTTGTTTTTATTTGAGGGAGGACAATTAAAATGTTTCCAGTCATGAAACCTGCGTTACGCTCCATTAGATGAAGGCTTCTTTTTTATTCTGGTAGGAAGGTGGGTCTGAGTAGTTTTATGTAGAGATTCATACAAACGGATGTTTGAGAAAGAAAGTCTCAGCTTGTTTGATTAACTGAAAAGAAACTGAAGATATTTTTCTAATCTTGTTTTTTCTTTAACAAACCTTCTGACAGCTTGAGTTTCCTTGTAAGTGTGAAGCTTCCTTTTCGGTCCTGATTCCACCTTTTTAAACAAGTCTTTACTGTTGTGTTCACGGTCTCACTGATGACACATCTAGCATATCAGCTACTGAGGTTACAACTACCGTCACCATTTGGGTTAAGAAAACAGGGACAGGGATTCTTCTGTACATGGACCACCCTTCTCCCCTTTAGACAATGCTCTTCTCCACCTTGACCCATAATGCATCGAAGGACATGAAGACCTTGAAGATGAAGAACATCTGGAGTCACATCAACAAGACAAACTACAGCAGATAGGGAGGAGCTCCCGCGTCCATGGTGAGGTGAACAACACAAGCAGGCCTAGGGTGAGGGAAGGAGGTGTGGGGGTGGAGGGGGGAGTCCGGGGTCTGCACTGCCCCCCCCAGAGGGAGGGGTGCTGCAGGACGGAGCCTCGCGCTCCTCGGTCATTAGCACTCGAGAGGCGGGTGAAAGCTGCGTCTGCAGTCTACAGCTTTGGGTCCTGGAGGCTGAGCTCGCTTCTTACGGAGCTCCTCTCGTCCCACAGAGCTGCTGAGCCGAGAGTACGCCGCCTTGTACTTCTTATCGAAGGCTGCTGCAGAAGGAATAGGAGAAGGTGGTCAGAAGTTTCTTTCACTGGTTTGCTTGATGCCAGTGGAACAGCCCAAACAAGTCTGTGTTTCCCCAAGTTTACAACCTTTGGGACGGGGGGGGGGGGGGTCGTCTATGCTGTACGAGCACACATGACTGGGCAGAATTGTATTACATTACATGCTATTTAGCTGACGATTTTATCCAACGCGACTTGCATTGCATTTTTAACACATGTTTGTACCCATCCCCACACAGGGAGCAGTGTGCGGCCGTAAGGGTGCCGGGGGCAGTTAGGGGTCGGTGTCTTGCTCAGGGACACTTCGACATGAGCAGCCAGGGTTTGAAACGTCAAACCTTGCGGTTCCCGGCGCACCCTCTACTCCATGTGCCACGGTGGCTCCCATCATCATCTTTAATTCCAGACTTTCTTGGGGGGGTTGGGCGACCCCCTTGTTCATTGGTAGGGGAAACGCAGCAGACTGGTGAATGTCTGCACGTGTAGATTCTACCTTTCACACGGCTTGCTGCAGGACTCTTAACCGCTGATGCAACGCTCACACAACGAGACGATGGCGCGTCGCTGAAGAGTTCTTAATGGTCATGGTTACAATGAATAACCCACAACAAACACTCTTTAACAGGGTGAAACACCACAACACAACAGCTTGCAACACAAACAATTTGTAACACTAATAATTGTACATTTCTAAAAATCACCCCGTCGAACTGCATGCTGGGTACAGAAAACACAGAAAAGAGCGATACAAGAGGGACAAGAGACCAGAGATGCACCAACACAACTGGAGCTGTGTCTTTTTGGAGGGTTTTATGTTTTGGGAAATCCAGCGTAAGATAGATCAGAAATTGATTTATTGCAAAGTCTGTTGAGCTTCTGTTGGCAACACTAGCAGCCACAACAACCTAACACACTAACACGCTAACGAGCTAAAACGCTAACAACCTAACACGCTAACGAGCTAAAACGCTAACAACCTAACACGCTAACAAGCTAAAACGCTAACAACCTAACACGCTAACAACCTAACACGCTAACTTGCCGGTTACAAGCTCGCCGCCCAGTTGCGAGTAAGTTGGCCAGCGAGCGGCCCAGTCCTTTTCGGGGTCAATGAATTAATGAATCAAAAAAATCAATAGTGATATACCGGGATACCGCCAGAATCTTAATACCGTGCAGCCCTACCCACTGCCTCGCTATACTTCAACATAGAGAAATGATTTGAAGCTTTCTAACGGCGGAAAGTCTCGGCTTTATTATGCCAAAAGGGCTTATGCAAACCTCCAATGGCTTTCTTGTAATCATAGTAGGAACCAAAGAGCCCGTTTCTGCGTTTACAATGGGTGTCTATGTGGGCGGGACTGGATTGTTAGAGGGTGAAGCAGCGTCAGAATCTGGTTCAAAAATAATTTATGCTTTGCCACCATTTCCACAATATTCACTCTTCATACTTAATTTGTGGATAAAATGATGGGTGTGCTCGTGCTGGTCGTACTGCTGTGTCTATGGAATCCCTCAGACGTTTACTTTGGCACTAGACCACTGAGAGTGACACAAAGGCAGACTCAACTTGCATAGGTCAGATACAAATCTGCAGAGGGTAGACGTTTTGAAAACCTGCGATAGAGCTGTATTTATGACACCCTGACATATAAATAACATTTACGTGTTCGGTAGAGGCTTGGGTCCTTATGTTTTGGGTTGGTACTATGGTTTTGCGGTTACAAGAACTTGTTTGAGTGCGCAGACAATAAGTAGTAATAACAGGACAAAACTGCTGACAAGTGGCTAAAAGAGCCAGAGAACATTGGTCATGTCTTTAGTTTGCTAGCTAGCCTTTGTGACATCTGCACAGTCTACGCCACACTCAAAATTTCTGCGGAAATCTTCTAGTTGTTGTTACTGAATCCAACTTACTTTTACTTTAGGAAACCGTTATGAACCTAACGCAGGAATGAAATACAACAACCCTGAATTAAATGATCACCTCAGTAACGTTTTATGGGTTTCTTCCATCCAATAATAACAGATGTACTCTGTGTAATCCAGTAAAGTTCAGCAGAACCACAAACTACAGCTGCTCCTCTTCCTTACTGCTGTTTCTAATACAGAGAGCGAGCAAAGGCAGGGGGGAGATGTAGTTTTAAAATGAGTGGTTATTTTTTCTGCTTTTTTTTAAATCATTTTTTAAATCATTTTCTCAGCTGGGAGATTTTTAAATTTTTTTATTTGCATGCTGATTTAACCAAAAATATAGGTTGGAGGGACAATAGGTCAAATGGAGCCTTAGAACTAAACTCCAGGCCAACCTCTTTTCAATTGAGCAACATTTTATAAGCCTAGAAGATCCTGATCGGTTGTTTAGCCAGTGTTGGGACATCTTCAGTGGGAGAAACCCTAACAGATGCTTGTGAACTGTGTCACATGGCGTTGAGTTGAGGGAAATCTTACCAACGTGGTCTTTGCCCATAGCTGCCAGTGTAAGGAACAAGAACTCTCTGTACAAACTCCTGCAGAAAACAAAGTACACAAATTATTAAAAAAGTCTTGTAATGCCACTTCAATGCAGAACAACCTGTACTTTAACTAAGACATTCCCAGTTGACTAATATCTAGTTAAAAAACAGGTCCAACTAAAATCTATACAGTGATGGTTTGATCCCACTAACCATGTTTTAACCCCAGTGAAACCAAAGTAGGACACCAGTATAAACCCAGTGTAAACCCCAGTTTAGCCCCAGTGTAACCTGTTATGGATTAATGCTCTACAGCTTTACCTATTTAAGTCTTCTCTAACACGTTGACTTTATCCACCCGACTCGTGGTGAGGACCCACACACCCTCACAGACCAGGAACTTTCAGTCACACACCCATAGAACACACTGAAGATTCGGATCCCTCAATTCAGGGAAACTTATTGGAGCAACACACACACTCGAATAAACAGAGCTTTTTCTGGAACGACACGGACAAGGCAATGACACAACACGTTAGTTTATACATTCCTTTCACCAATAGATTGAATGGAACCTCCCCTCTGTCCTAACAGCGTAACTGTCCCCCGTTCCTAGCGCCTACACACACACTCTCATGTGACCCGTGTCCCACTCAGTGTCCCTACACCATCTCTTTCTGGGCTCAGGAAGTCTTAGTGCGGCTGAGACTCAGACCTTTTATCTCCTTTTCTCACAGGTCTTTTTATGTCTAACTGTCAGTGTGCCTAAGTAACCCTGGTTTAACCACTGTGTAACCCCCACCTCTGAGTCCAGGCCCCCTGCTGTTTTTCCAGCGTATCGAGGTAGAGGGTGACCGCTTTGTGGACCTCGTTCATGCCGATCCAGCGCAGCACCTCTTCCAGGAAGGAGAGCGTGAATGGGTGGTTATGTCTCCGCCAGCTGTAGCTCCTCATTAGGACGCCACCTGGTGGAAAAGGAGGTAGGTGGAGTCTAATGAAAGAGTTAAACAAACTGGAAAGAGCAGTGTTCCTGAGTCTTTGTTTTACTGTGGATCCTCCAGAGTATGTAGAGGGGGGGCCACTGGTCTGTGTCGGGGGTCAAGGTGTCCCAGAGGAGCCTCACCCTGACTGCTGAATTCTCTGACTGGGAAGCACAGAGGAAGAGACAAATTTAGTCTGATGTCAACACAACTTTTAGTGAGTTGTAGCGTTGTGAACACAGTTTCTAGCTGTTGGTCCACTACCACCTGCGTGCTACCTGGGCGAACTGGCCCATCAGTGGCGAGGCCCGGACCAGCTGCAGCAGATTACTGGGCAGGCCGAGGCGCTGGAAGTACCACACCAGGTTCCAGAAGATGATTGAGTGGTTCTCCAGGAATTGAGGCTGGGCGAGGACCGCCTCACCCTCGTTCTCTAGAAGACTCTCCAGCTCCTTCCTCAGGACCAGAGGGCTCAGGTAAGCCACTGTCACCTGGGGGGCGCCGCTCATTGAGGAGGCCTGAGGGGGGTTAGAGACTGTCTGCATGACAGGAAGTACGGCGGACGAGAGGATAAAGACTCGTTTAAGATGCAAGTTACCATGGTGGTTCTGCTGTTCTCGGAGTAGCTGCTGGTCTCAGAGCTGGAGTCTTCACTCAGACCGTTACACTGGTTCTTCAGCTCCTGATCGCTGGGGGGCCTCAAAGCACTCTCCACCTTGTCCTCCACGTTCCAGTTGGTAGGCTCCGCACTCAGAGAAGAGGACAAGGTGGAAGACTTAGCATGGACGTTAGGGGAGTATTGTAGGTTTTTCGCCCTTATAGGACAGTGAACCTCATCCCCACTATTTTATCTGAAATTTTGGTATATAATAAAGCACCGAATGATGTTACTATAATCACATAAATATTTTACTTCCTAGAGACCCAGTTCTAGTGAGATTCTAATGACCCGGTTCACAGATTAAGGTCTACCTGACCACAGGTCCGAGGTCACAGACCTCAGCGTTCAGGAAGGGGACGAAGGAGGCGCAGCAGAAGGGGCAGGAGGAATTGAGGTTAGAGTCGTCGGAGGTCCAGCCAGCCATGATCTCCTCGTCGTAGACCAACGAGTTACAGCTACGACACAGGGAGCAGCTGGACATCAGCACCTGGGAGCCACAGGGAGGAAGTACTGATGACACAACGTGAGGACACATGATGTCATGCCCGTACATCGGCCTAAATCACTGGTTTCAATAGCAGCACGTTATTTATATTTAAACTGAGGGTGTCAAGTCAAAGATGAATACTTGGGGTTTTAAGGAAAATGCATGGAAAAGAAAAACAGAAAGAGGGGAGGGAAAATTGCACTTCACCATCACTTGTGCACACCCCCAAGAGGAGGACAACAGGTGCCTAATCAAGCTCAGCAGGTAAAAACGCCACGGCAGATGGAGTGTTGTGCAAAGCTCAATTACCTACGCAAGCCTGGAGAGGCAGCCGGTAAGAGAAGGAACTTTCCAACCGCGGTTTAAAATCCTATCTCGATCGAGGTCTGCTCCTGCACCGGGGCTAGTTTGTTGCATTTCAAACGGCTTAACTTTTGACTACATTTATGAAGTGTATTTTTTGCCTCTGTGATGTTACTGCAGACTTATGTGTGTTCCATGTTTCTGTTTTGTTTTTGAAGGTTTTTTTACCCGATTGTCTGACTAATTGCCTGAGATAATCACAAATGAAGTGACCAAATGCTGCTAACCTGAAAATAAAAATAAAAAGTGAAACGTAGCAACTGCCTGAGACTCAGTCATTCAATCAGTCAGCAATTTGAGTGGAATCCAGTAACCTAAATCTCCACGTAGAAGATTAAATCCCTCTTTCAAGTTGGGGAAGAGTGCAACAAACTAGGAAGACTCCCGCAAATTGACAGAGGGATAAAAAGTAAATTACTAGTAACCGTATTAAGTACAATTAAGCTGATTGACTGGAGACAAACAATAATACCTCTAAAACCTCAATAACACCTGGACTGACTTTACCTCGAGACCCGTCCCCGGCTGGTTGGCGTCCCAGGACTTTTGGAGAGGAAACGCTGGACATGGAGGGTCTGTCAAGTCCAGGTCACTTCCTAGAGACAAAGAACTCTAAAGACAAGAAGACGTGGATACAGATTACATAGCTGGTGATTAGTTAATCCTCTACAGACATGTCCCAATGGACGGCAGTTAGTGGACCACTCTTTGCTGTCCTGCTCCTAAATGGTGGAAGGAGGTCTCTGAAGACATCAGGACCACAGAGAGCCTTCACATCTTCAGACTCTACCTCCACTAACAAATTGTAGCACTTACATTGTACGTATAATGCCTCGTATCTACAGCAAGTTGTAACTTTGCTTATTTGATGAAATCGCACTTTGTTTCTTGTTCTTCTGAGTTTGTTTCCTTATGGTTGAAATGTTCTGATTGTAAGTCGCTTTGGATAAAAGCGTCAGTTAAACGACACGTAATGCCAAGTCAGAAGGAAGTAGTCTGACCTCTGAGGTAGCGCTGACCAGCCTCTCCTTGGCCTTCAGCAGTGTCTCAGCCACTTGAGCTTTCCTGGACTGCCTCTGCTCGGACACCCTGCGTCCTATGGCTCCTCCTCCTGGCCTGCGGTCGTCCACGCTGGCGGCTCGTCTGCCAGACGTTCGGTGTCTGGTCGGAGTGAGCAGCTGCTGGAGCTTCCCTGCCAGACCTCCACGGCTGGGGGATACGTTGTTGTAGTTCTCGTCTACCACTTTATTTCTGCTGGCTGAGTCTCGGGTCCCGGCAGGTCTGCAGGTCAAAGGTCAACAGACGTGACGGTCAGAACTAGAACCTGGTTGCAGGACGTAGCGTTGAGTATTTTAAACTTAGAACAGCTTGAGTATTAAAACCGGTTTTAAAACAAAGATTGACATGTGAAGAATTAGGTTGTTGAAATAAACTTTATGTCTTTCATCTAAGAAATCAGAGTTAGGACCCGACCTGCCGTCTCTCTTTGCCGGCTGGCAGCTGCAGTCCGGCTCAGATTCAGCAGACTCTGCACATTCTTTGTAGAAGGTGGAGAGGCAGACCTGACTCCGCCGCACCAGCAGGCCCCCGGGGGGGGCGATAGAAGGGGTGGAGGTGTTCGAGAGTCCCATCGGAGGCTTACAGGAGGCAGAGTCACTGCAGCCGTTGGTACCAGTGTGGCGTAGGAGGCTCTTCCGGCAAAGCGCCACCTCTGAGTGACAGAGAGAAGGAGGAGTTACACAAGATGCTGCAGAAGAGAAGATGGGTCAGTACAACATGATGATCACTGACATATTCAATGTTTGAAATTAAGGTGATGTAGATGATGAAGTCGGGTGCTGTGATATTCGAGAAGATGGTGATGAACGGCTTACTCTCGCTTGGGATGTTCATGCTGCTCAGGCTACTGCTCTTCACAAAAGAACCCGTCAGAGACTCGTGACTGGAGCTTTCAGACAGGCCGCTCCAGCTGGACTGACGGATCAGAGTGGAGTGTGGGAGAAGCCTCTGATCGGGGTCCATCGTCACTTCTTCTGAGGAAAAACAAGTAAACTACATTAAGATGTAATTCATTCAGGCATCAGGTATAGTATCAAGCACTAAACGAGATGTAGGAAGGTAAAAAAAGCCTACATGTACCTCTGAGATGCAGTAGAGCACAAACAGAAATACTACAGTTAAGTACGAGTACATGAATGTCGTCTGACCTTCCCGGGACCCCACCGAGCCGCACTTCCGCTGACGTTTGACTGGCCGCCTGAACTGAGCCACAGCCAATAGGACGTTCCTCAGCTTGGCCCAGCGGAGACGTCCTCCCTGATTGGTCGAGGGCCACTTACTCTCCAGCACCGCCTAAGGACAGAGTTCATGTGATCATACTTATTGTATAGATTATAATAAGAATTCGGGTGCATGATGGAGCACAAGTGTTTCTGTTCCATCTGGTGTCCAGCAGGGGGAACTCAGTTCTCTTAATCGCAATTGTCTAAGCAACTGCACCGGATACCCATCCAGATATATGTATGCCTTTGTCTAGCTCACTCTGTCCAACTGGAAGTCATTATCTACCTATATACATCTTTAGCTATACCCACCATTACAATTACATAGAAATTAGTATAACGTGAATATACAGTGCATCCGGAAAGTATTCACAGCGCTTCACTTTTTCCACGTTATGTTACAGCCTTATTCCAAAATGGATTAACTTCATTATTTTCCTCAACATTCTACACACAACAAACCATAATGACAAAGTGAAAACTGTTTTTTGCAAATCTGTTAAAAATAAAGAAGGAAAACATAACATGTACATAAGTATTCACAGCCTTTGTTTAATACTTTGTTGAAGCACCTTTGGCAGCAATTATAGCCACAAGTCTTGGGTGTGATTCCACAAGCGTGGCACACCTATTTCTGGGCAGGTTCTCCCGTTCTTCTTTGCAGAACCTCTCAAGTTCCATCAGGTTGGATGGGGAGCGTCGGTGCAGCCATTTTCAGATCTCTCCAGAGATGTTCAATGGGGTTCAGGTCAGGGCTCTGGCTGCGCCACTCAAGGACATTCACAGAGTCCCGAAGCCGCTCCTTTGTTATCGTGGCTGTGTGCTTCGGGTCGTTGTCCTGTTGGAAGATGAACCGTCGCCCCAGTCTGAGGTCCAGAGCGCTTTGGAGCATGTTTTCATCGAGGATGTCTCTGTACATTGCTGCATTCATCTTTCCCTCAATCCTGACGAGTCTCCCAGTTCCTCCCGCTGAAAAACATCCCCACAGGACGATGCTGCCACCATGCTTCACTGTAGCGATGGTATTGGCCGGGTGATGAGCAGTGCCTGGTTTCCTCCAGCCATGACGCTTGGCATTCAGGCCAAGGAGGTCAATCTTTGTTTCATCAGACCAGAGAATTTTGTTTCTCATGGTCGGAGTCCTTCAGACGGGCTGTCATGTGCTTTTTACTGAGGAGTGGCTTCCGTCTGGCCTCTCTACCAAACAGGCCTGATTTGTGGAGTGCTGCAGAGCTGGTTGTCCTTCTGGAAGGTTCTCCTCTCTTCATAGAACTGGAGCTCTGTCAGAGTGACCATCGGGTTCCTGGTCACCTCCCTGACTAAGGCCCTTCTCCCCCGATCGCTCAGTCTGGCTGGGCGGCACAACTCTAGGAAGAGTCCTGGTGGTTCCAAACTTCTTCTATTTCCGGATGATGGAGGCCACTGTGCTCATTGGGACTTTCAATGCTGCAGAAATCTTTCTGTACCCTTCGCCAGATCTGTGCCTCGATACAATTCTGTCTCTGAGGTCTACAGATAATTCCTTGGTCTTCATGGCTTGGTTTATGCTCTGATATGTCAGCTGTGATACCTTATATCGACAGGTGTGTGCCTTTCTCAATCACGTCCAATCAACTGAATTTAGCACAGGTGGACTCCAATCAAGTTGTAGAAACATCTCAAGGATGATCAGTGGAAACAGGAAGCACCTGAGCTACATTTTGAGTGTCAATGGCAAAGGCTGTGAATACATGTTATGTTTTCCTTCTTTATTTTTAACAGATTTGCAAAAATTAGCAAAAAACAGTTTTCACTTTGTCATTATGGCTTGTTGTGTGTAGAATGTTGAGGAAAATAATGAAGTTAATCCATTTTGGAATAAGGCTGTAACATAACAAAATGTGGAAAAAGTGAAGCGCTGTGAATACTTTCCGGATGGACTGTATATTGGAATATAGAAACATTTATCCTCTACAATATGTACATGTACTAGTTATGGTTAGGAACACTGCATCAAATACAATGCTTGTATAAGTGCTAATGCCTCAAATGGTTAGGTATAAATCTGGGTGTCTGTGCTGAAGTAACATATCTTTATTTCATTCTATCCAATTCTTAACAGAATATGATGGTGAAATCTAATGAGGGCAAAGGCGCAAGTTTAGTACCTGTACACACAACACAGCTTTACGCAAACTATAGATTGCCTGTAAATTTTGGTGCTGCAATAGATTATATTAACTTTTAAATAAAAATGAATGTCACCAACATCTTGGTGAAACATGCTCCGGCAGCATCCACACACACACAATCAATTTCTGTGCAATATATTAAACAACAAAAAGTAGTTATCACGACAGCACTAGTCCCAGTGAAATGTTTGTGGCTGCAGGAGAAAACCTTTTCTAGTCTACATCTTATGTTAAAATAATGTATTTTTATTTTTAAATCTGTCTTAAATAACGTTGGATTTTTCTCTTTTGTTAACAAAGTATATTATGAGGTAAATAATTGATTGCAGGACATTTACTCGTAAAAGTGTTTCTAGTCTGCTTGTAATAATACTTCTCTTCTAGTACTTTATACTGTACTAAAAGAAGTGACAACCTGTTCCACAACAGACAATGTAATGACTGCATGCGTGTGTGTGTTTGTACCTTGTTGTAGTATCCGTAGGTGATTGTGTTCGGTGTTATTCCAGCTTTCTTCATCTCCAGTAGAACTCTCACAGCCAGAACTGGCTGGCCGTACTGACCACAGAGCTGCATAAGGATCCTGTAACACACCTGAGACAGAGCAGAGGATTACTAACCCTGGACTGTATATGGGTCCCATATACATATTTGTATACATAGATAGAATACTTGTTTATTAATACAAGTGATGTTTATGTTCTTCCTCTAGTGATGTTTCATTCTACAGATGATAGTACACAGTATGAACTGCACACTGGGTGTACAGTACTACATACCTAGCATGCAGTGCACACCTCCCTGCATCAGTGACCTTTGACCTGGTGGACTCACCTCGTCAGGTAGCACCACCTTCCTGTTCTCCATGTGCTTGAGGACGTCGTATGCCGCGTGCAGCGCACGCACCTTCGCGCCCTCCGCCCGCACAAAGGTGGGCAGGTAGATGAACCAAAGCCCGTAGCAGTGACCCAGCAGGCACTTGGACCACATGTCCGGTACTGCAGAGTACTTCTGAGCTCGCTTCTGGGCCAGCTTGATCTCCTGTGTGGGGGGGAGAGGGGCTCCAATCAGTGAAAGTCTTTCAAGTTCGCTAATAACCAGGAATGTCTGGAGTGGTTATGACGGTTCCCTCACTTCTGACAGATAAGAGGCTGGTTTTTTATATTGGTTTGTTATGCACTGACTGTATGCAGTGTTGTCGTTCCGTTACCGCCGCTACTAGCTATTTATTTAGCAATCTGGCGAAAAGACCGGCCAACGAGGGAGAGGAGGGCGATCGCCACAACCAGCCCCTGAACTAAGGGATATATATTTAACCAGTCCTTTCATTCAACAGCATTACAACTATTCTACTTGCATACACACATACACATTGAGTATTATTAGAATTATTCGCATAACATCTGTACTATCTGTGCATCTCTTCTACAAGGCCACCAGACATCCAGGCGACCTGAAATCGGACTAAGTATCTCTTTCTTTAAACCAAGCTAGTCTGCTAAATTTGCTGCTTATTCTAGTGTCTTAAGTTAATTTGATTGCTGATTTGCTTTAGCTTTTGTCGTCTCACGACCAGTTCTCTTTGTTTGAAGTTATCTTGGTTGCTAGTTTGTTCAAGCTCTTTCAGTCTTTTAGTGCCAGTTTGTGTTCTAGATTCTACTATTGAGTTAACTGCCAGTGTGCCCTCCTAACTCTGCTAGGTTTTGACCTGATCTAAGTCTGTTTTGCCTTGTTTTCTGAAGCAAATAAGACTTGTATCCTCAAACTCTCATTTTGTCAAAACACCACATGGTGTTTGTTCACTGATTAGGGTGTCAAGCTATTGGTGCTTTGCATTTTGAGGAGTTTCTGTCGAGGCCAATCGACCTTTTGTCTCCTAAACGACGGGGGAGCGGCCAGCGCAGCCGCAGCCGACTTCCACTAACGAGGGAGTATTTAACTAGAAATCGTGGGAAGCGTTAGCTTATCCTCGCAGCACGAAGACGAGCAGAACAAAGACAAGGAGTCTTTCGTGGAGTCAAGACGAGCAGAACAAAGACAAGGAGTCTTTCGTGGAGTCAAGACGAGCAGAACAAAGACAAGGAGTCTTTCGTGGAGTCAAGACGAGCAGAACAAAGACAAGGAGTCTTTCGTGGAGTCTTCGGGGCGGCTGAATGCGGTGCCTTCATCTGCTATTTTTAATAATGTGTTTGACCCCTTTACCCGTACCTGTTCGAATCTCTTCCCGCAGATACTACAGGCCTCGGGCTAGATCTGCTCTCTATCGTAACCTCTCCTCTCCCTCCTATCCCACCCGCTCCACACACGTCCAGCACCTCGTCACAGGAGGTCTCTGGAACTGCCAGTCAGCGACTCGCAAGGCTGACTTCATCTCCGGCTTTGCTATCCAGCAGTCACTCGACTTCCTCGCTCTCACCGAGACCTGGATCACACCTGAGAACACATCCACCCCAGCCGCTCTCTCCTCCGCCTTCTCCTTCAGCCACACTCCCAGGCCCACTGGTAGGGGTGGTGGCACAGGTCTACTCATTTCACCCAAATGGAGCTTTTCTCTCTACCCTCTACCACCATCCACCCCATTGTCCTTTGAATTCCATGCTGTAACAATCACTCACCCGGTACAATTAACCATCATCGTCCTCTACCGTCCGCCAGGCTCCTTAGGTCATTTCTTGGAAGAACTGGACATTCTCCTGTCTAATTTCCCCGAAAATGGACCTCCGCTTATCCTCCTGGGTGACTTCAACATCCAGACAGAGAAGTCACCTGACCTCTTACACCTACTCTCTTCCTTCGCTCTGTCACTCAGTCCCTCTCCTCCTACTCACAAAGCCGTCAATCACCTTGACTACATCTTTACTAGAAACTGCTCTACCACTAACCTCTCTGTAACTCCACTTCATGTGTCTGATCACTTCTTCATCTCTTACTCCCTTCCACTCTATAACTAACAAACCTCCCTCATTGACTAACTCTGTACCGGCTCGTCGCAATATTCGCTCCCTCTCTCCCTCCTCGCTGGCATCCTCTGTTCTATCAGCTCTTCCTTCAACTGACTCCTTCTCACTCTTGCATCCGAACGCTGCTGCAGAGACTCTCCTCTCAACTCTTTCCTCCTCTCTAGACTCTCTCTGCCCTCTTACGACACGACGGACTGGCAAATCCCCTCCGGCTCCGTGGCTGTCTCAACCGGTCCGTGCCATGAGAGCCACCATGCGAGCGTCGGAAAGGAGATGGCGTAAATATAAACGACTTGAGGACCTGCTCGAATTTCAATCTCTCCTCTCCTCGTTTTCTGCTTCTATCTCTGCTGCCAAAAGCGCTTTCTAACAATCCAAAATCGAATCCTCATTCTCCAACCCCAAAAAACTCTTCTCGATCTTCTCCAATCTCCTCGAACCCCCTACCCCTCCTCCCCCCTCCACCCTTCTTCCAGGAGACTTTGTCAACTACTTCACCAAGAAAATAGCTGACATACGCTCCTCCTTCTCAAACCCACCTCCTACTTCTCGCATCCCACCGACCTCGCCTCTTTCGCCCTCACTTTCCTCTTTCACCGCCCTCTCTCCCAACCAAATTCTTACCCTAGTAACCTCTGCCCGTCCGACCACCTGCCCTCTTGACCCCATTCCATCACATCTTCTACAATCTATTGCACCCGACCTTCTTCCGTTCCTCACCTGTCTCATCAACAACGCTTTGATATCTGGCTGTTTTCCCAATTCTCTGAAGGAGGCAAGAGTCAACCCTCTCCTGAAGAAACCCACCCTCAACCCTTCTGAAGAAAACAACTACAGACGGTCTCTCTTCTTCCCTTTTTGTCCAAAACCCTTGAACGTGCTATCTTTAATCAACTCTCCTCTTATCTCCACTGTAACAACCTCCTTGACCCCCATCAGTCAGGTTTCAAGGCAGGCCACTCTACAGAGACTGCTCTCCTTGCTGTCTCTGAGCAACTCCACACTGCTAGAGCCGCCTCTCTCTCCTCTGTCCTCATTCTTCTGGACCTCTCTGCTGCATTTGACACGGTCAACCACCAGATCCTTATTTCCTCCCTTCAGGAACTTGGTGTCACAGGCTCTGCTCTCTCTTCTTCTCTCGTCCTACCTCGATGGCCGCACCTACCGGGTAACCTGGCGAGGATCTGTGTCGGAACCTTGTCCTCTTACTACTGGAGTTCCTCAGGGTTCCGTGCTGGGTCCCCTCCTGTTTTCGCTTTACACAAACTCTCTTGGCGCTGTCATTCGCTCGCATGGCTTCTCTTACCACAGCTATGCCGATGACACCCAACTAATTCTCTCCTTCCCTCACTCGGACACCCAGGTGGCGGCTCGGATCTCTGCCTGTCTAACTGACATCTCTCAGTGGATGTCCGCCCACCATCTGAAAATCAACCCCGACAAGACTGAACTACTTCTCTTTCCCGGAAAAGATTCGCTTACCCAGGACCTGACAGTCAACTTTGGGAACTCCGTACTAACGCCCACCTCGACCGCTAAGAACCTCGGCGTCACACTCGACAGCCAACTCTCCCTGACTCCCAACATTGCCGCGACAACGCGATCCTGTAGATACACGCTCTACAACATCAGGAGAATACGTCCCCTTCTCACTCAGAAGGCATCGCAGGTACTGATTCAGGCTCTTGTCATCTCCCGCCTGGACTACTGCAACTCCCTCCTGGCTGGTCTCCCTGCCACCGCCATTCGACCTCTGCAGCTCATTCAGAATGCAGCAGCTCGACTGGTCTTCAACCTTCCGAAATTCTCCCACACTACTCCACTCCTCCGCTCTCTTCACTGGCTACCGGTGGCTGCCCGCATCCAGTTCAAAACATTGGTGCTCACGTACCATGCTGTGAATGGATCGGGTCCAGCTTACATCCAGGACATGGTCAAACCCTACATCCCAACCCGCACTCTCCGCTCTGCATCTGCAAAACTACTCGTCCCTCCCTCACTGAGAGCAAAACACTCGACTAGGTCTCGACTCTTCGCTGTCCTTGCGCCGAAATGGTGGAACGAGCTCTCTGAAGACACCAGGACCGCAGAGAGCCTTCACATCTTCCGCAGCAAACTAAAGACACACCTCTTCAGACTCTACCTCGACTAAAGACTAACAAATTGTAGCACTTAAATTGTACTTGTAACGTCACTCATCTATAGCAAATTGTAAATTGGCTTACTTGAGGAAATTGCACTTTCTTGTTTCTTGTTCTCCTGAGTTTGTACCCTATGGTTGAATGCACTTATTGTACGTCGCTTTGGATAAAAGCGTCAGCTAAATGACATGTAATGTAATGTAAATGCTAAACAAATCTTAACACATTGGTTCTCGTATTTTCTTGCTCACCTGTTTGGTACGGCGGGGGGCGGGGCTATTAGGGGCGCTGCCCTTCGTTGGAACCCGGAGTTGATCCTGTGGCCGTTCGAAGAGCTCCGGCTTCAGAGTGGGGAAGGTTTCATAACTGCGGGAGAGTAAATCATATCACGATAAATGAAGTAAAACCAGATACTACCCTCCACAGGTAGATATTTGTGTACCTGTAAAGGGCTGGACATTCAGACCCGTCGGGTTCCTGTGGTTCTTCAGGAGGCATAATGAAGACCGTGTGTTCTCCGCTGTGAGTCTCATCCAGATCGATCAGCCTTACCTCCTCTGGCTTCTCCACATCCACCTGGTGACCAACAACAGGAAGAACTATAACATGGAGTGATCTCGTAATTTAACATTAAATATCGATTCCAGAAATGTTTTATCTGTTCATATGTTCCTGTGAATAGTGACATCATGCTGTATATGCCAACAGAACCTTTTGGACACACTCGTCGAAGAACTCGAGGCAGGCGTGTCGGTCACTGACAAAGGAGCACTCCTCGATGAACTGAGTGAACATCTGAGTCCTTGTCAGCTGGCTGTAGATCTTTTGCTGGCTTCGGTCCCGAGACTTCAGGAAGCCTGCAGGAAGTCATCGGTCACAGGGAGACACGATAAATACCCTGTGATACTCTGATCAATCATCTGTCATACCCTGTGATATACCGATCGATAGTAAGGGTTACCAGTAGTACCCTGATCAGTACCGACTTTGTGTGAGTGGGGAGCACGGTCGTCCTCCAATCAGAGGGTTGTCGGTTCGATCCCAGTCCCGGCTAACCTGCATGTCGATGTGTCCTTGGGCAAGACACTTTACCCAACATTGCTCCTGTAGCTGCGACTACAGCGTATGAATGGTAGTTATTGATGGCAGCTGTCACTGTGTGGTTCTCCTGTCATCAGTGTGTGAATGGGTGTCAATGGGTGAATGATGTCATGTAGTGTTAAAGCGCTTTGAGTGGTTGGAAGACTAGAAAAGCGCTATACAAGTACAGTCCATTTACCATTTACCCTTTAATACTTATTGATTCCCTGTGTCAGCCCCCTCACCCTGCAGGTTGAAGAGGGAGCTGCAGTCCGTGGTAGTGTCGGAAGGCGCTTGAGTGATGGGAAGCAGGAAGCTCCGGTAGCCTCTCAGCAGGCAGCTCATGAAGCGAAGGAAGGCCTCCTGGATCTCCAGCTCCAGCTGCTTCTGACTCCTGTAGATCTGATCGTAGTCAGTCAGCAGGAACTCCAGCGTGGCCTCCTCCTGGCCAGGAGTGCAGACTGCAGGGAGGAGGAAGGAGATCACATTCATCAAAGGTTTGTCTACAAAGATTGTCCTCCTGCAGATTGATGGCTCAGAGCTCTTAGTGGGTTTGGAGGTCATGGATGTACCCGTGTATAGAAATATATATATATATATATATATATATATATACAGAGCTCATCAAAGCAGTGTTGGGAATGTGCCTTTATGATGATTGCAGTACCTCAATCCATCCAGCAGATGGAGACAGACTGGTTTCACATGGTAGAAATCACTTACTCTTCTCCAGGGTCTTGTGGAGGCCGGTGAGGGTATTGAACAGAGACTTGCCGTGTTTCCTGGGTAACAATCGCCACGACAGCGGCTTCTTGTCGTCTGACCTGGGAGGGTGAAATGTAAGTATTTGTATGTCCATTGTAAAGCTTTACGGCTGACATTGGTCTCTTTTCCTCTTCAGCACAGTTTTACCGTTTACAGTTTTTATCAGTTTACAGTGAATAAAACCACAACATTTGAAAGTAAATCCAATTGTGTGTCTGTTTGTGCATGCACGTGTGTTTTTATGAAGGAAAATCAAAATCCGAGAGCACAAACCAGTTCCATGCGTGCTTGCAAATAAAACATTTGCGAGCAACAGTCTGACTTGCACAAGCTATTTGCTCGCTTCAACCTGCCAAAGACGATGATGGTCCACTTCTACACGGCCATCATGGAGTCCATCCTCTGCTCCTCCATCACCGTCTGGTACGCTGCAGCCACAGCCAAGGGCAGGCTGCAGCGTGTCCTCCGCAAATGCTTGAGTTGGGGTCTTGGATTTTGACATTGATTTGCCTCCATAGATTTAGAGTGGGTGTGTGGGTATGTGTGCATGCGCACACATCAGGGCAGAACACCGCCCTGTGCGATACGTGCAGAGGAGTCATGTAGATTAATAACAAGAGAAAATAAAATTAAACCTGACCTTCAAAAGGGCGAGGCACCCCCTAATATAATGGTTGGGGTAACACTGTATATTAGTATATGTAGGGCTGTCACGATAAATTTTTGTTGTGCGATTATTAACATTTATTGCGATATTATTTACATTTTCAGACCATTTTATGCCACTGATAAAGACAATAGCATAGTAATAAAAGTACGCTATTACAAAACGTTTTATTTGTCAATAGTTAGACATTAAAATCTGAACGTGAAAAAATACATCCTATAGAAAAAAAAATAATAAAGGCAAGGGACACGGAGCGGGCGAAGCATCGGGCTAGGTGCGACCTCTGCAGCTCATCCAGAATGCAGCAGCTCCACTGGTCTTTAACCTTCCTAAGTTCTCCCTCACTCCTCCACTCCTCCGCTCTCTTCACTGGTACCGGTGGCTCATCCAGTTCTAAACATGGTGCTCACGTACCGTGCTGTGAATGGATGGGGTCCAGCTTACATCCAGGACCTGGTCCAACCCGACATCCCGACCCGCACTCTCCGCTCTGCATGTGATAAACTGCTTGTTCCTCCTCACTGAGAGCAAAACACTCGACTAGATCTCCACTCTTTGCTGTCCTGCTCCTAAATGGTGGAAGGAGGTCTCTGAAGACACCAGGACCACAGAGAGCCTTCACATCTTCAGACTAAAGACACACCTCTTCAGACTCTACCTCCACTAACACACTAACTAACTGTAGCACTTACATTGGACTTATAATGATGACTTATTGACTTATTTGATGAAATCGCACTTTGTTTCTTGTTCTTCTGAGTTTGTGTCCTTATGGTTGAATGCACTTATTGTAAGTCGCTTTGGATAAAAGTGTCAGATAAATGACATGTGATGTAATGCGCGAGGGTTCCAGGAAATGTGTCAAGCGGAAAGGTGCGCCGCGGCAGCTGGGGAGGTTTAACGCAGGGCTTCGACCGCCGGCAAGGCGACGCGCACCGCGGCTGCAGGGAGAGACGGAGAGCCTCGGCCCCGCCGAAAGAGGTGAACGAGCAGACCGGAGGAACTGAGTTCAGGTTAAAGACCGGGCGGATGGTTGTTGTTTTGGGTGAGATTTTAGCTTAGTTCACCGCTTCCCTTCATGTGTCGGTGTGCGCTGCCTAAGCCCCGCCCCCGCTTTCCACAGGGAAAAGGGACAGAGGCAGCGCGATCAACTTAAATGTTGGTGAAGTTCATTTATATGTAAAATGAATATCGCAGCACCAAAAATTATTGCACACGATTTCAGAGAGTGTGTGATATGTAATTTTATCGCATATTGCGACAGGCCTAAGTATATGCACACATGTATACACATTTAAACTACCTACCCTCTGCCCGGACTCACTGGAAGATGGTGTTGGTGTCCAGGTCCACACACACCACGTCAGTGGGGGGGTCGTACAGGTCAAAGTAACTAGAGTGGACCCCCACTATGAACGGCATCGGAGCCAGAAGGACATCAGCCATCTGCAGTGGACACAGAGGGATATAGGGACACAGCCAGCGCAGGGGGAAGCTCATCTGGTGATACAAAGAACACCCGTTAGTGTGTGCCTGTGTGCACATCAATAATCAAATATGTGTGAGGCCTTACGGAGACGAGGGCCTCACTGACGGAGGTCAGGACGTCAGCTCGCAGCGAGTGGAGCAACAGTTTGTGTTCTGTTAGCACGGCGAGCAGCAATGTGCACGAGTTCTCTGGACCGAGGTTCTGGAGAAGCTTCAGGAAGCTGGCCCCGCTGACAGAGACACATGAACTTCATTATTATATTTGAGTAGTGATATTTTACATGGGTCAGTATGGAGGTCATACCACACTAAATGTTATGTTTTCTCTAAAGACATCAGCAGCTGACACCTGACCATGTGGACATGTTCATCCTTCTTTGAGTGTCGCAGTGTGTCTATATATTTGCTATACGTCTCTTCTGTGTCCGTAGTGTGCGATTGTGCTTCATGGTCAAAGGTTAGATGAAGAGTTGGAGATGCTGTTAAGATGTATTGAGAGATCCTGCTGACCTGAGAGGCAGCGGAGAGGAAACAGGCTGGCAGAGAACCAGGTTGTCATATGGAGAGAGCTGGAAGATAAAGTCACTTCTGTTACACACAAACACTTGATGGTGGTTTTTACATCCCGTCACTTCTGAGAAGATCTCACTAGCCAGCTTTGATCTTTGTGTTGTGTGACAGGTTTACACCTGTTGATCAGGTCCAACAAGTGGAGTCACTTGGACCTTTTTTTATAACGGATGCAGTTGATTTAAAGCTGGAGTTGATGAGTAAGATGTTCTTATAACTGACATGACAAAATCTTTGTCTATAATTTCAGTAATATTTGGCTTAAGGAGATTATAATGAAAGATAGACACAAGCAGAAACCAGTAGACTCATTGCGCCCCACATTGCGATGACATCGTCAGCATGCAGCCTACATAAATCACACTCCAAGATTTAAAATCACCAGGGAATTATTTTTGGAGGGAAGAAATAATGTATGAAAACGTTAGCTGCTAATTAGAGCTAATCAATGAACGGACTTCTGATAGAAAGAATTACCATGTTCAGGTTGTGATCACATCACCGCCTACATCCTGTTGGAGGAGGAAGTGACGGATGAAAATATTATGACATAAAAAGGTTCTATGCTGGTTCTTACAAACAAAAAGTCTTCTTCTGAAGAAGGTTTTAGTTTGTACCTGAAGGAGGCGGAAGGTTTTATGCTGAATTCACACTAAAAGCGAAGTGGATTATTCGCATAAGTAGATTCCATGCAAAGTCAATGCAGACGCAAATGGTTGCAGTGGAAGTGAATGAAACGGGCGTGAAAAAGAAATCGCCCGGCGGGGTCTTGCGAAAGCCAATCAGCGTTTCAATACTCCGCTTTTCATCACCTCCAGTCCTGCTTCCAAAGCGTGAATAAACTTTATGAAACTGCCGCTCACACAGGCGCTGAGCAGACACAACAGGTCATCACACTGGCTGCTGGTCAGTCTGAAGTAGCGTGGAAGCGGCAGTCATCCAGACGCACCTGGAGGAGTTGGTGAAATTCAAGCTGTGTGCAGCAACGGATGATGTCATGAACCCAAACACAACACCGTTTACGGTTCCGCCATTTGTAATTCACATAACAAATAAGGAGCAGAAATAGTGGCTAATTATTTCCATGGTGGATCGCAGAAATTCGAACTGTTTTTACGGTGACAAGCCACGCCCCCTCGGGAGCAAATGAAGGCGAATACAACTAATTGAGTGAGTAAACTCGTAAAGCGTGGCGATAATTCGTTTCGCTTTTGGTGTGAACGCAGCATTAGTGTGCACCCGAAGAAGGAGGAGGAGGAAGGTTTTAGTGTGCTCACCCGAAGGAGGAGGAGGATGAGGAAGGTTTTAGTGTGCTCACCCGAAGGAGGAGGAGGATGAGGAAGGTTTTAGTGTGCTCACCCGAAGGAGGAGGAGGATGAGGAAGGTTTTAGTGTGCTCACCCGAAGGAGGAGGAGGATGAGGAAGGTTTTAGTGTGCTCACCCGAAGGAGGAGGAGGATGAGGAAGGTTTTAGTGTGCTCACCCGAAGGAGGAGGAAGGTTTTAGTGTGCTCACCCGAAGGAGGAGGAAGGTTTTAGTGTGCTCACCCGAAGGAGGAGGAGGATGAGGAAGGTTTTAGTGTGCTCACCCGAAGGAGGAGGATGAGGAAGGTTTTAGTGTGCATACCCAAAGGAGGAGGATGAAGGTTTTAGTGTGCATACCCAAAGGAGGAGGAGGAAGGTTTTAGTGTGCTCACCCGAAGGAGGAGGAGGAAGGTTTTAGTGTGCTCACCCGAAGGAGGAGGAGGAAGGTTTTAGTGTGCTCACCCGAAGGAGGAGGAGGAAGGTTTTAGTGTGCTCACCCGAAGGAGGAGGAGGAAGGTTTTAGTGTGCTCACCCGAAGGAGGAGGAGGAAGGTTTTAGTGTGCTCACCCGAAGGAGGAGGAGGAAGGTTTTAGTGTGCGCACCCGAAGGAGGAGGAAGGTTTTAGTGTGCGCACCCGAAGGAGGAGGAGGAGGAAGGTTTTAGTGTGCTCACCCGAAGGAGGAGGAGGATGAGGAAGGTTTTAGTGTGCTCACCCGAAGGAGGAGGAGGATGAGGAAGGTTTGAGTGTGCGCACCCGAAGGAGGAGGAGGATGAGGAAGGTTTGAGTGTGCGCACCCGAAGGAGGAGGAAGGTTTTAGTGTGCTCACCCGAAGGAGGAGGATGAAGGTTTGTGTGTGTACCCAAAGGAGGAGGATGAAGGTTTTAGTGTGCGTACCCAAAGGAGGAGGATGAAGGTTTTAGTGTGCATACCCAAAGGAGGAGGATGAAGGTTTTAGTGTGCATACCCAAAGGAGGAGGATGAAGGTTTTAGTGTGCATACCCAAAGGAGGAGGATGAAGGTTTTAGTGTGCATACCCAAAGGAGGAGGATGAAGGTTTGTGTGTGTACCCGAAGGAGGAGGATGAAGGTTTGTGTGTGTACCCGAAGGAGGAGGATGAAGGTTTGTGTGTGTACCTGAAGGAGGAGGATGAAGGTTTGTGTGTGTACCTGAAGGAGGAGGATGAAGGTTTGTGTGTGTACCTGAAGGAGGAGGATGAAGGTTTGTGTGTGTACCTGAAGGAGGAGGATGAAGGTTTGTGTGTGTACCTGAAGGAGGAGGATGAAGGTTTGTGTGTGTACCTGAAGGAGGAGGATGAAGGTTTGTGTTTACCTGAACAAGGATGCGTGGCCGCTGGGGGGAGGGAAACGGGACGTTGTGCATAAAGCTGGAGAGGTGTCTGAAAACATCAATTAACAAATCACACAAATGGTCCATATCATGCAAAACCACAACAGTGTTTCCCACACATAGACTTAATTTGTGGCGGTGGGCCACAGATTCAACACCGGCCGCCACACATTGCGTTTGGTGTGTGTGTGTGTGTGTATATATATATATATCTTTTTTTTGCCATTTAAATCACGCAGTGTCTTCGTTCAGCTGCATTTCCTTTCCTTGCTCTTCCTCCGTATCTCTCTCTCACACACACACACACACACACACACACACACACACACACACACACAGAATTGCGTATAGTTCTATTTAGCAATGTTTGTTGCACTCCACTCCCCCAACATTATCAATGTCGGAAAAGCTCTTGTAGCTCTAGAAAATATCAAATGTGTCCGATTATGGAGCTAACCCCTGATTCGTATTCATTGTTTTTACTGGTTTTCATCTAATGGTTTGTTTTGGGGAAGAGGAACAACTAACTATGGGCAGTGAAAGAAACCCTCATTCACTGGATGGTAGAGGGACTCGTATTTCTGCTTTCTAGTCCTCCAATTCCAAACAGCTCTTTAACATTATGCATCAAACTCTCCCAGCTGCAAGTGCCCGACTCCACCTGCAAGTGGATCACAGACTTCCTGTCTGACAGGAAGCAGCACGTGAAGCTGAGAAAACACGTCTCAGCCTCTCGGACCATCAGCACCGGTTCCCCCCAAGGCTGCGTTCTTTCCCCTCTGCTCTTCTCCCTGTACACCAACAGCTGCACCTCCAGCCACCAGTCTGTCAAGCTCCTGAAGTTTGTGGATGACACCACCCTCATTGGACTGATCTCTGGTGGGGACGAGTCCGCCTACAGGTGGAGTCTGACCATCTGGTGTCGTGGTGCAGTCAGAACAACCTGGAGCTCAACGCTCTAAAGACACTGGAGATGGTTGTGGATTTCAGGAGCAACAGAGCCCCACCCTCCCCCATCACCCTGTGTGACTCCCCCGTCACTATTGTGGATTCCTTCCGTTTCCTGGGCTCCATCATCACCCAGGACCTCAAGTGGGAGCTGAACATCAGCTCCATCACCAAGAAGGCTCAGCAGAGGTTGTTCTTCCTGAGGCAGCTGAAGAAATTCAACCTGCCAAAGACGATGATGGTCCACTTCTACACGGCCATCATGGAGTCCATCCTCTGCTCCTCCATCAGCGTCTGGTACGCTGCAGCCACAGCCAAGGACAAGGGCAGGCTGCAGCGTGTCCTCCGCTCTGCAGAGAGGGTGATCGGCTGCAATCTGCCGTCCCTGCAGGACTTGTTCGCTTCCAGGTCTCTGAAGCAGCTATAAAGACCGTAGCCGACCCCTCTCACCCCGGACAAAACCTGTTTGTGCCCCTTCCATCTGGCAGGAGGCTGAGGTCCATCAGGACTAAGACCTCCCGCCACACCAACAGTTTCTTCCCGTCGGCAGTCAGGCTCATCAACAGAGCCGGTCCCCCACTGACTGACATCACACCGGTCACTCCCCTTCATACTGCACACGTCACTTTTCACTCGTCACTTTTGTCACTTCCTGTTCGCTGGTGCACTTTATTTTTAAAATATTTTTTAACTGTCCCCGTGGAAGGGTTTTCATTTTTGGGGGAAACGGGCAGGTCACGTGATCTGAATGCGCCTTCCGGCAATATTGTAACGAACTGACGTGTTCTGTGAGTGAGGTTACACATTAAGAGTTTGTCCTTAATGGATTTTTTCCCCTTACATTACATTTACCTTTATTATTTAAGTAGTTTTTTAACCATAGTATTTTAGTAGTATCTATACTATAATGAATGGGAATACTTTTGACACCTCTGATCTTAATCCATAAATGCTGGGTTACTTGTTGTTCCCAGAGTCTGAAAAAATAGGATGGGAGGCGGAGCAAACAAAGATGTCACTGACTTCTCCAGCGGCAGGACGTGGGGCCCGGAGACGGAGTATCGGTAGACGAAGGTGAGGAACTTCTGGAAGACTGTGAAGAAGGGCCAGTGGGAGAGCACACAGATGCTCTTCTTCACCTGCAGGCTGCGGCTGGTGATGGGCCTCCGGTCCACCACGCTGAGCAGGCCTAGTCTCACGCTCTGCCGCTCCGACAGCAGCTCCTGGGAGAAGGACTCGTAGAACTGGATTGCTGCTCCATAGACCTGCAGGGGGACCAGAGTCCTCAGAGAACTTTTAGGATTCTAGCATTTCACCGACAGAAGTATTATATGATATCAACTAATGTTATGAGAATTATTCTATGGTATCATCTGATGTTATAAGTATTATTCTATCACGTCCATTGTAATGAGTATTATTTTATGCTAATAGAATTTGCATGCTCCGACCTTGTCCCCGGAAGCAGAGGTGAGGACGAAGGTGGAGAATACAGGCAGCTGGTACTTGGTGTTCAGAGGCCAGCTCTCCACTGTGACGCCCATTGGCAGACAGAAGACTGGCACCGACTCCGGCAGAGGAAAGGCCTCCAGGTCCTCCTCCGGGTAGCGGCTGATCAGACCTGTATCAGAGAAAAGTTACTACCTTTACACTGAAGAACTCCTCCTTGTGACTGTGACAATTGACCAACACTACGTATCAACTGACTTACTTCCTTTAGATATGACCTGAAGTTTAGGTTTATCATCCAATATCAATCCTCACATTTTTCCTTACAAAGATGTACGATTGAGGATCAGAATGTCCTGACTGAAGACTTCCCCAGATTTAGGAGTGGGATGGATACTCACTAGCTTTGTAGAGCAGGGCGTTGGCTTTGGCCACAGCTCTCTTGAAGCACAAGTACAAAGCCGGACCCCACTGCAGACAAAGGGATATGAGACAGTACATTCATTTGCTTCGATAGGACTAAAGCCTAGTTTATGCTTCTGCGTTTTCAGAGCGACGCAGACGCAAGACCCTCTTGCGTGTCCCTTGCGTGCCTATTCACACCTCCTTGCGTCCTTGCGTGTGTCGAGCCATTTTTATAGGCTTGCGTCGCTTTCGACGCAAGCCTCCCGCAGCGCACAAGGCTGCGATTGGTCTGCTAACTACGTCCTTTATGGAGTCTCACATTTCCACTTTCATCGCACGATAACGCTATTATTAAAACGAAGATTGTTTACGAGAGAACGGATAAGATTTAAGAACTTTTGTTGGAAGAAATGCGTAAATATGACCGCTTATACAGTCATTAGCGGGTTGGATTCATGGAGGGAGATCGCCGCAAACGCCGGTCGAGAGGTGCACAAAATTGTGGAGGAAAATACGGGACAAATGTGTCCTTGATGAAAAGCAGCAGTGGCGATGCACGGGGCAATAAAGTCTATGATAAATAAATAAACAGATAAATAAATAAATAGACGTGACGCCCAGGGGTCATCCTCACCAGATTCCCAAACCACCTCAACTGGCTCATTTCGACGCAAAGGAGCAGCGGCTCTACTCCGAGCTCCTCACGAATGGCTGAGCTTCTCACCCCATCTCCAACAGGGACGCCAGCCACTCTCCTGAGGAAACCCATTTTGGCCGCTTGTACCCGTGACCTAGTTCTTTCTTCATGACCATATGTGACTGAAGGAACGAATATTGATCGGTAGATCGAGACCTTTGCCTTCTCAGCGCTCTTTTCGTCATAACTGTGCGGTAAAGCGAGTGCAATACCGCCCCCGCTGCTCCGATTCTCCGGCCACACTCACACTCCATCTTCCCGTCACTCGTGAACAAGACCACGAGGTACTTTAACTCCTTCACTTGGGGTAAGGACACATTCCCTTCCTGGAGTAGGCAATCCATCGGTTTCCTGCTGAGAACCATGGCCTCAGATTTAGAGGTGCTAATCCTCATCCCGACCGCTTCACACTCGACTGCGAAACGCTCCAGTGAGAGTTGGAGGTCACAGACGGAAGATGCCATCAGGACCACATCATCTGCAAAAAGCAGCGATGAGATCCGCAAGCCCCCCGAGCTGTAGACCCTCCTCCTCCCGACTACGCCTCGATATCCTGTCCATGAAAACCACAAACAACGCCTTCGACTTACTGCTGAGCACAGCTCTCGCTTTGGGCGTACAGGGATTGGATGGCCCCAAGTAAGGACCCCCTCACCCCGTACTCCCGCAACACCTCCCACATTTTCTCTCAGGGCACCCGGTCATACGCCTTCTCTAAGTCCACAAAACACATGTAGACTGGATGAGCATACTCCCAAGCCCATTGCTTTTAGCATCTCTGGACGGATCTCATCAATCCCTGGGGCTTCGCCACAGTGGCATTGTTTGACTACCTCAGTGACCTCCACCAGGCAAATTGACGATGATCCCTCCTCTGCCTCCAGCTCCGTCTCTACCAAAGCGTAGTAGTTGGATTCAGGAGTTCCTCAAAGTGTTCATTCCACCGCTCGATAACCTCCACAGTCGCGGTCAACACGGTCCCATCTTTACTGTACACAACTTGGATGGTTCTCCGTTTCCCCCTGAGGTGCCGGATGATCTTCCAGAAGCACTTTGGTACCGACCAAAAGTCCTTCTCCATAGTTACCCCGAACTCCTCCCATATTCGCTGCTTTGCCTCCATCACGGCAGAGGCTGCTGCCCTTCGAGCCTGTCGGTACACTGCAACTGCCTCCGGAGTCCCACCGGATATCATAACCCTGCAGGCCTCCTTCAGTCGGACGGCTTCCCTGACCACCGGTGTCCACCACGGGGTTCGAGGGTTACCTCCCCTTGATGCACCTAAGACCTTGAGGCCACTTCAGCAATGGAAGTTTTGAACATACACCACTCTGGATCATCGTGGCGCAGGGGGTAGAGCGGGTGTGCTGGGAATCGCAAGGTTGGTGGTTTGAGTCCCGGCTGCCCCATGTCTCAAGTCGAAGTGTCCCTGAGCAAGACACCTAACCCTAATTTCTCCCCGGGCAAAATGTAAAAACCATGGGCCCAGGCTTCCTCCGGGCTGGGTAACTCCTTCCCTCTTCCGTTTTTTCATAGGGTCTTTTGACAGTTTTTTTTACTATTTAGTTTATTTATTTTCATTAAAAAACTGAATCTCATAAATACTCTTATTGTGAAACGTAACCAGCAGATTGAGGGGTTAGTCTAATTGATGGTTGTGGTGATGCTCACCATGCCGGTGTTGAGATTCTTGTCCACTCGACAGAAGGTGTGCGGGGCGACTTCTCCTTTACTGGGCATCAGCAGACCAATGTCTGTGACCCCCAGCATGTGGAGGCCCTGCGAGTCCAGAGCCCGCCGGAACATCAGGAAAACCCGGTGAGCCGTCGGGGCGCCGCCGGGGCTCAGGTTGGCAGATCGGCTGTAGGGCGTTGTGTCGATGACGTCCCAGCTCGGCTTCAACTGTTCCTTCCCTTCATACAGAACCCTGCAGGACACATGGATTAATGGTACATTGTGAAAATAAATTAAATCATGCTAATATGTTTAAATGGGGAACATAAATTAATATATCTATATTCATTGAATATATATATTCTGAATGAGATCTATTGACATTTAGAACAGTAGTTCTCACAGAAGTAAGACTCATCTGTTAGGACTTTGTTTTACCCCTCCTCCCAAAGAGAAAGATTGGACTCACCCCAGGTCCAGGATGGGCGGCTTGTCCCGGCCTCTCCGGTAGCACAGGTACATGTGAGGGTTACTGATGAGGCCAGCGCTCAGCTCGGCTGAGTGTCCGCCCAGCGTCCTCTCGATGCAGGTAAAGCCCTCCGGCACCTCCTCCCCAAGCCCCCGGGCTATCACCGCCAGGTCTGTCACCGACTCCACCGCTCGGGGGGAGGAGGAGGAGGTGGCGGAGCATGAGGAGGTGGGGGTCTTGGCATCCTCGTCCAGGGGCTTCCAGGCCCCCGCAGGGTCGAGACCTGCTACTACAAAGTAGTCCACCAGCTGGGGACATTTCTCCTCCGTCATGCCGTCTGTCTGTCTGTAACCGTAACAATAAAATAACAAAGCTCAAAATCCTCTTAAGACTCATAAAAGATGGGGTAAGATGGGGTCTTTTACTACAATTATTTAAGCCCCAGAGCCTTCGTAGGAAGGAGCTAACCTCATTGAAACTCAATTCTGCCAAATACCATCTCTTAAGGCTGGCGCATGCTTCTGCGTCTGCGTCGTTGCGTCGACGCACTCGTTTCAATTCATGGTTCAAAAAGGCTTGCGTGTGTTGCAGAGCAATCAGATGATCCGTTCTCTCGTAAACATTCTTCGTTTTAATAATGGCCGTATTGTGCTATGAAAACTGAAATGTGAGACTCCGTAAAGGACGTAGTTAGCAGACCAATCACAGCCTTGTGCGCTGCAGGGAACGATGACGCTAGTCTAGAAAAATGGGTCGACGCACGCAAGGAGGTGTGAAAAGACACGCACCCCCCATCTCCTAACAAAGTTCTTACCATAGTAACTTCTGCCCGTCCGACCACCTGCCCTCTTTTACCCCATTCCATATTACAATCTATCGCTCCTGACCTTCTTCCTTTCCTCACCTGTCTCATCAACAACCTGCTCCTGCTGTTATCTGGCGGTTTTCCCAATTCTCTGAAGGAGGCAAGAAACCACCCTTAACCCTTCTGAAGAACACAACTACAGACCGGTCTCTCTTCTTCCCTTTTTGTCCAAAACTCTTGGAACGTGTGAGCTTTAACCAACTCTCCACCGTAACAACCTCCGCCGTAACAACCTCCTTGACCCCCAGCATTTGACAGTCTCTCCACCAGATCCTTATCTCCTCCCTTCAGGCTCTGCTCTCTCCCTTTTCTCGTCCTACTTTTCAACTAACCAATTCATGGCGTTCTACCCCTCTCCTCCGTGCCGGCTGACGGGGGGGGGGAGATGCGCATAACGAGTTGATGTGGATAAAACGACGAGCCTCTCATCGGTCAGAAGGAGGGTCACAGGTCACAAGCATCCCATACATTGTCGGTTATTACCTTACTGGAGTCAGCCTGGGTTGCTTTGGAAGCAAGGGTCATTAGTTTTGGTCATCTCCCGCGGTAGACTTTGCATGTGTGACGTGACTTCATATTTTTTTCATGGCACGTGATAGACACAAACTCAATCGACCCATTGAGCACCCCTGCTGTAGAGGATCTGTGTCGGAACCATCTCCTCTTCCTTAGGGTTCCGTCCTGAGTCCCTTTCTCTTCACCAGTAGGATGACACCCAACTAATTCTCTCCTTCCCTCACTCGGACACTCGGACACTCAGGTGGCGGCACAAATCTCTGCCTGTCTGACTGACATCTCTCAGTGGATGTCCGCTCACCATCTGAAAATCAACCCACGACAAGACTGAACTACCTCTCTTTCCGGGAAAAGATTCTCCTACCCAGGACTTGACGTTAACCTCCGCAACGGCGTGTTGACGCCGACTGACTGCTAGGAACCTCGGCAAACAACTCTCCCAAACTCCCAACATCACTGCGACAACACGATCCTGTAGATACATGCTCTACAACAGGGGTGTCAAAGTCAAATGGACGGAGGGCCAAATAAAAAATTTAGCTACAAGCCGAGGGCCGGACTGTTTGAATGTTCATTGAAAAATTTTTAAATGACGCATATAGTCTAGTGAACCTAATTGAACCTACTGAAAACCTAACAAATATATTCCAATATGATCAGATAAATAAAGCAATATTTTCTCATGGCTCTGTCAGTAATCTTTAATTTTCAACAGACACAAAAGACAAATTTCCTTTATATAAAAATCCCCATAACATGAACATTAAATGAAAGAAACCGGTATTCAAGGCACCATCAGTAGCCTATATTTTCTATTTTGGCAAAAGTGGGCTAAATTTACTTCAAAGAAAAAAACAATAGCAATTTTCTATCATCCACTCAACTGAAATATTTTTAAAATATAATTGGATTGAAATACAATAAAATAAAGTGCAAAAATCTATTAATCAAAAACAACACTTTGTTTAAGGAGAAGTAACATGCAGTGAAAACAAATATTAAACTTTAACTTTTAAACTTGAACTGAGTAAAAACTCTAAATATGTGATTGCACAGTAATGTTCACTTGTTTGAGGTTGAGGGTGATACTTGGTGGTGTCCCATCTTTTCCACAAGTTCATCAATGTTCGGGGTAAGGCTCTGAGCTGAGGAAATCCTCAGAATTGAGTGGAGGTGTTCAGCAGTAAGTCGACTTCTGTGTGATGTTTTGTTCAAGTTCATCAAAGAAAACAGTTGTTCACACAGGTATGTGCTGCCAAACATAGACAACGTTTGAGCAGCCTGGATGCGCAGCTGGGGCATTGTGTCGGGGAGGAAACGGGCGAACTCCGCAGCACCCACTGCCGCATATTTTGCCCTCAGTGCATCATTGCATTGGAGGTCAATCAACTCCATTTGGAGGTTTGGTGGTGAGCTTTCCACGTCAACAGCAAATGGGTTACCGAGCAGTTCCAACCTGCTTTTTTGTGCTTCAAAGTCAGCAAATCGGCGTCGAAAGTCAGCGGCAAGCATACCTATTTTATCAGCCAACTGTGCGCTCGGGAACGCAGATTATACTCTTTCAGTACCGCCACACTTTCTCCACACAGAAGACACACAGGTTTTCCAGCTACCTCCGTGAACAAATACTCCGACTCCCACCTTGTTTGAAACCCCCGGTTCTCAGTGTCCACCTTCCGTTTTGCCATTTTTGATGGGTATCTGAAAGTTAATTTTACTGTGATGCTGACAACTGCTGTGCCAATAAATATTGAAATGAAGCAGCCTACTGCTCGGTGCGTCACCGTTGCATTGTGGGAAATGTAGTACTGGTGCGTGTAAAAGATCTGCGGGCTGCCGGCTTGCTGCGGTCTGCGGGCCGGTTCTAATAATAAATCAAGATCATCCCAGGGGCCGTAAAAAACCTTCTCGCGGGCCGGATGTGGCCCGCGGGCCTTGACTCTGACATATGTGCTCTACAACATCAGAATACGTCCTCTTCTCACCTCAGAAGGCAGCGCAGGTACTGATTCAGGCTCTTGTCACCTCCCTCCTGGACTACTGTAACTCTCTCCTGGCAAGTCTCCCTGCTACCACCATTCCACCTCTGCAGCTCATCCAGAATCCCAAACCGTGCACTCTGTTCTGCATCTGCCAAACTCCTTGTTCCTCCTCACTGAGAGCAAAACACTCGACTAGATCACTACTCTTTGCTGTCCTTGCTCCGAAATAGTTAGTAGAATAAGGATATGGGTTAGTATAAAACAATAAAATAAAGTTAGTTAAAAATGTAAAATATTAAACATAAAGTGCACTATGTGACAAAGTGACGAGTGACGACAAAGTGACGAGTGACAACAAAGTCAAAGTTTGCTGCCAAACTAAAACATTTTACCCAAAATGAACATTTTAAAAGCAGGGTCTAACCACGCTTTACGAAAGGGAAATGTTTTTCCCTTTTTATTTTGAGTCGCTGGCTCAGGCTCGGTAGCCTCTACCTCCGTCGGAGGCCATCTTCGAAAAAAAGGACCAGGGCGTAAGATTTTACCAGGAACTGGGGAGACTGGTGGCTCCATGTCTGGGCTATTGTCGGGGCATTGACCGGGAAGAGTGTTGGGGGGGGAACAGGCCTACTTTTCTTTCTTTTTTTAAATTATCTATGGATCGATTTCTTTTCATTGTTCCTTGTCTCAGCTCTGACGTAACTGGGTCGCTGGTGTTCAGGTCGCAATTGCAAGTGTAGCAGTGTAGGCCTACAGGACTATCTGGACCACAGCCAATCAGAGGCAAAGACCGCATCGCCGTCTCTGATTGGTTTAAAATACAATATGATCCAACCATGAGTGAGCTCCATCAAAAGGAGAACAAACGCTTCGTTCATTGAGAGGCAGCAGGTGCGAGGACAGGTACACCGTGCGACCTAGAAAACATTTTAGTCACACCAGTACAAATTTTGGTCGCAAACTAGAGCCTTCTGTTTTACGCATGTAGGAAACATTCTGCTCAGTTGTTCGGTTTGTTGTACTTCCAATGCAAAAAGAGTCTCCATCTTCACCCACCGTCTCGCTCTCTGCATCTGCAGCACGCAGCAGTTTAGTGTGTGGGGTCAATATATTCCTTTTTCATTCATTTTGCAAATTCTTGTTATCGATTGAACTGTGTTTTTGGAGCACGTTGAAAGTCAAATTCCATGTTTGCATATGCATACTTATATACTGAACTGAACATATAAAGATTCTGAACTCCTCCCCCTTCTCACCACACCGGCCTCCACATGCAAATTTTCTGAACTAAAGTTCACTTCCTGTTTCACACAAAGCATACAAAAAGTAAAAGCCAAAAAAGCTGATTTCACCATAATCACTTCCCTTTTATAAAGGACCATATGCAACAATGGGCCTCCCCACCACACAGACACACACCTCTTAATACACAGAGAAAAGCACCAGATTTCCTCACCACAGAACAACTAGCAGCATCAACATGGTGCCATTCAATTAAAATATAAAGTAATTATATATATATATATATATATATATATATATATATTATATAACAAATATAAAATAAAAACTGAACTCATGTATCAGCATATTATTAAATATATTCATTGAGCCGGAAGCCTAAAATATAACACTTTATCATTGATATGCTCATAGTTCTTTATAAAACAGTCTCAGACTCACCGTAGCACATTTTAGCCCCTTAGCAAAAAGTGAATCATGGCCCAACCTGTGACTGCATTCGCCTACAGTTATAGTTTCTGTAGTTTAGTTTAACTCACAGATTCAGAGATCCCAGAATCATGACACTGTTAAAGATTAAATTTACTGACTCAAATTATCTTAACCAGTAGTGAGCTTTTTTTTTTTCATGCTCCCCTCAGGATCAACCCTCATTACTTTCCATCCAGTGCCATTATCAGGTCATCAAGTTAACATCTCCGATACAAAAATGTTTTCTGGTCATGAGCTAATAGCTAGCATGGTAAATCAGGATAATTTCACTCAGTGAGGAACCTTCCTAAGAACATTTGATAATCCAGCCAGTTTTGTGCCTCAAGTTCTGACGTTCAAACAAATTCTGTCAAGTTTTCCTGATTGGTATTTCAGATGCTATTTTTTAATCCGATTAATAACAAAAATTATCTAGAGATTATCGAATAATTGTTAGTTAATTGTTAGGGCTTCTACGATTGCTATAGCAGCCCTATACGTGACCATGGTTACGAAGGGTCCTTCGGAGTCCTTAAATGGCCTTTTGGGGAATCGCATAGCCTTAAAAAAATGTATGTGACATTCATTTTCTGTGGTATTGTTCTCAAATTGGAACAGGCTTCATGCTGGGATTCCATTGTGTTTTCCAGCTAATTAGTCTAACCCTTAACACAAAATATTCAGGTGGAAATAAAGACCTACTTCTGTGTGGTCAAACATCTATTACTCAATGCTAGTTAGGCCTATCGCCATAATCAATATATTGACTTATCACACAATATATGGAGAGGAGCGTGATCTGTCGGACGGTCCCCATCTCCCCCCCCAAAGTCGAAAAAAAGGGTGTAGCGCGTTCCTTCGGAGCAGTTTGTCATTGCGCTGTAAGCTGCAGACAGTGACTTCAGTTCCTTACGCGAATGACAGGAGGTCATTTGATTCTTTAATTTTACGCAGCAAAACGTTAACAAAAAATACAAATAATAAATTCTGTCACACAGTATAAAACGATATGTGCTTGTGTAGGGCTGCACGGTATGGCCAAAAATCCATATCACGGTTTAAGAAAGATTATGACGGTATCCCGGTATATCACGGTATCGCTTTTCAAGTAAACACATTCATTTATTGACCCCGAAAAGGACCGGGCCACTCGCTGGCCAACTTGCACGCAACAAGAAGGCGAGTTAGTAAGTTAACCCGCCAGTTACAAGCTAACTTGTTGTGGCACCTAACAGCTGTTCGCCTCTCGAATGGCCGGCGAGTTAGCGTGTTAGCTCGTTCACTTGTTGTGGCTGCTAGTGTTGCCACCAGAGACTCTACAGACTTTGCAATAAATTGTTTTCTGATCTAACTTACGTCGGATTTTCCAAAACCCAAAACTTTTGTTGTATCGCTTTTTTCCGTGTTTTCATGTAGCAAGTTACAACAAGAGTTACTTCTTGTCGTGAGCTTTACCCAGCATGCAGTTCGACGGGGTGATTTTTTTAAATGTACAATTATTAGTGTTACAAATTGTTTATGTGTCACAAACTGTGTCTTAGTGTTTCACCCTGTTATAGAGTATTTGTTGTGGGTTATTCATTGTTGTTATAACCATGACTGAATCTCAACAGACATAAGACAAGTAGCGCCAAATGCTGGGCAGGTGGCAGAATTTATTTCTGCCACCTGCTGAAGAGCAACGTCATTTTAATAATGGCCGTATTGTGCCATGAAAACGGAAATGTGAGACTCCGTAAAGGACGTAGTTAGCGGACCAATCACAGCCTTGTGCGCTGCGTAGCTTTTGACGCTAGTCTAGAAAAATGGGTCGACGCACGCAAGGTGGTGTGAAAAGACGCGCAAGGGACACGCAAAGGGGTCTTGCGTCTGCGTCGCTTTGAAAACAGAACAGAAGCATAAACTAGGCTTTACTTTTCAAAAGAGACCAGCACCATGCATGTACTGCAAATGGTTCAAGAACAGCTTTCAATTTACTTTGGGTGTGCCTCGGACAAACCTTTGAGGCTAATGGTAGAGGAGTTGTAGTTAAAGACTGCTCCGATCACTACAGACACTCGAAAACCCTCACATCGGCACAAAAGCCCTCCCCAACCTGTGATCATGAGAATTAAAATGGAACACCTTTAACAGGTTAAAATATCGGACTCATTTGAAAAAGTGCTATTGATGATTTACTTAATTATTTTCCGGGTTAAACAAACCACGGCGTCATCAAAGTATTCACGAGCTCTGCGTCAGTTGACGAAGTAGGCATCGGGTACCGCTCTGGGTCCATTATCGGACGCAGATGATGATTTAAAACCATTTGTCTCAACTGAACATGTTATTTATTTCGGATATTGGCCGAGGGCGTGAAGCTGCTCGAGCCCAGGCGTGTCTTGGCAACGTTAGTTGCGCGAGGAAGCAGTGTTCCGTTAGACGACATAACGTTGGTTAGCTAGCCGAGCTAACCGGGCTAGCTGCTCTACAGCGTCGGAGCTACCGGCTTCGGCACCGACGTGAACACCAGCGTGACGCGGTAGGAAGGCTTACCGTGTCGTCTGCTGGTTGTTCCTGCTGATATCTCGATCATGTTCGGGTCATTCTCTTCCATGTGACGTCCATGTTTGCCGTCTGCTAACAGCCGCAGCAGTGTCAAGCTACGTTCAACACTTCCTGTTTCCGGTCACACGCCTCAGAATAAAGGGCCCAATCCCAATGTCCCCCCTAACCCCTCAGCGACTCACGTGATTACAGGCCTCTTTCAGGTGATTCCCCGCCCCGTACGCCACATCAGGGTAAACAAACAACTTGAAAATATAAGATCTGCAACTGAAAAATATAATACAGCAAATATCAAAAAATATAAATATAAGTGATAAATGAAAAAAAAATATTCAAAAAAATTATGGAACTGAGTAAAAATTATTTTCAACCCGAAAATACTTTTTGTACACTTTATGTATTTATTTTGAATACCTATATTATTGTATTTTTCAATGTTCAACACCAAAACTCCCTAGAAATGGCTCTCTGCTCATCCTCCTGGGTGACATCCAGACAGAGAAGTCATCTGACCTCCTACTTTCTTCTTTCGCTCTGTCACTCAGTCCCTCTCCTCCTCCTCACAAAGCCGACAATCACCTTGACTACATCTTCACTAGAAACTGCTCCACCACTAACATCTCTGTGACTCCACTTCATCTCTTACTCTCTCCCAATCTCTATAACTAACGACCCCATTCACTGACTCTACGTGTTCGTCGCAACATTCACTCCCTCTCTCCCTCCTCCCTGGCCTCCTCTGTTCTATCAGCTCTCCCTTCCACTGACTCCTTCTCACTCTTGCATCTGAACGCTGCTGCAGAGACTCTCCTCTCCTCTCTGTCCTCCTCTCTAGACTCTCTGTCCTCCTCTCTAGACTCTCTGTCCTCTTACGGCCCGACGGATCAGCAAATCTCCGACGGCTCCGTGTCGGTCTGAACCGGTGCCATGAGAGCCACCATGCGAGCATCGGAAAGGAGACGGCGTAAATATAAACGACCTGATGACCTGCTTGAGTTTCAATCTCTTCTCTCCTCTTTTTCTGCTACTGTCTCTGCTGCCAAAAGCTCTTTCTACCAATCCAGAATCCAATCTTCATTTTCTAACCCCTAAAACCTCTTTTCGATCTTCTCCAACCTCCTTGAACCCCCTAGTCCTCCTCCTCCCTCCTCCCTTCTTCCAGGAGACTTTGTCAACTACTTTACATTTTCTTGGTAAAGTAAATGTACGCTCCTCTTTCTCAAACCCACCTCCTCCTACTCGTGTCCCACTGACTTCACCTCTATCGCCCTCACTTTCCTCCTTCACCCCCCTGTCTCGTCAACAATGCTGTTATCTGTTGTTATCTGCTGTTTTCCCAATTCTCTGAACGAAGCAAGAGTTAACCCTCTCCTGAACAAACCCACCCTCAACCCTTCTGAAGAAAACAACTACAGACGGTCTCTCTTCTTCCCTTTTTGTCCAAAACTCTTGAACGTGTGATCTTTAACCAACTCTCCTCCTATCTCCACCATAACAACCTCCTTGACCCCCACCAGTCAGGCTGCAAGGCCGTTCCACAGAGACTGCTCTCCTTGCTGTCTCAGAGCAACTCCACACTGCTAGAGCTCCTCTCTCTCCTCAGTCCTCGTCCTTCTGGACCTCTCTGCTGCATTTGACACAGTCAACCACCAGATCCTTATCTCCTCCCTTCAGGAACTTGGTGTCTCAGGCTCTGCTCTCTCCCTTCTCTCGTCCTACCTCGACGGACGCACCTACCGGGTAACTTGGAGAGGATCTGTGTCGGAACCTCGTCCTCTTACCACTGGAGTTCCTCAGGGTTCCGTCCTGGGTCCCCTTCTCTTCTCGCTCTACACCAACTCTCTCGGCGCTGTCATTCGCTCGCATGGCTTCTCCTACCACAGCTATGCCGATGACACCCAACTAATTCTCTCCTTCCCTCACTTCAGGATCAGGAATCAGGAATCAGGAAACATTTATTGCCATAATATGTCAGACATACAAGGAATTTGACTTGGCAGTTGGTGTGTAACAGCAGACAGTACGACAATGAATGACAAGACAACAGTGCACGAGGAATCAAATGAAAAATAATGCTATGGGTTAGTTTAAAATAAAGGAATAAAAGTTAAAGTAAAAAATATTTTAAAATGAAAAATGAAAAAATAAAGTGCACCAGCGAACAGAAAGTGACAAGTGAAAGTGACGTGTGCAGTGAGAAAGAAAGTGACCGGTGGAATGTTATAGTCGGTCAGTGGGGGACCGGCTCTGTTGATGAGCCCGACTGCCGACGGGAAGAAACTGTTGGTGTGGCGGGAGGTCTTAGTCCTGATGGACCTCAGCCTCCTGCCAGATGGAAGGGGCACAAACAGTTTTTGTCCGGGGTGAGAGGGGTCGGCTACGGTCTCTTTAGCTTACTTCGGGGCTAAAAAGATTGTAGCTGACCCCTCTCACCCCTGGACGCTCAGGTGGCGGCACGGATCTCTGCCTGTCTGACTGACATCTCTCATTTGATGTCTTGTATCCCTATGGTTGAATGCATTTATTGTAAGTCGCTTTGGATAGAAGCGTCAGCTAAATGACATGTAATGTAATGGATGGCCGCTCACCATCTGAAAATCAACCCACTTTTAATATATTTGTTATATGATATTTATATTGCATATTTATAATAGTTACTATATGGTAGTTATATCATATTCTGAATATTGTTTCATATATATATAGTTACATGTATATTCATTAATATACTGAATTGTTTGAATAAGAGTTTCTGAAATTGAATTTTGGTAAAATGGACTAGCCTGCCACATTATTTTTTCACTTTGATTGTTGGGTGTCTAAGCCCTCTGTAGGCTGAAATCTTTATTTCTATCAAAAATCCTTTCAATCCCAAGCCAGTAAACTGTCCATATCAGTGTAGATATTCAACATTAGTCTTTTTCACATTGAGATCTGTTTTGTTTTCAAAGTGTTTCTTTCATTTTTTTTGAGCACTGTACTTTCTTTAACAGCATTTCTACTGGATGGTGTTAGTACTTTATCTGTATTTTTACAGTGTGATATTAGTCATCCTACTGGAGTATGTTGTGAATACTACCCCCACCTCTAAATAAATATAAATAGCACCCTACGTCCACATAAACACACTAGGTTCCAGGTTTCATTTGTTTATTTTCCGTAAAATATTGTGTGAAGGTACACTCTTTTTAAAATTGAGAGGCACGCCTGGTTTGAAAACATATTCCTATTTACAACATACTTAACATTGGTTATTTGTTACAACGTTCAAATAAAGATCTCAAAAAGCCCATTTATTATTCAAATAAAAAAGCAGAAGAAGCACAACACTCATTTTACTCTCCGGAGCCCATATAAAAAACAATAACATAATAATATGAGAGCAATTATTTCATACATCAATAAAAAATATATAAAATATGGCCTTTAACTGAATCTCTATTGTGTACACACGCACACAAAACTAACACACTGGTCAACAGCTTCCTCTACTAGCAGACCTTAGAACTGCATCTTAACATTATAGGTTCATTGCATAACAGTAAGATGTCGTGTTCTCTCTCACCCCCACAAACACACACAGGTTTCTGAACAAGTCGACTGATTGTTTGACCTCTAACTAAAAAATGTCTTTAAAAGTTGTATCTGATCTGTAACTTATTTCTAATGGTGCGTTCACAGCAAAAACAAAGCGATTTTTCGCAACACTTTACTCGCCCGACTACTATTAGTCAATTTGCTTTATTGGCGTCCCCTTCATTGGCGCCGGAAAGGGGGCGTGGCTTGTCTCTGGGATGTCCCCATAAAGACAGTTAGAATTTCCGCTATCCAACATGCAAATAAGCACTATTTCTGCTCTCTACTTGTTGTGTAAATTTCACAGACTCCTCTAGGAAGTGCAGCTATTCGACTGCCACTAACCAGCAGCCGGTTTGATGACCTGTTCGTCGGACCGGTGCCAGGATCTCTCATTTGGACACCAACTACAGGCGTTCAGTCTCAGCTGCGGAACGCCTTTCTGTCTCCGGTGAGTAGCAGTCATAAAATGTATTCATGCTTTGGTAGCAGGACAGCAGTGATGACGTGCAATATCTCAAAGGTGGTTGGCTTTCGCAAGACAGCGTTGGCCAAATTTCTCAAGTAGATTCTACGCAAAGTCAATGCACAGACAAAAATGGTTGAGAACAAAGGGAATGTTTCAACGGGCGCAGTGAATGAAGCGAAGGATGCAAACGAAGCAAAGCGAAAAATTCCCGTCAGAATTCTTTTGAGATATTTGTAACCCCCAACCCTAAACTTTGGCAAGAAATTCTCTTTTAGTGGGAACATACCATAAGATTTGAAAAAGAGGAACAGAAAAAGTTGATTTAACACAAAATACAATTACTGGGTATGATCTCTCAATCTGTTATGGTGGAGCATTTGTCTCTCAGTAGACATGATTGATTTGTGGTTTCAGAGTACATAAAAGAAACAATTGACTTCTGTCTGTCCAAATACCACAAACATTCAAAGAAGCAAAACTCCAGAGAAACAAGAACAAATGTTTATTTGTTCTGGAAGACATCAAGAAACCAAAGATACGGAGGCTAAAAGCCGCCAGAAGGACAAAAGCTGTCCACAGCCAGACTACATTCCACTTTGTGTTCTGATTGTCACCCTACCATCATCTTCGTCATCCTCATCATCACTCTGACACTGTATAGTCCTCCAACAGTCAGGCACTTGACGGATTTATTTATGACTTCTGATCTCTAATCTCACAGGCATCATATACACTGAGTTTCCTAAAAATGTCAGTCCTCTGTGTAGCAGAACCCTCCATAAAAAAGGATCCATGCAGTAGAACCAACCATAAGAACCCTCTATGAAACAGGAACCATCCAGGAGAACCCTCTAAACTGTGCATTGTAACCCTCCATAAAATAGGGACCATGCAATGGAACCCTCCAGAATTCAGCTTGCTTTAATATTATTTTTGTATGTGTTTTTTGACTCAATATTTGTTTTGCTTTCACCCAATTTAAAAAAATCCTGATCAGATTTAACCTATGATTTTCCAATTGTTCAAAAATCCATTTAATAATAAATTTGCTGCAGAAGTTCAACTGTGTAGGTTTTATGGAATGTTTTATAATCCTTACTGAGGAAAAAACATTTATTCACGTTACGTTCCCACAACCTTTAATAAGGGTCCAGCCCCCATGTTGGGAAACCTTCAGTACTGCAGAAGGCACTCAGACAACTCCTCCTCCTAATTAAAAACATCCTCAACCTCCTTATCATCTCCATTCTCCCTTTCAACTTCCTCAGAATTAAAGGGACTGAACTCTTCTTTTTAATTCAAACGTCACAGAACAAGTTCAAACAGATGTTTGTTTTCTTTGTCTTTCATCTTAAATATTTATACTGTAATTTATTAAATATAAGGTCTAATCTGAGAAATCATTTACACAACTTCAGATCACTTTCGTTACAAAATAAAACATCTTTAAATCCACAATAATATTAATAATATATAAATTTTAATCCTCATTAGATAAAAATATGCCTCTACGCTCGGGCCCTGAGAAGGCTGAAAACACAGGGGAAGCAAATGCAGGTTAAGAGGGGCGGGGCGTATAGAGGTCAAAGGGCAACCTCATCAAAGGTTGTATAATCTTCAAACAAAAGGGATTCAGACTTTTCTCTACATCAATATTTGGGGGAAAATGTGATGTTTGTGTTTTTCTTTAGGAGGCGAAGACAAAGTTATGAACCAGAAAATAAAGATTTCTCCCTGCTGATTGCTTACAGATCAGATCAGCAGTAGATGCATAGTCCCCTTTGTTCTTTGGAAAGACACTTGTTAGTATAAAAGAGCTCAGCTAAGAGATTGTTGATCTGTGATTAGTGATAGAACACTTGAGCTACGGTTATTGATTCTTCAGAGTAAAGAAATTAACTTTATTCCACAAATGCAATGTTTTTGTGATCCGTTCTTCAGTTTAAGTTAAAACTATTGACACAGATACATTTACTTTTACTACCATATTATAAATCAAAACATACTTTTGAAGGTTGAAGATCCACTTGTTTGTCCAGTTTTAAAGTATCTCAATATTATTTCATTTGATTTCTATATTTGTGACAGAACATGTTTGGTCACATTAGTTGACTTCATAACTCCTAAAGAAAAGCTCAAGTGTTCTGTGTGGTTCACACAGGATTTACCGAGTTATGAATTCAGAGCGCTCACTTGAGTTTCAAATGTCTGGAAAAGACGCAGCACTAGGTTCATGGAGCAGACAAAGACCAACATGGACTGTTTGCTCTCAGTCTTCTTGCGGAATGGTGGCCAGCATGGATGCTGAACATGCAGGTACTTGTACATGCTAATGCCGAAAAGAGAAGCTCTTGGGTATTCTGGACTATAATCATAGCGAGGGCGGTTTAAGGAGAACTGTATTCTGAACTCCAAACAGGGCTTCCTGATCTCGGTGTTCCCCCCACCTCTAAAGGATGGTCTTCTTTTCACTACAACCCAGAGGAATGGGGGGGGTCACTTCAGCCGGTCGGATCGGAAGGAATCCTCCACAGCAGGGTCAGCGAGCATCAGGTCTCCGTCCAGCATGTCCAGAGAAAGAGGGTCCATCCTCAGCGGGTCGTCCAGGGAGAATGGGTCCATCTCAAAGCCGGGCACATGAGACAGAGCGCTGGCAATCTCTTTAGACAGGCCGGGGGGGGAGTCTCCTGCAAAGGGGGAGGGGGGGATATGTCAAACCTAAAAGAACAACAAACACTACAGAACCTTTTATTTTCCAAAAGGAATTCATGGATCCACATCCCTTACCCTTTAATAACAAAATACACAAACACAAACATATATACAGTATATATATATTTATATATTAGGACTGTCAATGCAATTAATGTGGCCAAGATTAATGCAACAAAATATTTTAACGCAGTTAACACAACTTTGTTTACTTCTGGTCTTCCGGTGTGCCGGAACTAAACAAAGTTGACGCTGGAAACGAAACAGCCACTAGCTGCAGTCAGTTAGATCGGAGCGAGATGGAGAGCTTTTTGCATTGGAAGTAAAACAAACAGTGGCGCGACATAAAGCGGAGAACTGAGCAGAAGAATTCCTCCACGTGTCAAAGAAGGGGGAAGAAGGGGGGCGAGTGGCAAACGGACCACTTAATGCACCGCTATGCTAAGCTAGCTGCTAGGCTACTTCCATCTCAACATGTAACGCCACCCTGCGCGGCGCACAGTCTGCAGAGGACCACCACTGTGTCCCTAAAAGACAGTGGTTTGAAAACGTCCTGCTAAATGTGGGGACATTGCTGGACTTAAATGATGGAGAGCAAAGTGCACGAGGACGACCGGAAGAGCCGCTAGTTCAACATGTTCCACCAGGTGGAATTCTGCCTCCAAGATGATCAAATGTGTGGAGTTTTGTGTTTAAAATAACATTAACAATTAAACAACAGTGTCTAAAATACATGCTTTATAAAGTGATTACTCATTACTTGCAAGATTTAGTCTTTAGAAGAAAAACAAACATTAATCGCAATTAATAAGTGAATTTTCTATTGACATCCCTAATATACATCATACAACAACCTGGGGGAAAACCAGTTAACTGAAAGAATAGTTTTCAGTTCATCTTGTAAGCTGGTCTCATTAATTCTGCTAAATAAACCCACCAGTGAGGATAATGTTGGGTACATGGTGTCGGCCCCCCCCCCCACCATAGTTCTGGTTGTTGAGTAGCTGCTGGTCCCTGGGGTCCTGCAGGTCCAGGTGTCCCTGGGTATTGGACAGATACTGGTTCTTGTCACCACTGCTGCTCAGAGGCAGACAGTCTGCCTGTTTATCTGCTAAGAACTGAAGCACAAGGGAACTGATTAAATAGAGAGGATATTCATGAGTACTTCATATGCACAAAGAGAAGGATTTAAACACGACCATGATCATGAAGTGATTAAGAGGCAGCGCAATCTGAGCTTCTATCAGAACTTTTGCCACAGCAGTTGGATGGATCCATGCAGTACAGGAGAAGCCGTAATTCACAGTCAGTACTCAATCCCGAAGCTTGCAGGCCTTCCTAATCTACCTGCACCAAGAGAAAGAACCACTAACCAGGAAACTAAATGTATGTTTGGGCCTGGCTCTGCACTCAAGATTAAACATGAAGCTGCTGAGTACAAGGTTTAAGTCTGACAGTGGTTGAAATCATGTTCCCTTAACAGACCAGTTTGTGACATCATACTTCCTTAACATCGTAATGCCTTAAACCAGTGGGTGACTTGATGTGCAAGTGCTGGGTTACCTGCTGGGTGGATCTGCCTGTGAACTGAAGACTCAGGTAAGGGTCGTCCAGTAGAGAGTTGAACAAGGCATCCTAGGAATCATGGGAAAACCAATTGTTGTTTTCAATTTTCATTCTCTCCATTGTAATATTTAGTATAGTTTAGATGCAGCATTCCTTTTTACAGGCAGGCTCTAAGTAGTAAATGTTTCTGACGGAGTGGTAGTCACTCACGTTGTGAATGTTTGTGGTTGTCTTGTGGTCACTTACGTTGTACAGGTCGGTGGCCAGGTTGTGGCTGATCTGTTGGAGCTGTTGCAGGCCGCCGGCTCGGTTCTGCGCTGTCTGTTGCTCAGTTTCCTGTTTGATATGACACTGAGAGGGGCTCTGCACACACTGATCTGTCAGCCTCTCGTGCTTTATTAGTTGTCCGTTTGCCTGCTGCTCCATTGGCCTCTGTTGCTACAGAGAAAATCACCGTAGTCACTTCAGAAGCTGTACTGCACAGGAGAATGTAATTTATTCATCTTTTCATTGATCAATTGACCTACCAATCCAAAGTGCTGCTGCATGAGCTGGTCGTGTGAGTTGCCTAGGTTCTGCAGGTGAAGCTTCTGCTGAGCATTAGCCCGCGGTTGCTGGAGGCGGTGCAGATGCTGGTGGTGCTGCCCCATTGGAGAGGGTTGCTGCCCTGCCTGAGAGCCCTGCAGACCAGAGAGAGGCTGGTGGGACTGACTGAGCGGGTATGGAGGGAGTCTCTGGTCCAAAGGGAGTTTGCTGGTGTCCAGAGGGACGCCCTGTGGTTGGGGAGAGCTCGTCAGATTAATCATCTCACAGCAAACGGATATATTTAGCAATATATTGCCCAGTCACGATGTTATCGCACCACAATTAAAAGTTGTCTTGAAATTAGTTGAAGAACCTCAAATTTCCATGTCAAGTTGATGACACTCTAGTACTTGTAATACATGTATTATTACTCCTGAAATATTTGATTGAACATTTTATTCAAAATATTTAAACTAGAGCTGTCATAATTTGTTTACTTCCGGTGTGCGTTGACCCCTGACCCCTAAAGGCACCGCGTCCTGCAGTCAGTTAGATGCAGAGAGTGAAACGGTAGCTGAAGATGGAGAGAACTTTTCCTTTGGAAGTAAAACGGAAGAACCGAGCAGAAAAATTCCTCCAAGTGTCAAATAGAAGGGGGACGAGTGCAGAAGGACGACTTTAGGACTGCTAGGCTAAGCTAGCTTCTTGCCTACTTCCATCTCAACATCTACCTGCAGAGGACCACCTTTGTGTCCCTAAAAGACAGTGGTTTGAAAACGTCCTGGTTAAATGTGGGGACATTGTTGCCACTTCAAACACGACAAAGTGTTGTTGAGAGCAAAGCGCACGAGAACAACATGTTCCACCTCCAACATGATCACATGGTGGCAGAAAAAAAAATTAAATTAAACAACAGTGTCCAAAATAAACACTTCCTAAAGATGACTTTGACTAGATGACTTTTAAGGGAAAAACTAACTTTTATTCGTGATTAATTTAAATTAATGAATTTTAAAATGTGAGATTAATTAGCTATTTTTTTAGCTCTATTGACAGCCCTGATTTAAACGATTTACTACCAAAACCACTTCATATTGAGGATCTAAAATTATGAACCATCCCGATTGTTCTAATTATTTATATTTATTTAGTGATACCTGTGTGATGGAGGACAGGGTGGGGGAGATGGTGGGGGAGAACTGTTTGGAGTGATGTCTCCGTGACTCCCCCCCCATGGGAAGGATGAGCGGGGAGAGCTGTGCCCGTCGTCGTGGCGACGTGCTGAGTGCCGGCTGGCCCTTAGTGCCGAGCAGCGGCGAGTATGAGGAGCAGGAGCTGGAGCTGTAGCCAGGGTTACCGCTAGACACTGACTGCAGGGAGGAGTTACTGAGGGAGGAGTGAAGCGATTGGCTGCTGAGCGAGGACGGCAGGGACGGGGAGGAACCAAGAGATGACTGCAGCGAAGGGTTACTGAGCGACGAGTGCAAGGATGCAGAGCTCAAAGAGTTGGAGAAGGAGTGGCTGCTCAGCGATGACTGGATGTTGGGGTTGCTTAGTGATGACTGCAGGGAGGGGTTACTGAGCGTGCTCGGTGAAGACTCGAGGAGACCTGAGGAGCCAAATAAAAGCGTATGAGCACAACTCGACAAAGAGAACCACGTTAGTTAAAGAAATAAAAAGCACTCAAACAAAATCTTTCATGGTAAGATTTCAGTTCCTAAAACTAAGATGTAATTTAAACTAAAACCAATCATTGTCTTCACTTGAAGTTTTTTGTCTATAAATCCGCAGGACCGCAGAGAGCCTTCATATCTTCTGCCACAAACTAAATACACAAATGTTCAGACTAAAAAGCCTTGACTAAAAAGACTAACAAATTGTAGCACTTACATTTATTTGATGAAAATACACGTTCTTGTTTCTTATTTTTTTATCCTTAGCCCTTAGTTAAGATGCTATAGGCTTAGACTGCCGAGGACACACAAAGCTTCTCTCTCACTCTTACTCTCTCCTTCTACAATAATCCACATTTTATTAATGCACATGACTAATTCAGCTAAAGTCTTTGTGCTTTCCCTCCCCACAGGCTTCTGTGAATGGTGGTTCTGGTTGCCCCTGCAGTGGTCCTGCCGTGCGCCTGGCTTGCTACTCGCAATTATTTGAATCATTTCTGTTATAGGAATTGAATGTATTATACATATTTTACATTGTTCATTCTGTACACATGGCATCATTGTAGTCTGCCCATCTCGGGAGAGGGATCTGTGCCGATGTGAGGGTTCACTTCATCCATAACATTATTAAGGTTTTTTCTGGCAACATTTGAGAGGGATCTGATTTATTTCTGAGAAGCAGGGTATAAATTAAAAGACATGTAACTTTCTGTTGCCACTAGGTGTGCTACGAAAAGAATTATCATATGGATGTCTACAGGGTAAGAATTTCATGACACATGAGAAATATGGGCAAAGGTCTCAAGTATTCACCAGTCTCGATATGCATATCACACAAACCTCGAAATGGCCTGCTTCCGGTACGGTTTCGAGCATGGTCCCAGGAGACTTTATTTCAGTTTACTTGTGTTACATATTCCTACTGAGTTTCAAAATTTTAGGTCAAACGTAGCGCAGGGGCTGCTTAAGTGAATATTTGTACAGGGCGTTATTGAGCCGAATTACAATTTTGAATTATTAAAATGATATCAGGTAACTACATCTTTGACTCTAAATGTGCTTGCCGCATTTAGTTACAATTTGAGCATGTTTAGTACCTTAAAAGCTTTGTTGTTTACTGGATACTAGAAAATCTGACTTCCTGTTACCAGTAGGTGGCGCTATGACTGATTCAACTTTACGTCTGTTCAGGCCCAGAGTCTCATCAAACATGTGAAAATTGAAAAGGATCGATGCTCCCACTCGCCGCCGTTTATCAAATTCTTATAATATTCAAAGTGAAGCTTTGTCAAGGTCTTAAGTCTTTTCTGACACCTTAGAGATCAGATTAACCTGTGAGGATCAGGGTGTAAAGCAAAAAACATTTAACTTCCTGTTGCCCCCAGGTGGCGCTATGACTGGGGTTAAGACATGATCATATGGATGTCTACAGGCTAAGGAGGTCATGCTATATGAGAAATATGGAGCAGATTAGATTATGTATGGTAGAGTTAAAACAACTTTGATTTTTCCGGCGAATGGTGTTTTTTTGAAAATGCTCTGCGCGCACATAGTTTAATATTTCTTATGACAAAATGCAATTTTTAAAGCCCAAGGTCTCAAGATCACACTGGTAAAATTTGAAAAGAATCGTGTTTAATCTCTGGGAGGAGATTGAGTCTTTTACAACTCTAAAAAGTCATGAAAATAGGCTAAAAGGGCAGATTTTAAACGATTACAGTGCCACCAAGTATTGTAAACAAATTCGGGTGTGTTCAGGGGTTCAATGTTTACATATGTTACAATTTTGGTGAGGGGAGGCCAAGTCAGTCAAGTTATGTGTCTTGCCAGATTAATAATAATTCCTTGAAATTTCCTCTACGACTAGTTGTAGCGAGGACCCTAAAAATACGATTTTTACACAACTTGCAAGAAAAACCAGGAACTCATAACTGAAGTGACCTCCACATGAGAATGACTGCAGAAACTAAATTAAACCAAGTTAATGAACCAAGAATTCAATAACACTGAATTCTTTTAATAATCTATTTTCACTATTGGTAAAAGTTCACACCAGTCCAGAGATGTAAAGGTGTGCTCGGACACTCGATCAATGTAATACAAACCCAATGTACCTGGTGTGTGGTGGTGAAAGATGCTGTTGCCTCCTTGTGGATTGGCGGCATTAATACCCAACTGAGTAAGGGTGGAGGCCAGGTTCCCCGTGCTGCCACCCCCACTCAGAGAGGAGGAACCTGGGTAGCAGGGCTCGTCCTGATCAAGTGGTGTGGGCAGCGGGGAGGGGAAGTGGAGACTGGACAGATCAGGCAGCGAACCACCGGTATTGAGGCCCGATGGGACGCCGTGAGTCGGCGTGGACGGCTGCTCCAGGGACGTAAAGATACTAAGAGGAAACAGCGGGTTAAGATTTTCCCCTATGGCTGAAAAGTGATCTTCAAGTGAAATCATTACTGTATTCTATTTAATTGGGCAAGTAATGGTGTATGCCTGAAACAACATGCAACACCACGTTGTCCTAACCCTAACCAGATAACAAAACGTAACACATGGTAAGAGCACCTGGTAGCACAACGTAACAATGCATAAAAATAGTAAGACAACGCAACATGCAATACCATGTAACACAATGTAACACCACGTAACAACATGTAACACCTCAAAACATAATGTAACAAAATGTAACACCACCTAACATAACGTAACAACACGTAACAAAATGTAACACCACCTAACACAATGTAACAACATCTAACAAAAAGTGGCACCAAGAAACTCAACATGTGTGTATGAGTGTGCAGAGTTGTGTTGGGCTCACTTGATGCCAGGAACTTCACAGGACTTGGGTCGGGATGACAGCAGAGGCAACTGGAAAGACAGAGCAATGTGTTTTTGTCTTTTATTTACCTTCTGAAGATCCAGAGATTTCTAAAATGATAGCTTATGTCTGCTAACATGATTAAACATATGTTATCACTTACATAGAACATTGAGATGTTGAATGATAAACTTAAGGTGGAAATATATATGTATCGCATTTCATTATTTCCATTTAAGGTTAATAAAACACTTAATACACCTACCAATTAATACACCTCAGTAAATTGTTCAGGAAGAGCTTTTGCTTAATAAATGTGAAATAGAATCTGTACAGAGAATATAATATTAATCAGAGATTAACAAAGAGAAAATTGTCCCTGTACCTTCTTGGTGTCCCATGGTTTGAGTAGTTTCCCCTCATCCAACACATTCTCTTCAATGGGGGGCACGGGATATGGAAACACTGACAGCAAAACATTCATCGCATTAATATCAAATATGGGTCAAGAAGATGTAGAGCACGGGTACCCACACTTTTTTGGCTTGCAAGCGATCTACGTATGATGTGTTGTTTTTTTTCAATGGCGGGCGATCTACCAGCACTGCCTTGCTGGAAGAAGATGCTTTTCCATGCAGGTGAGGGAATTTCTGTCTGATATTGAGCATATATTTAACGTTACAAACTCTGCCGGGCAGGCATTTTGAAAAGTATGAAGCTACAACCAATTAGCAGCTAAATGCCCCTCCCACCCTTATGTCATTACCCTAAACCTATATAAAAGACAAATTATGAACTAAATACTTTACTATTGATTCAAAATATTGGACAAGCGCTTGAGAACAAACAGGCAAATTAGCAACAACAAGGTAACCCAGAGACAGGAGTTGCATCTAGAGAGGGTATTACTCCACTAGACAGCACTTTATGAATGTGGGGCTACTTGAGGATCGTAGACCTTCTAACAGTATGATGGGAGTCGGAGCCTTCAGTTATTCGCAGAACCAGTTGTAGTTGTTTAGTCCAGGGGGCAGACACACTCCCCTCATTTAAGAGTAGGCCTAAGACTCTCCTCCTCGATAACGCTTATAGTTAGGACTTTAAAGTTGGGGCTGGTTGAGGTTTACAGTTAGGATTGGCTCAGGTTAACAGTTAGAGGTGGCACAGATTTACAGTTAAGGCTTTGTCAGGTAGGGTTAGATAAGTAAAGCCTGGCTCAGGTTTCTAGTGAAGGCTGGCTCAAGTTTATGGCAGGTTTACGGCTCAAGGACCCTTCTTAAACCCTACCAGCTCTCACTTACTTTGCAATCAATAGCTTGCAGGATGGCGACTGATCCAGTTTTAGTCAGGTTTATTGAGGATTTTCAAAACTCGAAAGTATAAATGGGCATTATCAAATTACAATTAAACTGGTGATGAAACTGTTTTTGCATGTGTGGCTCTTTCCAAATAAAACAACAGTTCAATTCCCTGAACTGTTTCTCTAAAGATTTTTAGTTGATCAACATTCATGAGCGACATGTACATTTTCCAGTATCTTATGTATTTTATTGACTACCTGAGCGTCTGTTGCTCTGGGTGGTAAGGCTGGGTCCTCCTGAGGTGAAGGCATTTCTTATATGAGGGTTCATCACGCTGGTGTGGAGGGCCGAGTCAGAGTTTGTCCTGGGCGGAAGGAAAAACTCAGTGTTAAAGGATTTAAGGAATGAGAGAAAGGGAGAAAATCTGTCAGGTGAATCTTCATTCTCCAACTCAGACTGAGTTCAAAAGTAAAATAAACTGTCACAACTGGAAACATTAAACAGAAGCTCCAAATTATTCATTTCTTCTCACAAATGACGACGTCAGATGAGAAACTATTCAGACTTACACTCAAGCGATTTATAAGAATCTTTTGAAATTGGACAATTATTCAAAGCATTTCAGAAATGCACTACAGTCCAAACCTATTCTAATCCAAACCCACAAATATTGAAGCAATAACAAAGGATCCAGGTAAGGCAGTGACTGAGACACCCCTGTCTACTTCCAGTGAGTTCAGAGATGTGAACATTGAAGCACACGCAGAACAAGGCTTTCTTTGTGTTAGCTGCATCATCAAAATCTCCTAACGTAGCACTGGTTATGGATCTAAAATGAACGGCCAGCCCGATTGAACCCAGGTTGTAGTTTTTTGTAGGACTTCATGGATCGGCCATAATAAAAACACTTTGTCTATGATGGACTTTGTAGTTGTACCATCAGATTTGTGACTGTGTGTCTTGGAGAAGAGGCAGAACTATTAACTAATCGTCACCTGGTTGTGAGTTGGTGTGGTACCACCAAGTCTGAGGCCAGAGTTTCTGCCGGAAAACGCTGTAGTGACAGTTCTAGATTGGGAGTGACTAACCGCTCCAAGTCAAAGGGTCTCATGTGCCTCTGCACACATGGCATCCGTTGTAGTCTGTCCATCCCGGGAGTGGGATCCCTCCTCTGATGTTTTCACTGAGGTTTCTTCCCTTTCTTTCCCATAGAAGGGTTTTTCATTTTTTGGAGAGTTTTTCCTGTGCCACATGAGGATTTTGGGACAGAGGATGTCGCATGTGCACAGACTGTAAAGCCATCTGCGTCAGCGTACCAGACGGTGATGGAGGAGCAGAGGATGGACTCCATGATGGCCGTGTAGAAGTGCACCATCATCGTCTTTGGCAGGTTGAATTTCTTCAGCTGCCTCAGGAAGAACAACCTCTGCTGAGCCTTCTTGGTGATGGAGCTGATGTTCAGCTCCCACTTGAGGTCCTGGGTGATGATGGGGCCCAGGAAACGGAAGGAGTCCACAATAGTGACGGGGGAGTCACAGAGGGTGATGGGGGAAGGTGGGACTCTGTTCCGCCGGAAATCCACAACCATCTCCACTGTCTTCAGAGCGTTGAGCTCCAGGTTGTTCTGGCTGCACCAGGACACCAGATGGTCAGACTCCACCTGTAGGCGGACTCATCCCCACCAGAGATCAGTCTAATGAGGGTGGTGTCATCCACAAACTTCAGGAGAAGAGCAGAGGGGAAAGAACGCAGCCTTGGGGGAACCGGTGCTGATGGTCCAGGAGGCTGAGACATGTTTCCCAGCTTCATATGCTGCTTCCTGTCAGACAGGAAGTCTGTGATCCACTGTGGTGGAGACGGTTTGTCCTGCAGCAGAGACGGGATGATGGGGCTGAAGTCTGCTTTCAGAGCTGTTTATTAGGGATCTATTTCTTTATGTGTAAGCATGCCCCTGTGCATTGTTCTCCTATTGGTTATTCGCCATGTGCATGTATGCATTGAGTGCAGAACCTCAAGTAAACCAAGCAATGTTTCTTGTGTGAACTCAACCTCCGAGTGAGCCTGATTATTTTATTGATAGGTAGTCGCATAGACACAACAAATTGGCAATGAGAAATCTACGAACCTAACAAGCAAATGGAGCTTAAAAGTACGTGGAATGAGGAGTTGGCTGGAGGGAAGGAGAGTGGAAACGAACAACAGCAGTAGAGGAGTAGCAAGGCTAATGGAGAACGCGTGAGTAAAAGTGAATAGCTCACAGTAAACAACGCAGAAGTGCACGTAAACGCTAAATATCAGACTAAAGATGGCTTACGTTGGAAAGGTAGACGAGTTTGATAGTGCCAATGAAGACTGGGAAGCATACATGGAAAGAGTGGAATTGTATTGTAATGCCAATGATGTGGAGAAAGAGAAGAAACACATTGGACACATTTTCTCGAACCCGACCGCATCACACCATGCCCGATTCTAATGTCTAACTATTCTTAACTACTCTTTAAAGTAGCAGACTTTTATTACTATGCTATTATATTGTCATTATGTCATAAGTGGCATAAAATGGTCTGAAAATTGCAATAATATCGCATATCGCAATAAATGTTGGTGCAATAATCGCACAACAAAAATTTGATATCGTGACAGAAGTATTAGAGACTGGTTTTCTGGGCAGACTAAGTTAGCTTGTTTTATATATATATTTATGTATATTAATATATATTTATTCTCGATAAGTCATAACGTAACACTATATAGCCCGGATCAACGAGTCTGCGATCATTATGCATTTATTTATGTTTGAGCGCGACTGTAGTCATATTGCCTGTTGATCTGATACTGTGAGATGTTTTGATGCAAGGAATTTAAAGTGAAAAAATTATTACGCCACAAGAGATTAATGCGGTTCGTTAACATTTTATGATCCGAATAGTTTTGTTATTTTCCATTGTGATGTTAAATTGTTTACTCTGGGTCTCCGCCGTGAGATTGGTGAGTGAGCTAGTCGGTACTCCACTTATTGCCGCTCTCACAACCACCATCGTCCCTTCTCAGTATTTCCCCTCGGTTTCCTCTCACCCCCCTTTTCCCCCCCTTCACATGTGCATGTACACACAGCACACACACACGTGTTTGTTGGTTTACAAACACGTGTGTTTAAGTGTAGGGATTGTTGGTTGCAGTTATAGGTGATCTTGGGTCTGTGTTGCTGTGAGTTAATAAACCCAGTTATACTTTAAATAACCATTTTCCTGTGTTTAATTGGGCATTTATTTGGTGGTGACAGTGGACATACATTGTCAGTGCTCAAACTCTCAAGGAGTATCAATATAACTTATGAGTCTTGATTTAAAATATTGGTTGTTAGAAACTGCATCCAATCTCACTTTGGACCAGCAGCCTTGGTTGACCATATTTCTCCTGAAGTGCTACGAGGGCAGTGAAATAAGGTTATATTATATATTATTTATATATTCCATAGGCAGAGGCTATGAACAAATCACACACACAAATGAACACATTTTCTCGAACCCGACCGCATCACACCATGCCCGATTCTAATGTCTAACTATTCTTAACTACTCTTTAAAGTAGCAGACTTTTATTACTATGCTATTATATTGTCATTAAGTGGCATAAAATGGTCTGAAAATTGCAATAATATCGCAATAAATGTTGGTGCAAAATTTGATATTGTGACAGCCCTATAAGAGACTGGTTTTCTGGGCAGACTAAGAAGTTTCTGTTCTCCTCAGTCTAATTGGAGCTAAGACGTAATCTCCTACGCAACCTAGTTAGCCCAGCCAAACTGTCCAGCAAGACACTGATGATATTCAGAAGATTTTGCAAAACCATCTGAAACCTAAACCTCTAGAGATTTAAGTGATTTAGATTCCATTAAAGAAGTCAAGCGAAGGATGAAAGCATTTCTGACTACATGGCAGAACTGCGCAAACTTTCACAAAAGCACATTCATGAGTGGGGGTTTTTGGCTTGTAGTTTGTGAGGTGTTTAAAGCCTCTCCAAACCGAAGCAGAGTCACTTGCTCGCTTATACCTCAGTGTGGCATGTTTGTACATACCTTGCCATGCTTTCACGTACACATTGCAAAAATATCACACCTGAAGTGGGCCGCAAAAGCATTAGTACATGGGGACCAGGGTGTTCAATGGTTTTGGACAACGCCCCTTAGAGGTTTTCCGTGCAGGTCTAACTGGTAAGAGGCACCGGGGTAGACCGTAAAAGGTCTCATTGGAGCATGTTTCTGTCTTTTTTTATTTTAATTATTATAATATATAACGTCACGTGTTAGTTTATAACATGTGGAGTCCCCCAAGGTTCGATCTTAGGGCCGACTTTATTCAACATCTACATGCTCCCCAAACGACTATCGCCCCATAGATCTTCTGTGCCAGTGCATTGAGCAAATCAAAGACTGGATGTGTCAAAATGTCCTACAACTAAATGAAGACAAAACTGAGATCATTGTATTTGGTGCTAAAAAAGAAAGGTTTAAAGTAACCCAACACCTTCACTCTCTGTCCCTGAAAACATCAAATAAAGCCAGAAATCTGGGGGTTATTATGGATTCAGATTTACACTTGGAGAGTCACATCAAATCAGTAACAAAATCGGCCTACTACCACCTCAAAAATGTAGTACGACTTAGAGGGCTCATGTCAGCTCAAGACTTAGAAACACTTGTACATGCCTTTATAACTAGTAGGCTAGACTATTGTAATGGTCTCCTTGCAGGTCTTCCAAAAAAAACTGTCAGGCAGCTCCAGCTTGTTCAGAACGCTGCTGCTAGAGTTCTAACAAAGACCAAAAAATGTGAGCACATTACACCAATTCTTATATCCTTACATTGGCTCCCAGTATGTCAGAGAATTAATTTCAAAATCCTACTGCTCACATATAAATCACTACATGGTTTAGGGCCAAAGTATATCACTGATATGCTTCCACTACATAAGCCTTCAAGATCACTAAGATCTTCTGACACCAATCTGTTAGTGATTCCCAGAGTAAATACAAATCATGGGAAAGCATCATTTAGTTACTACGCAACAAACAGCTGGAATAAACTTCCTGAAGATTTAAGACTTGCCCCAACTCTGACCACGTTTAAAACAAGACTGAAAACGTTTATGTTCAGCTTCGCCTTCTGCTAAATTTGACCTACATTGCACTTTTAACCTCTGCCTTTAATTAAACAATTTAAATAAGTTTTTAATTTATAATTTTATTTGCTGTTTTTAATTGTCTTTTAATTCCTGCATTTTATTTCACTTTTTTGTATGAAATGTTATGATGTGAAGCACTTTGAGTCTGCCTTGTGTATGAAAAGCGCTATACAAATAAACTTGCCTTGCCTTGCCTTATAAAAGTAATGGCAAAGGTACAAAAAAAGACAAAACAGGAGGGAAAAAGAAAGAATACTAACCCAACCACACAGCATATAAAATCACGTTCGCGCAAAAATTTCGATTGTTTCATCAGGTTGAGTTAGTATCATTAGAAGTGTTTTTTTTTTATTTGGCAGGATAAAGTCTAGCCCGGAGGGGTCGACTCGGTCCAACACTCCATATCTTGATGGAGAGAAGTTCGGCGGTTTTACCCAGTCAAAGAATCCTGTACCCATTTTCAATGTTCCCATAGCTTAAGAAATAAAGGGCCATTCATCTCTGTCGAAAGCATTTAATGAGTCCAGGGACACTGCCAGGCCCCTTACATTATTATCCTTCAGACTGTATTGTGTTTAAAAGCCTCCTGACGCTGGGTCTTCGGGGTCCTTGTTTTTTTCCAAGATGAGGCCAATGTTGGCTAGCGACAATGCTTCATGCTGAGTTGTGTTAAAGCTGTAATTATAAGTTCTGGTTAGGTGAGAGGTCAGCTTGTTTTGAAAGGTTTTAAACCACTCTGCAGGGAACCCACCTGGGCCTGGCGATTTTCCACTGTGCATCAAAGCCATTGCTTCTAATATCTCCTTTTCCTGAATGGAGTTTTCCAAAGATTTCTGCTGTTTTTCTGTTGGTGTAGGTAATTTGATTATAGAAAATAATGTGTCAAGTTCCTCTTTAGTGCTGTTATTATCCGTTTTGTATGATGAGTTGTAGAATGATACAAAAACAGAGTTCATATTTTTCCCTCCTGGGTCTCATATTTCTGCTATGGTGTAAAAATTTTGTTTCTGGTTAATTAGGCGGCCAGATCTTTCCAATTTCATAGTTGTTGCGGATGCTTTCTCGTTCAGAATCGAGTTTAGTGCTGCTCTGATACTTTACTTTACTTTACTTTAATTAGATTTGACCTGGTTCCCCTACTCTTATGCGCCGGCTCTTCCTTTTTTAAGTATGTTTCCAGTTCATTCTGCTTCTGAAGTTTTTTCCGGTGTGACATATATGAGACAGTGAACCCTCTGATGTAGGCTTTTGCAGATTCCCAAAGAAATTCAGGGTTTGTTTCACTGTTGTCATTAATGTCAAAGAAGAAATATAACTCCATCCTCCAACCTCCATCTTTTTTTTTTTAAAAGCCTTGTCAGTGAGTCCATTCAATTAAATTAAATTCATTTTATTTTGTATAGCCCAAAATCGCAAATTACAAATTTGCCTCAGAGGGCTTTACAGTCTGTACACATGCAACATCCTCTGTCCCGAAACCCACCATCAGCACAGGAAAAACTCCCTAAAAAATGAAAAAACCCTTCCAAGAGGGAAAAAAGGGAAGAAACCTTAGGGAGAACGTCAGTGGAGGGATCCCACTCCCGGGATGGACAGACTACAATGGATGCCATGTGTACAGAATGAACACCACCTAAAACTGTAAAGGAAGATCTGCGTTCCTCTGTTTCTGCTGCTATTGTTGTCTTTTGTTGAACACGGACGTATCTGAGTTAGCTTTACATGTACAGACTACAAATGGGTTGGCCTTGTGTATAGCAACTCCTCTGCTATTTGAGGTAAACGATGAGTAGTAAACCTGGCCTACCCAGTCTCGTTTAAGTTTCACATGCTCCTTGTCCACTAGATGGGTTTCTTGTAAGAAAACAATTTGTGTCTCGTCTTTTTTGAGAAGGCGTGATATTTTCTTCCACTTAATTGGATGGTGGAACCCTTTTACATTAAATGTACAGTAGGGTTAGTACAGTACAGTTTGATACTATTTATCCCTGACATTTCCTACTTCCTTCTCTGTCACAGAGAGATGCTGTCTTTTTAGAGACCTCCTCGAAGCACTCTGAAGAAGTATTAACTGACCCTTGCTGACCTAGTTCAGATGGATGTTTTTCTCTGGGGGTGTGGTACAGAGCCTAACATTTAAGAACACTAAATTACAAAAAACAACTCAAAAACATAAACTTAAACTTATTGAACTTATTACATGAACAGGTCTGATTTAGGTTAGAGAGACACTTTGGTGACATTGGAAACCAGAGTCAACAGTTCTGGTATACCCCTCTGGTCCTCACTTTACAGCACATGAGCTCAGGCAGTGACAATAAAAGAAACAAAAATGAGACATAGCAGGACTAAATAAATAAGGGAAGAATCAATATTTAGAAAAGAATTAGGATCTGGGATTTCTTTTAAGGCAGAAACGATTCCTTTTTACTAATCAGGGATCTTAGTTTATGATCCGACGCAGAATTGGGACTGCAACATACTTCATCACGAGTGCTTACAGCGTCCAAAGAAAAAAAGGACCTTTATTAAGTATTACCGCCAAAGAAAAAAAGTAAAATAAATCAAATCGGATCGGACACATTCATTTCACCCACAGATTTTGACTTCCCCAGTAGGAAAAAAGAGGAGAAGGATAAGGAGGATTCACCTGTTGAGTGCAGTGGTGGGGAGATGAAACAACTGGCTTTTATCTCCAGGGAAGTTTCCGGAACAATTCCTTTTCATGATCGACAAGAAAAAATAGTTACTTCCTCCACCGAGCGAGAACATTGAAAAGCAAAAATAAAAGGAGGTCTGGAAGAGCAAGCAAACGAGGTAGATGAAGGAAGAGAGCAAAGGAAGGAAGGAGGTTGACGTGTCGCCTGATGAGGGTAATGCAGCCTCTACTCATTAACTCATCAGGGATCTTTATGATCTCAGGCAGCATAGGGCCTGCAACATAGATTATCATGAGTGCTCACAATGTCCAAAGAAAAAAAGGACCTTTATTGAGTGTTGCAAATTAGCAATTAATATGTCAATTCAATTTACTTTAGCTGATATAAAAAAATGTCCAATGCAATGCCTTGACTTTTTGACCAACAGTCCTCAACCAGAATCTACTGATTTCATAAACCCTTTTGCAAGGAGGTCTTTATTTGACAGGCTTTTAACATAGTTTTAATATATCAGGGTACTTCTTTCCGCATTCATTGCCTTTGGCCATGTTTACCTCTCATCTCACACAATGGTCCAACATAATTTTGGCATGGTCTTTTTCAATTTCAAGAAATATGGAATATTAAGTTATTTATTCTTCAGCATGTATTAAAACCACAGAAGAAGAGTTCGGACAAACATCCTCTTCCTGAGCTGCATTTACCAGAACTGCACCTGAAAGCTGGCATGAGGAGCACCAGGTTAAATAAACACAAAACTAGAACCAAAGATATAACGATGACATGTTTACAAAGATGGCCCAACCTAAACACTCTTTACTCGGCTCAGGACCAAGACCAGCCTCTCTTCGATGGGGAAGGCTTCTCTTGTTAGAAGAACAGAAGGAATTTGACTGGAAACTGCTTGTAGAAAAAGAATAAAAAAGGGACAGATTCCCAGAAAGGAGGAAGTGCAAAAGAATGAATCCTGTTAGTTGTCTAGAGGTCAGTGTGCCTCAGTAAGATCCATGAAAACCTCTGTGAAGTCTCAGTGTCACCTGAAGTGATTCTGTCACACGGCAAGAGGGACAAAGCAGTCCTTAAGTGGAGGTTCAATGCCTTGCTCTTGGAGGGAAGGGCCGAACTTGAGACTTTACGTCTCTGCCACATCTCTATTTCTTTAAGTTATGAAAGCAGACAGGAGGCTGTTAAACCTTTAGGTGGAGAGTAAACAAACACTATGACGCTTTAAATTCTACAATGTACTGCGAAGACATCATTGAGTTTCATTAAACCTGCAGACATAACCACAAAGTGTCTGTCTCATCGTGTTGTTTTCAACCATCTGAGGCATCACAAAGGCTTCCGAAAGGTTTTCCAAGAGAAGCTAAGTCAATAACAAACAGGCAACAGACGGGTAAGGGGGAGACAATACCTTCTCCAGCTGGGGTCAGGAGGCGGGGACAAGTAGGCAGAGTTATACGGCGAGTTATCCACCTGAGACGACCACTGGTTAAGGAACAAGAAGACAAATGATGGTAATCTTTCGGATTCTAAATAGAGGTTTAATTGGTTATAAAATAGCTCAAGGTAACTGTTGGAGCCATAATGCCGGTTTTGTTGTTTTCGTTTATCTTGAAGGAAACACCCCCAACCCATCTGAACACAGGGGGGCACATTACTAGTAAAATGCATATAAGTAAGTGCCTGCTAACGAAAACAGGTGTGGATGGGAAGCAGACAGTTGTAGCAGTTTTTGACTGTCGCAGGTGTCAACGAGGTGGCATCTTATGCTGTGTGGTGCCTGTAAATAAAGTATTGCAAGGAAATTGACATCGGTAATTGTATGAGGAGCACGGATTGAAGACACAGCGCACTGGACAGTGGATTTTGCTTATGGCAGAACACACGTCACAACATGTTCCCCCCCTTTTCCCTAGTGGCTGTAACACATAGAACACTCAGTCAGCCTCAATGTTGTTTCTTCATCAACATAGTTTCTTTTGACTCAATCCCACATACGAATATTTACATTAACACTAAATGTGGATTCATCCATCACTGAAAAAAGTCCAAATAAGTTGCTACTTCTTCCATGCACCCGCTGATTGAGGAGATCACTGATGAAACCACATGTGTGTGTCTTCAGTAGGATCCCATGGGCTCAGAGACGAAAGACAAAGGAAGTGAGACTGGTTTGAGAGACGGTTGTAAAAAGAATGTTTGTGATGGACAGTAGACTGAAGGATACTGGTCGGTTGCGGTACGGTCGGGCTGGTGAGACAAACCGGCGGTCCCTCTGGACTCGCTCCACCAGGCCGTGATGTCGAGTAGATCGGTTGGACTCCAGTATGGAGGGGAAGGAGCCCTGAATAGGAAAGGAACAGTGATCCAATCAGGACTTTGTTATGAGAGGTGCATGTATTCAACCGTTCTAATGTCTAAGGAAAAGGAAACAGCCACATAAAGAAATCGAGCCCATCAAATCAGTAAGCGACTAAGCCAGTCGCAATATGCGCTAAAATGACCTATCGTGCACACTCTCTGAAATCCGCTCCGTCTCTCCCTGCAGCCGCGGAGCGCATCGCCCTGATGGCGGTCGAAGCCCCGCGTTAAACCTCCCAGGTTAAACCTTCCCGTGTTAAACCTCCATGGCTGCCGCGGCGCCCGTTTCCACTGGACACATTTTCTCGAACCCGACCGCATCACACCATGCCCGATTGTCGAACTATTCCTAGGTCTTTAAAGTAGCAGACTTTTATTACTATGCTATTATATTGTCATTATGTCATAAGTGGCATAAAATGGTCTGAAAATTGCAATAATATCGCATATCGCAATAAATGTTGGTGCAATAATCGCACAACAAAAATTTGATATCGTGACAGAAGTATTAGAGACTGGTTTTCTGGGCAGACTAAGTTAGCTTGTTTTATATATATATTTATGTATATTAATATATATTTATTCTCGATAAGTCATAACGTAACACTATATAGCCCGGATCAACGAGTCTGCGATCATTATGCATTTATTTATGTTTGAGCGCGACTGTAGTCATATTGCCTGTTGATCTGATACTGTGAGATGTTTTGATGCAAGGAATTTAAAGTGAAAAAATGATTACGCCACAAGAGATTAATGCGGTTCGTTAACATTTTATGATCCGAATAGTTTTGTTATTTTCCATTGTGATGTTAAATTGTTTACTCTGGGTCTCCGCCGTGAGATTGGTGAGTGAGCTAGTCGGTACTCCACTTATTGCCGCTCTCACAACCACCATCGTCCCTTCTCAGTATTTCCCCTCGGTTTCCTCTCACCCCCCTTTTCCCCCCCTTCACATGTGCATGTACACACACACACACACACACACGTGTTTGTTGGTTTACAAACACGTGTGTTTAAGTGTTATAGGGATTGTTGGTTGCAGTTATAGGTGATCTTGGGTCTGTGTTGCTGTGAGTTAATAAACCCAGTTATACTTTAAATAACCATTTTCCTGTGTTTAATTGGGCATTTATTTGGTGGTGACAGTGGACATACATTGTCAGTGCTCAAACTCTCAAGGAGTATCAATATAACTTATGAGTCTTGATTTAAAATATTGGTTGTTAGAAACTGCATCCAATCTCACTTTGGACCAGCAGCCTTGGTTGACCATATTTCTCCTGAAGTGCTACGAGGGCAGTGAAATAAGGTTATATTATATATTATTTATATATTCCATAGGCAGAGGCTATGAACAAATCGCTGACATTGGGAGTTTCAGAATGTGGGTAACAGGTTGTGGCTGCTGGAGTGACACATTTTACATTGGGGTAAACTACCGGTGAAAGTGGGCTGTCCAGGACCAGGCATGGATGATATATAGGTAGGGGCTTGGGCAGTGACTGGCGGTGCAGGTACATGGTGAATAGATAATGGTGCAGCATGAGCAGTAGCTATTGAGGGCAAATAGTTATCCTGGATGGGCCCTACGCCTTGCTGTGTCATCTGAGGCATGGGAAGGCTGGCTGATAGAGGCCATGTTGAGGAAGTTAAAGCCAAATGAGGATGAGAATCAGCATACATCAGGTTTGGGGGGGCAGGAGTGAATATCCTGGAGGGAGGTAGATTATAAAAAGAAGTGGATGCATTTCCATGGTGAGATGGGGGAGTAAGAGCAGACACTCCACCTTGATCTTCAGGGATTGTATCTAATAAACAAGTGGAAACAAGTTGAGCTGATTTTAGCTCTTGTTCTTTAATTCAAAAGCGTTGGTTAATGTCGAGACTGTCAGAGATGGAGAGCCAACCCAGTCGTTCCCAATATGGCAGACGTTCCTCCAGCTCGACTTAGACTGTTTAAGCCCCCCTTCTGGTCCACAGGCATGGACTGTTTTGGGCCCTTCACTGTTAAGGTTGACCGGGGCACAGACAAAAGGTGGGGCCTGCTACTCAAATGCCTAACACCACGCTGCATTTATCTTGAGCTGCTTGATAATATGAATACAGATACATTCCTAATGGCCTTCAGAAGATTTGTGTCACGCAGAGGCAAAACCCTTTGAAGGGAAACCCTTTGAACTACTCTCCGACTGTGGGACTGATTTCAGAGGAGAAACAAAGCTAAAAGGTGCCTTTGAGGCCATGGTACCAGCCTTAAAGAACAATTGGCCCACACACAAGTAAACTTCCAGTTCAATCCTTCATCTGCCCCACATTTTGGTAGAAGCTGGGAACGGGAGATAAAATCAATCAAAATGGCCCTCAAGGTTGCATTAGAAAATCAACCAAAAACAGAAACTGTTTTGTACACAGTCTTGATTGAAGTTGAAGGCATTCTAAATTCAAAACCTCTCGGATATATCTCCTCAGACCTTGCTGATCCGGACCCAGTCACAACAAATATGCTACTGATGGGGCGGCCTGACTCCTCCCTTCCTCAGGCAGTCTACTGTACAAGTGAACTCCTTCAGAAGAAGATGGTGTCACAGTCAGATCCTGGCCGATCGTTTCTGGACAGCCTTCGTTGGTTATTACCTTCTAAACTTAAAAAGAAGGCAAAAGTGGAAAAGTTCTCACTAGGACCAGACAAGTGGATCACATCGCTCCGGTTCACAGGTCTTTACACTGGCTTCCTGTCAAACAAAGAATTGACTTCAAAACCTTGCTGCTAGTTTATAAAGCACTGAATGGTTTAGGGCCAAAGTAGATTTCTGATCTGCTGATACGTTATGAACTGCCACGAACCCTCAGGTTGTCCGGTACTGGTCTATCTGTTCCCAGAGTCAGAAAGAAGGCATAGAGAAGCAGCGTTCAGTTTCTCTGCTCCACATATCTGGAACAAAGTTCCAGATACAGAGCTGCAGGTCTGCTGAGTACCTCAGGTCCTTTAAATCCAGATTAAAGACTTTTCTGTTTGCTGGTGCCTTTAATTGACTGTTTCTGCGAGTCGGAATCCTTAAAGACATTCTTAAATTACATTACATACAATTTTATCCTATTTCAAATTTTTTAACGTCTTTTTTTATCCTTTTAATGACTATTTCCTTCATGTTTCAATGTATCAATGTCTTAACTGTTTATAAATCTCCTTGCTTTATGTTTTTAATGGTTTTATGTGAAGCACTTTGAATTGCCTTGTTGTTGAAATGTGCTATACAAATAAAATTGCCTTGCCTTGCTTCCAGATTAATACCACTACCTGCAATAACCGACAAAGAGGCCAAATAAAACACATTTGCTGCACAAATTGGGGGCAGCTGCATGCAATTTGCCCTCCTTCCCACAGGAGGCACCAAGTGGTGAGCCACCTCCAACACCATAAATAGAGGCCTAGTTGAGGCCAACTTCCTGTTGTGTATCCTGACACGAGTGTTTGGTCAGTTTCCATGTGTCTGTTTGACTGATTCTAATGTAAGTAGAGCTTTATTTTGTTTATCCATAAAATGATGTAGTTTAGTTTGTATATGATTGTATTTGGTTGTTAGGACCTAGAGACTGACTACCCTATTATGACATATCAAATGTTACAATCTCCTTTCTCTTCTTTTTATATAGGCCGCTGAAATATGATGCAAGCAACCGAATAAAATGCCATGTCTGAATAAACCAGAAAGGTTGATTAAACCTTGTTTCTTGTTGGTTTGTGGCTCCAGTATTTGTAAATCCAGAATATTGGTTATTCGTCCCTGTTAGCTCAGGGTGGTGCCCAATTATTTATTTTGAGAACTACCTTGGTGATGATTAATAATTCTATTGATGTCAATAATTTAATTGCACACTTGCTATTAACCAATACAACCCCCATATATATATATATATATATAATCCTATATAAACTGAAGGTGCTTTTACTTATAAAAAATAAAAAGCACCTTCAGTTCAAATTAATAGTTTGTAAATGTTATGCAATATCGCAATGCAAAGTAGGTAGGAAGGTATCCGCTTATGAATCAGATTGAAACTTAATGTGTTCTTTTCTAGTAGTGACAGAAACTGCCCCCCCCCACCCTCATACTGCCCCTTCTTAAAAAGTCTGGAATTGTAGAAGAAACTTATGTTTCTTTTTTTCTTTGTGCACGCAGTTCCGGCTTTACACACGCACACAAATGTCTATGTGCCCCTGTGATGCTACCCCTCGTCACCTGAACTGTTCGCCCGACTGCTTCCCTGAACACCCCTCTGTAAAGTTGTAAACCTTGGAGTAACACTGATTCAGATCCCAATAGGTACTTTTTCAATAGGCGAACTAGAGTTGGAGTCACCTGGAAGTCTGGAGGGCTCCTGCCGATCTGGTTCACATTGGGTAGCGAGCCGCCGTAGTAGACTCCTTGATTCCTTGACAGGCGGATCTTCTGGGCCTGAAGCTGATCGGACAACATGGCACAAAACAAGTAAACATCACCAAATCATGAGCCATGACTCTAGAAATATACTACACCCCGAAAGCACCACATCATGAGCCTTCGGCTGTCACGACAACTACTTTTTGTTGTGCGATATATTGCGATGAATAATTAATTCTAATTTACAGACCATTTCATGCCACTGATGACATAATATAATCGCACAATAATGCAAGTACGCCCTTTTAAAGAACAAATAACATTTTAATCTTCAGAATATTTAGACATTAGAATCAATAGATAAATAAAAAAAAACATAATAAATACACCTTTGCTAACAAAAAAGTGCAAAGGGTTCGGAGCGGGGCGAAGAATCGGGCCTTGCGTTCAAAAAAAATGTGTTCACCGGAAAGACTCGCTGCTCCAGCAGAGAGGTTGGCCGGGGAGCTACAACCGCCAGCAGGGCGCCGCGCTCCGTGGCTGCTGAGAGGGAGGGGCGTTTCGGCCGTGTTACCAACCGGCCGGCGGTCCGGCAAACTTGCCCTGAGCATGGCCCTCCCGGCAATAGATGTGAACCAACAGTAGTTCAGGTACACTGTAAAAACGAATTTGAGGGTAGTAATTATAACCCATGCAAATTGTTTAAATTTTACTGAAAGTGCATTAGTCAGCAAAACAACATACACTACCTATTTTTCAACAGTAACAACTACAGTATAATAAAATCTACCCAAAGATGATCAGTCTGTAGTACACTGTGCGCATGCGTCTACGCTGGTTCTGGGCGTTGGGATCTATCCTATCACTGCCGGGATAGTGTCAAGCTGTTGGGTTTAAGGTAAGATTCCTTCTTACCAGGTTGCTGTGTATCCTGAAGGTATTTAATTGTAAATCGATATGTCACCTTGCTTCTGTGTAAGACAAATTGTTACCTCACATTTATTGAGTAGATTCTATATGTTGTTTTTTATAGAAAGACTGGGTGGGATGGTTGTGTTTAAGGTGAGATTTTAGGTTAGTTGTGTTGTCTCTTTACGTTAATGTGTGTGGAGGCGCTGCCCAAGCCCCGCCTCTGCTTTTGACAAAGCAGAAAAGAGGACAGAGACTCTGCGATCGACTAAAATGATGGTGACATTCATTTATATGTAAAAATGAATAATATATCGCAGCACCAAAAATAATCACGCTCATTTTTCATATATTGGGCAATATTATGATCCATAACTCGAAATATACTACACCTAAAGCACCACATCATGAGCCATAACTAGAAAAAAGATACACCCGAAGCATCACATTATGAGCCATAACTCTAAATGGAGAATAGTGAAAAATAGCAAAAACACATGGACACACAGAAAAACACAAGTCACAAAAGACACACACACTCACCCACACATGGATACGCATGCACACACTCGCTTAGCTGATTGGACCAGTGTGTGTGTGTTCATTGAGGACTTGTAAAAGAAATTCCCAGAAGAGACAAAACCCAAAAGTTGTCAATAAGTGACTGAGGGGGAGGAGGAGGGAGGCGGAAGAGGATAAGAGAGAGAAAGTAGAGGGGGAAGAGTGGAGAGGGAGAGGAAGAGGAGGTGTGTTTGTAAGAAGTCCTTCACGTCTGTGACTATCGATCATTCTGGTTTGAAGTGATTCATTAATCCTCAATAGTTTGGTGTGTTTAAGTAGAGTAATGTATCTTCATCATCATCATCACATGTATATTTATCATGAGAGAAGATGTGTCTCAATTGGACGAACACAGCTCAGCAGGGACAGTGGGGGATTTGGTCCCCTTACAGTAAAGAAACATTTTAAAAGGAGTGGTAATTTCACAACATAATATCTTATAAATTAGCCTAATAATTAGGTATAACTATATTAATTATGTTTGCAGCGTCACAAGTTACCAAATCCTTAAATAGAATCGCAGCTAAACAATTAGCATTCATTGATGATGCTCTTATATCGAAGGGCGACTGTGGGTGAGTGGGGAGCACGGTCGTCCTCCAATCAGAGGGTTGTCGGTTCGATCCCAGGCTCTGCTAACCCGCATGTCGATGTGTCCTTGAGCAAGACACTTAACCCAACATTGCTCCTGTAGCTGCGACTACAGTGTGTGGATGTTAGTGACTGATGGCAGGTGTCACTGTGTGCGGTTCTCCTGTCATCAGTGTATGAATGGGTGTGAATGGGTGAATGATGTCATGTAGTGTTAAAGCGCTTTGAGTGGTCGGAAGACTAGAAAAGCGCAATGCAAGTACAGTCCATTTACCATACTAAACATTATAATAATTACTAGGATTATTAATAATCCACCTGTCTACCTATAGCAGCTTGATTTGATGCACCAAAGCAAATCATAATAAAGAAAAAACTATCACACATGCTAGTTTGGGTTCATTTATGATTATTGTTTTAAGACTAAACCCCCTAATATTATAATAATGGTATAGGCGAAGGGGAGACTCTGTATATTAATACGTGTATCTCTCATATTATATATACATATACACGTTTACAATTCAGTCCTTTCTGCGACCGTGGTTCCGCCCCGTATATAGAAATATAACGTTAGATATACACATACATAAATGCATGTAGCTCAGCGGGACGGATTAGGGTTACAATGACACAATGTTGCGTTCACGGTAAATCCATGAACGCAACATTGTAATTTATCAGAGTGACAGCGACGCAACATTGTAAACAAGCTAGCTACGTTGTGCTAACTTCATGCTAACTAATGATCAGAAATAGACGACGACATGTTGGGATCATTGTGCCACTTTGTCGCTGAGTCGTGTTACGTTATTGTTCACTAATAAGGAGTTAGTGCGGAGCAGAGCTCCATGAAGAGCACTAGAGTCTCTAACCCACAAGGCCTCTCTTCCTCCGGGGAGCTCGGCTCCTCCTCTCCCTCTCACACACTCACCCTGGTGGAGGTGATGTCCATCATAACCTCCTGGAAGGCGGCTGTCTCCTCGGCTTGTCGCTGCGTATGAAGCGCGATCTTCTCACTAAACTTTCGTGGGTTGGAAGCCCCGGCCCCGGTACCCGAGGTGGGTCCTGGTCCACAGCCGACTGAACCCGTCGCAGACATTTTCACCGAGCGAACGACTTGACGTAGTGGAATGATTTTTACCAAAGACAAAGGGGAAAGAGAAAAGCTCTCACTCTGCCGCTGCTTCTGCGAACAGAAAACCTCAGCCAGTTTTAAACAGATTAACAACAAAAAGGAGAAATCCTCCTTTGGTGTATTCATTTGAGAAAGTTTTAAAAGAGCCTGAATCCCGTAATAAAAGAATACACTCTTTAGATTGTGTACAACTTGTCTGTGTGTGGTCATCGGAGGGCGAGGTGAACGCCCACTTTCTCTGACAGACTGTTCACTATTTAAACTCACCATGTGGCTCATCTTATCATACACACACGAGCTTTGATGTCTGATGAGAAAGTGGCAGCGCGCCCCCTACTGGCGGCTCTTAGCTTCTGTATATGAAACCAAGCGAGTCAATACCCTGGGTTTATTCTATTGTTTTCCTTATTAGGCATAGAAGCATGGATCCAATGACGAATTCATTGGAGTAGTAGTTTATTATGTATATACATTTTTTTATTTTGAATGAAAATGGAAAGAAAGACCAGCTGATGTGGTGACGTCATCAAGTCAGCTGCTGTTCTGGCTGCAGAACGATCGTCCTACGTCCTAATGTCTCCGTGAGATTGGACTCCAAAGTCCGTTCTTAGCGTTCTATGTCTCGAGAAACGGCAGAAGAGAAGAAGAAAGAGGGAGAAGAAGCTAGTCGAACAGGCTGGATTTCATAAAAGTTTTTCATTTTTGAGAACCAGTGGAAACCGGAAGCGGGTTGCTGTCGTTCTCCTGTTGAAGAGGACCCGAAGAGGCTGATGAAGATCCGGAGAGGAGCCGGAGATGAACCGGATAAGAGTCTGAAGAGGAGCCGGACAGGAGTCTGAAGAGGAGCAGAGAGGAACCGCAGAGGAACCGGAGAAGAGTCTGAGGAGGAGGAGTCTGAAGAGGAGACGGAGAAGAGTCTGAAGGTCTGAAGAAAAGGAGTCTGAAGAGGAGCCGGAGAGAAACCGGAGAAGAGTCTGAACAGGAGCGGGAGCGTGTCAGCACAGTGAGTGTCCGGTCTTGGAGATCAGACATTAAATTCCACTGCAGTCAAATTGGTACTACAGTAAAAGTAGTTAACTATACTTTAAGTATTCCTGCTGCAGAATGTTAATTTATTAATATATATTGGAGCTGCAAAATGACCTAAGCTGTCAAATCAATGTAGTGCAGTAAAAAGTACAATATTTAAGTATCAGAAAAGAGTAATAAAGAAGCATAAAAATAATAAAATATCAAATGCAGATAAGCTCACTGCATCGTACATGTTAATGCACCAATAATTACCTTTTGAATGATGAAATACATTTAGGCTGTGATGAGTACTTTACTTTAAGTTCTTGGTAATACGTCAGTCTTTCAGTTCAATGCTGATTGTCTGATCAGAAGATGACCCACAGCCGCATAAAGTTTTCATAACTTCATAGACCAAATATTCATATAGCTGCAACTCTCAATTTTTAATTGTAAATGTATTTGTATTAGGTTGCAACTTTAAAAAGTCATTATTGTGCGGGAAAATCCATGTGCCTGTATGGATTTCCTGAAGTTAGAAATAGAAAGAACAGTGAGACCAATCCTGATATTATTGTGTGGTATCTATAAATATATATGTCTATATATATCAATGTCCATTTGAAACTGTAAATAGACAGAGAAACAAACTTTTACTGATCACATGTCAAAACTTTTTTCAATAAAAGACAAGAAATTACATGGAATGAATTTCATACAATACAAAATGTACTGTAAATAAACTAAAACTAAACTAGAGCTTTTCAGATTCTCTCTAAAGTGAATATCAAAAGAAAGTAGGTTGAAGTTAACAAAGTGGAACCTGTTGAACAGCTTATCAGCTTTCTATCAGTCAGACCGGTACTACCAGAGAGTGTGTGTGTGCACATGGTTGAGGGTGTGTACCTACCAGGATATCCTCCTCCTGTACTCATCTACAGTTTAGTTTTCTTGTGTTGCTGCACATTTCTGTGTGTGTCTGGATGACTGTAAGACTGATACTTTTCTGATTTCATTGTTATTAGATTCCTCCTCTCGTGATCTTGAGGCGACCAGAAAACCTCCCACTGGTATACTTGGTCTGTATGCATTAAGCGTGGTAGAATAGTTTCCAACCTCATAGCCAAGATCATTGTTAGGATTTTACAGTCCACATTAATCAAACTCACTGGCCTATAATTTCTAGGATCAGTTGGGTCCTTTTTAAAAATCAGGATATCTTTGCTTTGCTGAATCTATTTGGCAGCTCTCCCAATGAAACTGTCAGGATGGGAAGCCAGTTTATCTACAAAGATCTTATAATATTCCCAGGTGATTTTCCAGGCTTCATTAAACAAATGGCTCTATTGACCTCCTCCAATGTTATCAGGCTGTTCATATCATTCTTTTGATACACTGGAGTTTCTGGTAATTTTTGAAAGCATTGTCAAGTAGGTTCCCATTTCTGGATCAGACTCTGATTCATCCACCTCTGTATAAAATCTAGCAAAAGACTGATTTTCTTTGTATTCGTCACCAGTTTCCCATTTTCATTTTTGACAGCTGGTATAGCAAAGCACTCTCATAAAACGTACATTTCATCTGAATAGGGCACACTTTTCTTGTATTGTGTATATTTAATTTATTTTAAAGTTCAGGTTAATTTAGGTTGCACCATTTTTTAAGCATCAAGCCTGTTTCTTAGACGGTGTTTTTTCTTATTCTAATTAAGATGACACTCCATATCCCTGACTATTTTATTTTGCTTGTGTTTTCCTACTGGCATAAGCTATGATTTTGCCCCTTGCTAAAGCCTTGGCGGCCTCGCACACTGTACCAACTGTACCTCTATCCGTTGAACCATTGTTCTATAGGAGGAAAATGGCGAGTTCATCTGCCATTAATTTGCTGTATCCTGGGTCCTGGAAAATAGGTACACTATAACAAATGTCCCTGTTAATTTACAGTAATCTACTGGCAGCCACATTTCCTGTATTCTACTGTAATTGTACAGCATACCTACTGTGTATTTCAACAACAGCATAATACTGTAAAAAAAACACAGTACAGTATAGTATAGATTATTTTACTGTTCCTACCGTGATGCCCATGGACAGTTAATTACTGTAAAATGTTTTACAGTACTGTAGAATGTATATTTACAGTATGTTATAATTTAATTATAACATTACATTACATGACATGACATTACATATCATTTAGCTGACGCTTTTATCCAAAGCGACTTACAAAAATTGCATTCAACCATAGGGATACAAACTAGCAAGAAACAAGGAAGTGCAATTTCATCAAATAAGCCAATTTACAATTTGCGATGGATAAGTGGCATTATAAGTACAATTTAAGTGATAGAATTTGTTGGTCAAGGTAGAGTCTGAAGAGGTGTGTCTTTAGTCTGAAGGTGTGAAGGCTCTCTGTGGTCCTGATGTCTTCAGAGACCTCCTTCCACCATTTAGGAGCAGGACAGCAAAGAGTGGAGATCTAGTCGAGTGTTTTGCTCTCAGTGAGGAGGAACAAGCAGTTTATCACATGCAGAGCGGAGAGTGCGGGTCGGGATGTCGGGTTGGACCAGGTCCTGGATGTAAGCTGGACCCCATCCATTCACAGCATGGTACGTGAGCACCAGTTTTTAGAACTGGATGCGGGCAGCCAGCGGTAGCCAGTGAAGTGAGTGTCCGATGGAGGGAAGGAGAGAATTAGTTGGGGGTCATCGGCATCTGTGGTAGGAAAAGCCATGCAAGTGAATGACAGCGCCGAGAGAGTTGGTGTAGAGCGAGAAGAGAAGGGGACCCAGGACGGATTTAAAAGTCGTACATTTCAAAAGAACACCCCTTAGAATTGCCAACATAAAAAGGACTCAAACAAGCGATAGCCTTTCATTAATATACTTTTATCTTATTACTTTACTTTTAACATAAAACATTGAATGTATTACAACAAATGCAAACATATTCAACAACAAAAACATTCAAAATACTTAAATGACTCTCACCATGTGGTTCATCTTATCATACATACGCAAGCTTTGATGTTAACTTGACTTAAATAACTCTTCCATACAATCGTAGCACTGAACACATTCTCAACAATCTACAACCAAGACAAAGTCTGGAACTATATTTTTAGTGAGTGAGGGAGTGAGTGTGGGGGTGAGTGAGGGGACGGGTGAGGCCCAGCCAGTCGGTGAGGGGTGAGTGAGGGAGTGAGTGTGGGGGTGAGTGAGGGGACGGTTGAGGCCCAGCCAGTCGGTGAGGGGGGTGAGGGAATGAATGTCGGAGTGGATGGGGGGTTGACTGTAGCCCAGCGGGCAGGTGTGTGTGACAGAGTGAAAGAGGGGATGGGGGTCCAATGGGAAGGTGAAGGAGCTCGGGGGGCGCTCGTTGGTGGGGTTCCTGCCCGAGGTGGAAGCTCGGACAGCGAGGAGGATATGGAGGAGGGGGGGGTCTTTAAGGTCCCCCACCTGAAGAGGAAGACGAGGGCCAGCAGGGGAGGCTCTCAGGCAAAGAGGGGGGGCGGCGAGCGGAGGGGAGGTGGGAAGTTGGGAGTCAGTCCTCTTCGGGATGGGGCTCTACCGTCTGCATCTCCTCGGGTGGGACGGTCACCAGCAGGTACGGGGTGGGGCAGGTGAAGGAGTTCCTGCAGGCCACCAAGAACGAGAGAGGAGTGAAGCTGGAGGAATACTTCTCCGATATGGAAATGTTCGCTCGCTCTGCTCGGCATGGCAGCACCAAAAAGGGAGCTGGAAGTTTCACCCAGCAGGAGGTCTTCCGACTGAGGAAGCTCCTCCTAAAGATCACCAAGGAAGGAGGGAGTACTACTGGGACCGAGTGAGGCGTCCGTCCAGAGGAGGATCCTGAGCGGGGGGGCGGCCTACTGACAAAGAAGGAGATGCTGGAGGAGAGCGGCGGAGTCCAGATCAACTTTGATTATATTGTGCTATGTATATTCTATATTACATACCTGCTATATTGTGTTGTTGTTTTATATAAAATAAAGGTTTTCAAAAAATTTAAAAAATCTCTCTCTCTCTCTCTCTCTCTCTCTCTCTCTCTCTCTCTCTCTCTCTCTCTCTCTATGTATACATTAATGATCAATACATATATGTATCTATTTGGGGTCTCAGATCATGGATGCAGAGAGGGCAGAGCAGTTTCTCCATGGTGACGGTGTTGAGGCTCTAGATGGGTGGCAGCTCAACGTTCCTTTCTCCTGCTTCCAGAATACACTGCAGAACTGGGTCGTGGACCCAAACTGTGTGAGTCTGCTCGCCAGCAACAGTTGCATCATGGGTAACACAGGTTAAATATGACGACCCTCTCAATTCTGTCTCAAAAGCTGAATGACAGTGAGTCGGAGGACGTCCTTTCCGCCGTCGATCCAAACGAGGTGTTACCCAGAAAGCCGCTGGCTTCCCTCAGCTGTCAGCTGATCTATGACATCAGCAGCCTGGGCGCCGTGATGACTGAAACAGGACAAGAGGACGTCATCTCCATAGAGCTTGGTGAGTTTGGTTTAATTAATCTCAAAACACTTGGTCCAGTTACTCAGTCCAACATTAACCATACGGAGATTCTTCAAATGTCACAAGATGTAATACCGGTGTAATTCATGGCAGCCGAGTCAATTGATCAATGCAAACAATAATGTACCATATAATTTTACATTATGTTATACCGGCCTGCTCTACACTGTCACACCACTACCAATTTATCTTATTCATATTTTCCTCTTGTTTGAGTTAGTATAGTTATTAATATTGATTTTGGTTACTTTTCATACATGTCTATATTTATTTGTCTTTGTGCTGCTGCAACAATCCAATTAAATTTTAATTTGTCTTGTTTAAGTTCCAAACAGGGATATCTTGGTGGTAACTTTTGTTTGGCAGTAACAGAGATGTCACATCCTGTCCTGCACAGATGAGTGGCGCTCTCAGGTGTTGTTTTCTGACAACTGCGTTCTGAATCAGCTGCCCGTGATTTCTGCAGCTCCCCCAGAAGACCCTTCCAGTTCAGGCGGTGATCTGGTGAGACTTTGATTTGAATACTCTATGTACCTGTTGATGGTTGGGTGGAGGTTTGACCCGGGGGACTAACTCTTCTTTTATAGATCCAGCATTTTCAGTAGTTGGCCTTAATTAGTCTGCAAAACAAAATGATCATCTTCTCCCTCCAGTGTTCCCCTCAGATTCCATCTAACTACTCTGTTTTAATTATCATCGTGAAGACATAGCTAGTGTTTATTTTGTAGTTTGTGCAATACATTTAGATTATATATCCTGTGCTTTATTCATTTACTTATGTTATATTCCTTTTGTCTGTGTTTTGCAGTCCATGCTCTTTATATTAACTTAACTGCTATTGCAGCTGACACCAGATCTGCAGCTGACTGAGGAAGAACAGCAGGTACTGATACAAGAAGGAGTTTCTCTGCCCAACAACCTTCCTCTTACCAAGGTCAGACCTTTAGTTATCTCACTTAGCTTTTACACCCTAACCCTAACCCACGGTTACTGCATCATAATGAGAGACACGACAGAATCCATTAATCTTAACTATCTTAACTAGCCAAACTTCATCTACACATGGCATAAAACCATTGGTGACTGTAGAACTAATTAGGTTTACAAAGAAACCTGGATAATTGATTAAAAAATGTTTATTGATCAACACAATAATTCAATTATGATCCAAATAAACCATACAAAGACAATACAGAATAAATAAATCTAAGTTGCACAAACATAAGAAAGTATCCACATCCTATATTGCAGTTAAAGTACTAATCACTAATACTACAAGTAGTGGCCCTGCATTGAAAAATGTATCGAAAGTTATAAACAAAATGCAATTAAACTAGTAAAATGAATGGTAGAGTTTTATTTGATGTTTGTGGATAAATATTACATGTGACATCAGTCAGTCATTTTCTATACTGCATACCCTTTCACTGTCGTGGAGAGCCGGGGTTGATCCGATCCATGTTGCATTGTCAGATCATCATATGTTTGCTCATTCTACTAAAAAAAACACTTTGACCGAGTTACGCTCATAGGGTACCATAGCTTAAAGAGCTGCTGCTTTCATGTTGAATTCAGTTTATGGAGCTGCTTCTTACAGTTCAAATTCAGTTGATAGAGCTGCTTCTTACAGCTTAAATCAATTTCATAAAGCTGATCCTTACTGCTTAGAATCAGATTATAAAGCTGCTTCATTGCTGGTTGCAGTTGTTTTTTGGCTGTAGTTTTATTTTTCTGAACTTGCCGTACCCTGACCCTAACCCCTATACCATTTTTGTATTATTCTTTCCCAATCACCATGATAATTGTGAATTGTATGTACTTATTGTTATTGTTGAAATGATTGATGTTGACTTTTTATTTTTATTTGCAGGCTGAGGAGAGAATCCTGAAGAGAGTTCGTAGAAAAATCCGCAACAAGCAGTCCGCTCAGGACAGTCGGAGGAGGAGAAAGGAGTACATTGACGGGCTGGAAAGCCGGTAGCGGTGGTGAAATCTTACATTATACGATTAATCAGTTAGAAAATCAATACAAAACTAATTTGATAATCAATTCTAATAATGTCATTGTTGTGGAGGTTGTGTCGCTTGTTACAGCTGTATCACACGGATTTACACTACACAAGTCACAGATCTGTCCATCTTGGCACATCTCTTGTCGTCTTCTCTTTCCGTTGGTTGTAACACAGTTCATGTCACATCGGTTCCGCTTCATTTCTTCTTTAAAAAATTGCATTTGTTAGGTGCAAACATATGATATCAATTCAATCAATCAACTTTACAACTTGTTTGCAATTGTGTGTGTGTGTGTGTACAGGGCAGTTGCTTACTCATCTCAGAACAAGGAGCTGCAGAGGACAGTGGAGAAGCTGGAAAAACGCAATATGTACGAACACCTTTTTAGGGTTATAGTTAGGAGGTTATGATCATTCCATCTGGGAGAATCTGAGTCTGAAGATTTGGGCTATTTATTTGTTTTAGTTAAGTTTAATGGATTTGATACTATTATACTATTGTTTAGGTCAGATTACTAAGGTTATGATATAATTAATATATTTGTTACAAGAGACAAGATAACTAAACTATCAGGTGTTCTTTCTGTCCAGGTCTCTGTTGGCTCAGCTGGGACGGCTTCGGTCTCTGATCCAACAGACAGTCAGCAGAGGAGCTCAAACCAGCACCACCTTACTGGTAGGAAACTCATTGGGGGCGTGGGTACTGTATACAAAAGTCAGTTTGCATTTACAGCTTGTTTCTATTGTTTTGTGTGTTTCTGACCATCAAGCTTTTCTATTCCTAATAAACGCTTGAATGTAACGTTTAGGTGTTTTTTATAAAAGGATAAAACCAGGAAAAACCAAACTGACTCTCACATCCCTTAAAATTTCTTTTTGATTTTGTGGCTAACAAAGGATAGATCAATAATTGATTATTTCTTATACATTTTGAGCCAGATCCAACTGGAAACAGACGGTTTACACGCATGAAGAGCACAAGTATGAAGAGCACAATATTTCATGTCCATTATTGAAAGAGACACATAGTGTATTTGGATTTGTGTCCTCAGTTCATCCTGGTCTCTCTGGGTCTGATCATCATGCCAAGCCTCAGTCCGTTCAGCCGCAACTCGTCTCCAGATGACGACTACAGACCCAGAGGAGGTCAGTCCTTTTCCGCATCACTTCCTGTTTTACGTCGTTTAAGGGGTAACAGAGGGTTAATCGGACTAGCCTTTGACCTTGGGTTAGGACAAGTCTAATTTAGAGAATGTCTTAAATAATAAAATTAATTTGTCTCTTTATTAGCACTTACCATGGCACTTTGTAGTTTGGCTTTGTTGAAGAAATGTACTTTCTTAAAGGGGACATATTATGAAAATTCCACTTTTTTACTGGTGTTTCTAATTAATTTGGGTATCTGTGTTGTCTACCGACCCCAAAACCTGCGATTTGTTATGATTCTTGTACGTCAGAAACGTCATGCTTGAGGGACTGAGAATGAACTTCCTTATCATTCTATCGTCACTATGAAACGGGAGTCCCTACATGGCCTTGGCCCCGCCCTCCGATCTCATAACAACACGGAGGTGAAAGGACGTACGGGCAGGAATCATTTTATTCTTGTTCAGGAACATAGTGCGAAGACCCTCCCTCGCTATCTCTATAAGCTGTAACGTTACTCTGGTATTAACCAGAACTCTTCTACCTAACTTGACTAACCCACAACAAGGGAACACCCGCCTCCCCTGATCTCCCCCAATCCCTGACTGCCCCATGCCTAGCATGTACAGTGACACCCCACGATTGGCTGGAATTGAGGGGGATGTGACAAACAGCAGACTCCTGAACAGGATTGCTACAATATGATATTTGCCAAAGCACTTCACTTGTTTTTGCAAACCTCCGATACACTTGGAATAGCTAGCCAGCAGCATGAAGCAAATGAAGCTGTGGTCGGCTGCACAGAGTGGAGAGGGGGGAGGGGAGTGCTGGCTCATTACCATTTAAAGGAACAGGCACTCAAAACGGGTCACTCTGTGGAGGGCTGTTTTAGACAGGGTAAAAGGGTGCTGTTTTAAATGTCCCTGTGGTATTTTGACCAAAGTATGTTACAGAAATTTCATTAAGACCCCAAGGAACCATATCAACTAGTGGTCAAATATGCATACGATGGGTACTTTAATCCATGTTATTCTTGGTGTCTTCCCTCGCTTGAATGCACTTATGTCGCTTTAGATGAAAACGTCAGCTACATATAAAATGTAAATGTAAACAGGTCAAACTTTTTTTATTGTGAAGAGTTAAGAGCTTTGATAAAGGTAATTTTAGGCGTATTTTATCTTTCAAAAGGAACCTGTTTTTGTTTAAATCAAGCACTCAGTTTGTTTGACCAATGACTGCTGATTTGTTAATCAGCTGTTGCTCAGAGCATATTTGTTTATTGAATGACCTTCTACGCGGAGCCATCATCACACCCCTGTCAGACATGTGACATGTGGACACACCATGCAATCATACTATTCGAGGGTCCGCTCCGTGTCGGGCCTAACAACGCCCCCGAACTAATGCATTATTGGACGATAAAGTACAGCCTCTCGTACCTTATTGCTTTTATGATACGGTTACCAGTGAAAGCATAATTAGTAAGTAAATAGCTGCCTTTCAGCACAAAATAGTATTAGCCACCAAACGTTGTGTATTGCATTTCAGTAGTTTAGAGATATAATAGTCTCCCTACGTACACAGCATTGTGTCTCGCACCATCTCATTCATTCACATCGCTCATGACGTCCAACTTAATTGTCCCGTTGCAAAAGCTTGCATTGCCCGAAACCGATCATTTGTGGGATTTCTGAGTTTTTTGCGGCGATCGCCACCGAGCTAAAACCTATAATGTCAACTAATGGGCGTGCAAAAGCTAACCTGCTACTTTGAGTGCGCAGGCATACAGAACACTCGGGTCCATGTGAACAGCAACTGTACATTATCGTTCAATAATGTACCCCTTGTGACTCACTCTCAACCAACCAGAACGCCGGATTTCTATTTACCCGTATTATAATAAGTAATAATAATATAGTTTTCCATCTTTGTAGTTATTTCCAGAAACATCCTGACAAATCCTTCCATCTCCCAGCCGACAGCAGAAGATTCACATGTTCCAACTGTGCAGTCCGACTCCTTGTCACCGCCCATTGAAGTCGGCCAATGGGGACTTCTGGAGGGCACCGCCATTCTCCAAGAACCAATAGAAACCCCTGAGGATACAGGCTTTGATGGGACAACTCCTGAGGAAAGCCTATCGGTAAACCGCTCGGATCCCGTTTCCGGGCCACCTGAGCCGTTGGTTCTTGGTCTAACGTCGTCGGCAGGGAAAGTAGACGGGGATCCCCCCAAACCCTCCCACACCGACGAGATGTAGGTCAATGTGTCCAGCCACAATAAAAAGATTTAAAAAAAAATATGTACGTGGGTACATTCGTCTGGATTGTATGAACCTAAACCTTCAAAGTCTATAATGAAATTTTTTTCCAGCCTGGCTAATACTGTCATTGTAACTTTCAATTTACTCTTCCATCATAGAGAATTTGAAAACATGGTGATGGAAATGGGTTGTTTGTCAAAAACTTTTCAAATAAATGGCTTACAGAATTGATATCTGAAGCTTGTCTCATAATGTAGATGAAAGCCCACAGATTTAGCTATAGTAGGAAAAGGATCTACTGATATGTATATGTATGAGCAGAACGTGTGTGACTCAAAGACTGCATTATAAGGTGAGGCAGGGGGGCCCAATAGGTTGATTGCGATTGACCGGTCGATTGCCAAGACAGGGCCAGTAGATCGCCTGCCATTGATTAAAAACAATGTCATGCATGCACGGTCGACTGCGCAAGCTAACGGACACATTTAATTTCATTCAAAAGCAACCCTGGTTGACGCCAATCGGTGCAGTGAAAAGTAGCTCGGTAGGCAGAAAAGTGTGGGCACCCAAGGGGTAAGGGTTTTTCCATAGAATGTCCCCCCAAAAATGCTTATAACGGCAAAAGTCAGTCACCACAGCGGCGCTGTGGGACACCCGTTGAATGTTGGCTTGTCAGCTTAATATCAGGTGGTCAGACGGAAAGCCTGTGTACGGTGGATGTCAGCGTTTAGCCCTGTGTGGCGGCCCTAGGATTCAATCAAATTCAATGCATTTCATTTTGTATAGCCCCAAATCGCAAATTTGCCTCAGAGGGCTTTGCAGTCTGTACACATGTGACATCCTCTATCCCAAAATCCACACACTGGCACAGAAAAAACTCCCCCAAAAAATGAAAAACTCTTCGATGGGGGAAAAAGGAAAGAAACCTCAGTGAGAATGGCAGAGGAGAGATCCCTCTTCCGAGATGGACAGACTAAAGTGGATATCATGTGTACAGAATGATCAACGAAAAAGATGTACGATTCAATCAATTCCAATGCCAGAAATGATTCAAATATTGCCAGTAGTAAGGCAGGTGTACGCCAGGACCACCGCAGGGACAACCACCATCCACAGAAACCTGTGGTGAGGGAAAGCACAAAGACTTCAGGAAAAAAGCAAAGTGGGTAATGTTGTTTTATGACGACAGTAATAGTAATGTGATTAATATTCATAGGAATAATTCTAATGGCAGCAGCAGTTATCAGCAGGGCTACGGCAGGAGGCAGGGTCCAAATAGAACCATGATCCATGTTATGGATCCATGTGCTACAAAACAGACATAATAATAATACAGGAGTCCTGCAATGAATCATACTTGAAGGTTTAATAATGAAGGTCCACCCGACCCCAACGACTACTAACCCTCCTGTTAGTTCGACGTGTTTATTATCTGCCGGACCTTCTTGACTATATATTTATAGACTATATAGACTATAATATTGTCTGACATGAAAACGGCCCGTGAGGCAAAAAAGGTTGTGGACCACTGATCTAAACAACTGCAAACATAATGTTATCTGAATCATCAACATACTTCCTCATCAGTGGACAGTTGATGAAGACTGATCTGGGATCTTGATGTCAAGTAATGAATATCTTCTGCTGTCAACTATTGTGAGAGATTACAGGTTTTATTTCAGTTTCCTCACATAGTTAAAGGATTTTACAGAGCTAGGTCAATCATCCAACCATTAGCAAACCGCTTATCCTGCACACAGGGTCGCGGGCGGGCTGGAGTCCATCCCAGTCAACTTTGGGCGATAGACAGGGAACACCCTGGATGGGTCGCCAGCCAATCGCAGGGCTAGGTCAACGTGTTATCAATTATTATTGAAGATGTATTTTTTTATTGTTATAATTGTTTGTATCATCATTATATGACGTATCTAGGCCTCCTGTGTGAAATGTGACATAAATACAGTTGAATAAATAATATCATCACCAATGTGAGACAATTTCCTTTTCTTCTATCGATACAGGGCATGATTTGGACATCAATTGGCCTGCGGAGGTTGCACCATCTCGTGGTTGGTGTACCTATGTGCAGAGCAGTGGTGCGGTTCGAATGAGACCGGACCTGAGCTTATTGGACCGTGGGAAGCGTGCTCTGGTCCATTTAGGACACTTGTGTATTTTCCCATCAATAAAATGTGTGAAACTTTAATAACTCTTTGTGGGACCTGGACCGCCGTAATCCAACGCTCAAAAATCTGAGCTACTGGGACCCTCTACAGGCGTACTTCGGGCCCACGTTGTACACCTGTGCATTTCTCCTGTCAATAAATCACTTTGCCCAAAGAACAGTCAACAAAGCCTATCCACGTTCAACTGCAATACTTGTGGTCCAACTGTCCACTGAAAGGGAGTATTTCCAACACACCCTTCACAATTAAAAAAAAGAATAGATAATAAGATAACATGTGTGTTCCTAATTTAACCCTAACCCTAACCGAAATCTATGAGAAATATAGAAAACAGGGAAAATCTTTAAGCCTGAGATACATGCAGTTGGACAATCTTGTGCCAATGTTGCGAATATTATTCCAGATGAGGAAAGTATAGAGAGCAATGTTATTTTAAATTCATTTTTTTACAATGGGAGTTCTCAAAACTTCGGGAAGGATAATGAGGTTAAAATGACTTCCGTTATGCTTAAATTAGAAAATCTTTCTTGTGTCTAATACAGATTAGATTTGGCAGGAGTTTTAACTATTTGATTGGTTCTGTCTGTGCAGACTACTCAAAAGACTATTAGCCAAGCATTAAGAGATAATGGATGTTTGGAATGGAAGTTTGACCAGTCAGTAGTTGAAAAGCTAGCCAGTGCGTTCTGTGAGAGAAGCCTTCTTAGTAGCAATTGGTGGCATAGGTGCACTTTACAGTGCTTGGAGGACCCACTTTAATGTAGTGGAACCAGTAGAATATGTACTCCACCAAAAAAATAGTAAGTAATTCCATCCATCCATCTTCAAACCACTTATGGTGCACACAGGGTCGTTGGGGGCTGCAATCAATCCCAGCCAATTTTGGGCGAGAGACAGGGTACACCCTGGATTGGTTGCCAGCCAATTGCAGGGCTACACAGAGACCAACTAACATTCAAACTCACATCCACACACCTACGGGCAATTTAGAGCCACCAATTAACCTGATCCCCAGAGCATGTCTTTAGACTGTGGGAGGAAGCCAGAGGACCCGGAGAGAACCCACGCCGACAGGGGGAGAATATGCAGACTGCACAGAGAAAGGCCACAGGGAGAAGTCGAACTCAGGACATTCTTGCTGTGAGGCGACAGTGCTAACCATGACCCCACTGTGCAGCCCGTATGGCATTCCAATATATTTAAAGGCTTTGCTTCGAATTCAGCATTCTGCAAATGTGCTTCTTCCCCTTTCTGAGAGACATCAATTTCAGATTGCAAATTTACATTTACACGCACGTGGCTTCAGCAGACGTCTCTATTGGACATAATAAATGTTTACACTCTTTACATTGATGTTTTTACCAAGGATATCTCAAATAATCTAAATGGTGATACTGCAAGACAAGTTCATCTTTGTTGGGATGAGGTCAGCCTGTGAGATTATAACTCAATGATTTGAATAATAAATAATCTTTTTCAATGTGTAGCCAGTGAGAAAATGTCCTTCCTGAGCTACTGTAGGTTCAGGCAGGCCTTGGTACCTCCTACTTCCTGGTTCACCCATTAGAAAGGGTATAAAGCTGCCCATAATGAAGCTGCTTTTGGCATGCTTGTCCCTTTCTGTGTTGGAGAGTGGCTGGAGAAGCCAGTGAGCTGGTAGGTGTTTTCATTCTCAGTTCTTATTAAAATGGTTTGGCCATTGGTGATCTTTCTGTTTGTGTCTCCCAGCTCGTCAGGGAGGCCCAAACCATGTGTGAGCCATACCAGGTGGAGGAGCCTCAAAGTAACTCCAGGCTGGCATTAGAAGCCATTGCTGTTTTGTGTTGCTTGTTCAGTTCTGGTCTGGAGTTTCTTCATGTTTGTAATATTAGTTAGTTTGCAGATTACTTTTGGTAAGTAATGTGTTTATTTTTGTGTTTTGAGGTTGTCTGCAGAGTAGCATCCCAGATGGTGGGTCTGGTGGCTGGGCCTTTAATCTGCTCATCCCATTGTCCGTTTGTCTGTATTCTTTTTACATAGCATGCCTCTATTTTATATTGTTTGTGTGGAGAAACTGAGTCGGTGAGTGCCCTGTGCCAGAGCCTGTCCCTGTTCCTGCCCCGGTGCAGCCTAGTCACCAGTAGCACTCAATTTGTTTGTAGAGGTGCATTTGGTTATTTCTACAGCTGATGGAAATTGGTGTAATCGTTTTGTATGCTTACTATATTTTAACTAAATGTTGAAATCTGGGAATACTTTTTCCTCAGTCTGACTTCAGTCACCTGTTGATCCGTGGTTGTTGGATAATTTATGAGGAAATATTTAACCCTGTGCTACCGGTGGTTACAAATGTATTTCTTCCAGTTGCTCAACTTCTCATGACTTGATCTACACACTATGCATCAGCTAAAACTAATGCATTCTAATACAACAGCCCTAAAACTATTTCTCCCGCATTCTCTTGTATCTGTCGACAGCCCAAATAGAAATCTGCTAATGGTACCCCTAGAGGGGATTTACTTGCACGTTGAACTTTACTAATTGCTTGTGATCTCTTCTCAGACTGCTATGGCTGGTTCTACACCTGCAGAATCAAGATGACCAATGGAAAAACTAAAACTTCCAATGTTCGGAAGTTAGGGGTAGGTTAAAGGGCAACCTCACTTCAATACATGGACAAAGATTTTGGCAATTACTTTTAATCTCAACTCTACCACTGAATTTCAGGGACAAGTAGGAGGCCAAACGGGTTAGTTGATGTGTAAAATGTTTGACCTACCTGTGGATTGCCCGTGGGATATTTCGTAACCCTGTTTTATAAATTGTTGCAGATAATTTCATTTTTAAAAAATATTGTATTGTCATTTACTCATTTCAGTTGGTTCAAAATGCGTTTGGCAAGAAACCTGGTGGAGACCGTGGTGCCATGAAAGCAAACAAAAGGTATGACTGACTTGCGTTAACAAGTACATTACTAAAGAGCCACTTCTCATATTTAACTGCACGCATTTTTCACAATGTTTTAACTTTGAATTGCTTGGTGTTTTATGGCGATTGTGATGTTTGTTCCCTAGTGCAAGTGAAACTTATGTGTGTAACCTGTAAAAATGCACTTTAAATACACATTTCTGTGACGGTAATTAAAACTGTCATTTTAAATTTGTATTTAAAGAGCAATTTTTCATTGACTGAACCATTTTTTGCACAATATATCACAAGTGGGTATTTGAGTAATATCTTTATTGATTTGAATAGTTGCTTAAATATTTCTCATGCAGATGTTTTAAAATGGAAAGTCAACCTCATAGTGCTGTAACTTCAGTGTAACCCCAACACTGTATGTTAAGACCTTGTTTACTGGCTTAGTGTTGCAATGTTCTCCAATTTGACAGTCAAATGTACTGTGTACCTGGAATGTAATTTTGGCAGTGAATTAATAAAATGTCAGTGTATTCTAGAGGAGGGAGAAGATGGGAGAGGCCTGGGCTCTTTGTCAAGGTGTTTTTTATTTATTTTTATGTAATGCTTGTCGTACAAGCTGTAATGGCACAAATAAAATGTCTTTTTAACTGTAAAGAATGCCTGAGTGTTGTGGCCTGTCTTTAAGAACTATTTCGATCCTTTAGCTGCTGTTTATCTATTTTCTGTTGGCCAATGTGTTCGTATTGCCCCATGTTCAATGTCGAAGTGTCCCTGAGCAAGACACCTAACCCCTAATTGTTCCCCAGGCAAAAATGTGAAAAGCCATAGGTTTAAAGTGTAATGTAAGTTGCTAAATAACATTAGCCTATGGGCAAAAAGATGCAATCTTGTCAGTGTTTCAAAGATTTTTCAGAATGGGTTGTGATTCCACACAGGACGGTCCAGAGAGTTGGTCGAGCAGTTTCAGCCTCCTCTGACGGTGGAAATTACCAGCACTCTTTAGTGATTTGAGAGAACGGTAAGACTTTTTTCCAGTATGGTTTTTGATATGTAATGCTTGTCATGCAGGCTGTGTGACGGGTCTAATAAAACATTCCTTTTCAAACCGTCAAGAGCCTGACTGTTGTATAATGTGTTAACTGTATCTTCTAAAATGTGGTTGATGTCCTGAACTATGCCACCCTCTTTAGCTGCTTCATTTAAATTTGGCAGCTGTTTGCTCGTACAGGGAAACTCCAATCAATGTTCAGAAAACATTCCGGTTGGGTAAAGTAGTTCTGTGATTCCACGCAGGATGATCCAGAGAAGACAACAGGGTCCTGCCTTCGGCTCCCTAGGAGCGGCCAAGCAACTTCAGCCTCCTGTGAAAATTGAGAGGTAAGACCCTTTCTCAGTACTGCTTTTCATGTCCTGCTGTGAAAGTCTAATAAAATGTTAGAATGCCAGACGGTTGGTTGGTTAACTGCATCTGCTGCTAATATATACTGAACTAATTCAGTTTTTATCTGCGCTTTCCCAGTGTGTAAAAAGATGCATTCTTGTCAGTGTTTAAATATTTCTTGTTTGCTGAAGTACTGTTGTGCTACCACACAGGACGATTCAGAGAACACTACAGGCTCCTGCTTCAGAGGCATGCAGCTTTAGCCTCCTGTGGAAATTGCCTTATGCTCCTGCAAAATTAGCGATTTGACTAACTGGTAAGACTTTTTTTTTTTTCCCCCAGTAATGCTTGTCATGCAGGCTATGTGACCGGTCTTGAAAAATGTTTGAAATGGTATGAATGCATAATGTACTTGCGGTGCTTCTTGTCTTTGGTTGTATTTCCTGAACGATTCGGTTTTAAATATTTTCCATTTGCCAATGTTTTAGGTGAAAAGATCATGTTAGTGTTTAAGACTGTTCTTGATAAGTTGTGTAATGTAGTCTTGTTATTTCTTGCAGGATGATAGAATCCAACTCTCTACAGGCTTTGGCAAAAGGTAAGACCCTAAGTGTGGGCTAGGGTTAGCGGGGGCTAAGTGTGGGCTAGGGTTAGCGGGGGCTAAGTGTGGGCTAGGGTTAGCGGGGGCTAAGTGTGGGCTAGGGTTAGCGGGGGCTAAGTGTGGGCTAGGGTTAGGGTTAGGGTTAGGGTTAGGAGTTAGAGAGTTGCGATGGTCCTGTAAACAAGACCATCCATGCACTGTCCTGCACTACCTCACTACCTGCAGCACCCTCAGTCCTCGTTAAGGCCACTGGGATGCCTTGTGTCCATTCTGGCGATCCACACCCTCTCTGCTCTCCTCCTCTGGGGAGCACTCCATCTAGGGTTGCACTCAATGACACACACAGAGACAGAATTCCAATCATGAGAAATGAAGTGTTTCACCAGTGGCGTGCGTGTCTTTTTCTGTTTGACAATATTATGTTTGTGTTGTGTCATACGGGTGGCAATGGTATTCCCAGTCTCTCCCACATATTGAACACCGCATTTGACACATGTGATCAGGTAGACACAATTAGACGATTTGACATTCCCTCTGGTCGGGTTATGAAAAACCTCTTTAGTAGCATGACTGCTAAACCACTCCCTGTGTTTGAACCACTGATTTGAACCTCCGGACCTGCCCCTTTGAAAGGGTGGAATTTTGGCTTTCACCAAGTGATCTTGTAAATTCTTATTCCTTCTGAAGGCTGAAATGATCCTGTGGTCCTGCAGGATGGAAGACCCCGTGGTGTGGGAGAGGAATCTCCTTCTACATCCCCTGACCAGTTCCACCGTAGAAGGTGAGTAAGTGGTTACAAAAGGAAGACTGGAGCCCACGATGATTGCCCTCTTTTGGAGGAAAGACCTGTGGCACTTTCTAAGGAAGGTCCTGGAGTACCCCCTAGAGGACAAAGCATGGAAGAGCACCTTGACCGCAGCATGGAAATCCTCCTTTCTGCTGCATATTCTGTGAAACCTCAACAACTGCGATTTAATTAAGCCAGCATATGTGTGCTTTGGGTGAAAGCTGGTCTTGAAGAGCAGAGCATGAGTGTCCGTCTCTTTGAAGAATACTTTGACGTCAAGTGTGTGGGTTTCCTGAAATGTATTACTTTTAAATGTCGTGGTGTCCAAAAAGTCAATAGAGGTCAAATCGTTGGTGGATTTAATTTTAATAGACTGATTGTGGTTGTTGAGGATGCACAGAAAAGTCTCAAAATCCTCCCTCGAGTGAGGCCACACACCCCAGATATCGTCCAAATATCTGTAATAATACAGTGGTTTTTTAGGACACATTTTCAGGACTGAATCCTCCCACTCAGCCATAAAAATATTAGCGTATGCGGGAGCAAACTTCTTCCCCATCGCTGTACCCTTAATTTGAAGGAAAAATTCCCCATTAAATTCAAAATCATTTTGGGTCAGATTAATTTCCAGTAGCTGTAGGAGCTCTTTCTCTGGTCTCTTTTTGTTGGGGTGTTTCCGAAATGCATTCTTTACGGCCTGCATGCCTTCTTTAATGTCAATATTTGTATAGAGACTGTCAATGTCAATTGTGAATAAAATTGAGTTGTCCGGAATGTGGAGTCTTTTAATTATCTCTACAAAGTGGTACGTGTCCTTTATGTAACTCGGGTGTGTGGTCGAGAGAGGATTCAGGAAGTGGTCAAGGTACTCTGCAGTGTGATACGTTTCACTACTGCAATCTGACACAATTGGTCTGCCGGGGGGGATTTCATGGGGTTTGCTCCATTTGGAAGGATCCTTGTGGATCTTAGGAAGCATGTAGAACAGTCTGGCCCTCGGTACAGCATCTCCCATTAAGTAGTGTTTTTGTTTGAGATTAATGAATTTCTTGTTATGTAGTTTTTGTACGATGTCATGGACCAATGTTATGGTGTTAGGGTAGATTGGGTTGGGCAACTTAGTGTAGTAGGTCGGATCATTGAGCTGCCTGTACCCTTCCCACAGGTACTGCTCTCTATCCAAAATAACAATAGCACTTCCCTTGTCGGCGGGCTTAATAATGATGTGTTTATTTTTAACTAGCTCCTCCAGTGCTTGCACCTCCTCCCTGCTGAGGTTCGGTGGCACCTGGTGAATTTTAAAATGATTGTCAAATTGTTGGATGTCCGACTGAATGAGGGAAGTGATTGTTGTGGGAATCTGTGCTTGTACCGGAGTCCAGACTGATCTATTAGTGAACGGCAGACGTTCAGACTCCCTTGCATTTTCAAAATATGCAGCCAGTTTCAGTTTTCTGTGGTATTGCTGCAAATCGAATCGACTCTGGTCCACAATGTTTATTCACCCCCCTGGTCGGGATGAAATTTAGGCCCCTGCTCAAAAGGGTGAACTGTGCGTGAGTTAATTTAAAAGTTTTTGTTAAATTAATCACCGTCTTATCCCCCTCCTGAATAGGCAGGCTTGTGGGGACAACTAGTTTAAGTACCTCACCCAGTGATTGAACATGCGGACCGCTGTTGATGGGGACCAGTGAATATTATCCGGGCCTGTGTGAAAGAGGCTCGGTGGCAGAGCTGGGATGTACTCACACAACCTGGCGATGGCAGAGTTCAGGTGCGTGAGCCGCAGCTTCTCCTTACTGGGCAGACTGTTGGAAAAGTTCACCTGGGGAACAAAGATATCAGCCGAGGGAAACATACGCTTAACACTGTTCAAGGCCCTCTGCAGCTGCTTTAAGGCTGTCTCTTGTGTCTTTTGGACCCGATTGTTTATTCCAAAGGCCAGGATTACCTTTTCCACTGTTACCCCACAGGTCGTTTTGTCCATCAGCAACTCAGCATTTCTAAATGTGGCCCCCGGAAACGCATCAATTTGGAGATGCACAAAGTCGTGTTCTGGGAGTTTTGCCACGTTAGAGTCTCCTAAAATAAGCCATTTTTTGGCCACGTGGAGGCTCCATTCCTGAGCCTTCCGGATGGTAGACCGGTGTTTAGTGGGTCGAAGTGGTACCTGTTGCCCTGGCGTCCGCAGATTGGAGACTGAGGTGGTCCCCGTCTGGATCAGCTGAGACTGCACCGCCGACCGCAGTCTGCTGGTGCTGGAAGGTGTGAGGGGGACGCGTCTCAGGTCCTCCTGCAGCCGGGACAGCGGTCGATCTGGCTCCTGCTGCATCAGCCGCCTCAGGTTCTCCTGTGAGAGCTCCTCCACGGCGTCATCGTGGTGGACAGCACACGGGTTGTGATAGGGGACCCAGCCCCTGGGCCGTGGAGCCGCTGCTGTTGGTGAAGCTGCTGCCACTGAAGACGGTGCCGGTGAAGCTGCTGTCGACGATTCTGCTGCGGCCGCTGCCCGCGACCCTGGCGGAGACTCTGGCTCGTTCACGAACAGTCTTTGTGGTCTCTGTGGCAAAGGCAGGGACCGCTGTGTGGACAGTGCGGGTGGGATCGCCCATTGTGAACTCACCGTCGACCGTGGGGTGGAAGGGGAGAGCGTGCCCAGCTCAAAATGGACCTCAATGGGAGAATCCATAATGTTTTTTGGTGAAGGTCTGGGGCGCTGTGGTGCTGCAACCGGAGGCGGGGGCGTCGGCGAAACCAGTTCTGCGACCCTCGGCTCTGGGAGTACCTGGGCCTCGACGACGTGCACAGCATTCGCACCCGGTGCCTGTGCTTCTGCCGCAGTGGGTTGTGACAGTTCTGGGAGGGCCCGGGCCACCACCGTCCGTGTGGCAGCCGGCGCGGGCCGGCGTGGTTCTGGGGAGACTTGGGCTTCGGCTGTGTGAACCACAGGCGTAGCGCGCGGTTCTGCTGCATCACCGGGCCTCACTCGTCTCAGGGGATGCACCACAGGGTTGGTCTGGGTCACCACCACTGGAGGCACCGACACCGCAGGGGCCGGTTGTGGGTCCTCAATGAGCAGCACGGCCATCCATTCCTCCACCACCTCTTTTGCCTCCTTCAGGGTCTCCGGGTGCAGCCTGCGGCCAAAGTCCCTTCTCGCCCAGGCCGAGGCTACATCAAAAGGAGCACTCCAATCTGGACTGTTAAGACTGTGTAGACTTTCAATCCCTCTCTTTATCACAGCCTCATAGTGATCTTGCAGGATGATGAGTGCGGTGTGCTCCCAATTTTTGGCATTGCCATCAATGAGTGTCTGTGTCTCTGCGGTTGGGATAGCTGGCTTGATAAAAGCAGCTAACTGTGTTGTCATTCTGACAATAGAGATGGGTGGGTTTGTCACATCAATGTTTGTGAAGTGGTGTGAAGCCTTGATGATCCTATGCAGAATACGGCACTTGTTTGAAAATAACGGATCATCAGACCTGGGCAAATTACTGGTGCCCTCATTGCTTTGAAATGTGTCATGCCGATTATTATTATTAAACGTACGGTTGTTGTTGTTGTTGTTGTTGGGACGTTGGAGGAGAGGAGCCAGCGTGCGGGGTCGGGGTGGTTGCCGGCGTGTGCCCCGGTCAGCTGGTCGCGCCGCGTACCTGTTGTTTTGGCCGCCATTGTTGCGCCACCGCGGTCCGCCTCTACGGTCCGGAGCTCTCCGAGTGACGTCCGCGTACGAGACCCGTTGATAGCGGGGCCGTTGCTGCTGGTATTGTTGCACCACTCGCTGGTCTGGTGGGCGGAAACGTTGGTTGCGCCGCCGTCCATAGCGGACCACCGTCCAATCTCCTCCATCATCACCGTCCTCATAATACATGGCTAAGCTAGTAGCCTCGTGTCGTGTTAGCTTTCAAAGAACGGCAAAGAAAAATAGTCTTTTACCTTTTTATTCTTTGAACAAAAAAAATAAAATAAAACAACAAACGGAACAAGAACGAATTTAAATAGCAACGTTTCGGATACTAACGTATCCTTCTTCAGGCTATAAACTTGTTCTTAAAAGCTGAGATGGTGAGCGCAAGTTTTGCGTCCACGGTCATCACGTTGAAAAAGAAAGTCCGGCCAAATTTGCATAATAAAATGGCGGCCGTGCCCTTTCAACTCTCTGGTCCCTCGGACCAATGATAACGTCGTACTCCGCGGAGGGATACCAAGGTGAATGACGTCAGATTGTTACAAACACCCGCCCCTTTTCTCAGCACA